GAGCTGTTTCGTTTAAGGACGTTTCTTTAAAATCAGAAGAAAAAATCAATTCATCCAGGATAATCGTGACTATCTTTTATCTGATGGTCCCACGGTGGACTTGCATTGAGAAAGAACAAATTCCTTTTTCTAATGCAACACTGGGAATCAGTTTAACTTTCATCACAGATTAAGAGTTCACAAAAAAAAGAAAAAAAGAAAAGGAATTGTATAATTTAAACCATGAAAGTTTCGCAAACTTGGTTAAGTTTGGTATCTTTGGGTAAACCTGAATAATGGACATTACATGAAAGACTTTGCACTGGGCTACCACGTTAATTGAATTCACAGATCTAATAAGTGTTCTTAAGTAAGTTTCCTCCTTTCTCCGCCGTCTATCTATAGCCTATTTCTAAAGTGTCTTCTTGACAATCGATGTTATTCAATACGCTCAGCTGATCCAGCTGAAAATCTTGCGGTTCGAGAGAATGAAAATTTCCAATTAGTACGTACGTGCCAGACCGCCGATGTGGAAGATCATTACCGTGACAAGTCACGCCTAAACACAATGGGATCATTTTGGTCAGAGTAAAGTGGTACCTTCAGCCCTCAAAACTTGGCAATCTTTCATTAGGATTGCAGAGGAAAGTAACGATTGGACACTTCCCGAAGAGCTACGCGGGAACTCGTCCTTTTATAGCTTTGCACCACTCTAAATTTGACCTGATTCTTTAAGAAAAAATTTAATATCAAATAGAGTCGGAATGCTATTTAAAAAAAAAAGAATCCTAAAATAAAATGGTTTAAATCGACGTGTAAATCCAGTAGAATTAATAACTTCAATTAATATTAATCAGAAGTTACAAAGAATAATTTGGCATGATAATAAATGTATTAAATATTAGATGCAGAAAATATTCTATAATGAGCAAAAATGTTTTTACAAAGCAACCACCACAGATTTTACTCAATACTGCGAAGATTTGCTGTTTTGTGTCCGTGTCTGTGTGTGAGTGACAGAGATAGAAATGGAAAGATAGATAGATAGAGAGAGAGAGAGAGAGAGAGAGGAGAGAGGAGAGAGAGGAGAGAGGGAGAGAGAAGAGAGGGAGAGGGAGAGAGAGAGAGAGAGAGAGAGAGAGAGAGAGAGAGAGAGATTTGATAAGCGATTTATTTTTACAAATGTCGCAGAGTTAGGTCAATTTGACTATCTCACACTCAACGAGAAACGAAAGAGAGAGAGAGAGAGAGAATATGAGAGTGAGAAGAATTAAATATGGCCATTTTAAACAAAATTATCCTTTTCTTATATACTTCAATATTATCATTTTATTATTCAGAAATTTGTGAGATGCGGTCTGATCACCATTTTATATTGATCTAAGTATACAAATGTCTGTACAGATTTTGCTTAAAAAACTAAAAGCCAGTTTTACTAATCAAATGCCAGAAGAGGAGATAATCGATTTTTTGTACTGTAATTATTTATCTTAATTGTTAAACAAAAATATAATTTATTAAATTATAGATGAACTCATACACAGAAATTCTGATAATTCATATCTACAACATTACTATAATAAACAAATCATCTATCAGAACAATTGCTAGCCGCAGTCTAATCGATGGGTAAACATTTGAGTTTAATTTTCAAAGAGGCTGATACTTTCAAGAAAAAAAAACAAAATAATGGCTAATTAATTGTAATGGAAATATTAACATTTAGCCATTGAGTCATGCGTTCTTTCGAATTGATCAAAATAAACTAATTTCTCGTAGTATCGTCATAATTATTCGTAACTACATGATAAAATACAAGATATGGCCAATGTTTTCGTCAACGCAAGTGAGCAATTATGCTCCATATTACTATTGCTAATCCATCATAAACTAAGACTATTGTTTTTTATAAAAAGTAATCTGTAATTCAATTTATATTTAATAATTTTCTCTCAAATGACTTTGTTATATAGCATCCCTTCTTAACTATATCTCTGTTATATTAAAGATACCTGTTCAACTTATAAATGTGAATTTCGGCTTTCATTAACTAATTAGTTTACTCTGTAAATGACTACAAGGTCGGTGCTACTGTTAAAATTATCTCACAATCAGATCCGACCCTTTCTACATTTTCGAAAAGCAACAACACTGACGAATTTTATATTCTTTTGTACCTCGACCTTACTTACATAAGCACGGATTGTTTTGTCAAGATTAAGTTGAACTCAAGTCGAGGGAATTGATAAGAACTGTTTTCTTGCATTTTAAAAATACTATTGTTACATTTTTTCATTTAGTCTTTTTTTCTATAATACATTTGTCACATTAAAAAATGGTTATTACAAATATATGAATGTTTAAGAGAATGGATAGTAGTGAAATTCATTATATATAACTTAACAAGATGTAGGTACTCTTAACCATTTTTCGTTATGTAGTGCTATTTGACTGTTCACTTTTTCAATTACTGGCAATGATTATGTTAATGCCGTACTAGCAGAATGATATTAAGAAAATTAATATGCATTAGCAAATTGGGAATATTTTCAACGACTAAGCTTTCATTACCACTAGTGAAAGTTTTTTTAGAAAAATCCCTAACCATCCCTGTTAGGTAACACTGTTGTTTACTGGTGTGATAACGATTATAACAAGAAAATCAAACATAATTAAAAGTAAAAAAAGGGGAGAAAACTGTACAAATATCGCGTCCAATGTCACGCCCGTGCTTTCGTAGGATTCTTTGTATGCTAAATCTTCAGGAATATTTTGTTTCACCTAATGAAAACAATATTCAAAGCGAAAGTATGATCTCCTTTTTAGATCATTTAAAATCGCAGGTCGATCATTTTGCCTTTTTTGGAAAAAAAAAGACATAATCAATATCGAACAAGAACGTTACTGTCATATAACTTCGAGTTAATACTGTTTTGGCTTAGAGATTGTCAGTTTGTTTGCCAAATTAAGCAGAACAAACTGAAATTTCCAGTTGATCTTGATCGACTATTATTAAACCCTTGCAAATTTATGCTAGAAATACCTTCTGACATGGGCATTTTTTGACGCACATTTATAACTGGTGAAGTGAAATGTTTAAAACAATCTATATAAATGAGTTTTAGAAACTCCACATAATAATAATTTTCATCTTACCGTTTTAAAAACCAAATTAAACCAAAAATTTGGTTATTCTGGCAACAAATGTGGAACAATGTAACGGACAACAAGCTAAACGAAATAAATAGTGGTGTTAGGCCTTGGAAATCACCTATTAGACAATCTAGATTTGAAGAAACGGTGTTAACAAGACTAAGAATTGGCCATACCCGTCTTGCTCGTAGTTATTTGATGTCACGAGACCAACCACCCAAGTGTGAAAACTGTGAAGAACTCCTAATAGACTGCTCTTACTATAATAACAGCCAAAGAACCTTAAGTATATCAAATTCAAAATCAAAGAGAACATTTTTACGAGTTAATAGTCCAACTAATAACATTTAATTTTCCTTATAAATATTATTATTTATCAAGGCGGACATGACCCTATGGTTGATCGCCTTTATAAATTTAAAAAAAAAAATTAAAAATAAAGATAATTTTGCCTCAAAGATAAAATTCTTTCCCCATTCCTTTCGCAAGGACTAAAATGGGAATAATATTCAATTTGGTAAACGTGGGAATTACAGAAGTGTTTGTTTAACATCGATCCGCATGAGCTGGCAGAACGAAACTGAGCGGACCGTTTGTGCATCGGTTCTTCTCTGGTCCTACGAACCATTTCTTACGCGCAAGCGGATTTGCTTGCAAGAAACCTGTACGAAAAACGCTTATTGTCTCTCATGAATGGTTGCACGAAAAAATATAATCTCAGTGGACCGAGCAGCTAACACGTCTTGACTAAAAAGAAATAAAGCTCAATCCGGACCAGAAATTAAAGCATATGACGACGGTGGGGACACACTTTGTGGCATCAAGAACCAAAAATTAAAGCCCCAAATCATTCACCAAAAATCCAAACAAACTCAATAGCGAAATTTCTCTGCCAAAGAAGGCTTTTGAGTTCTCTGAAAGATGGCAAAAAAGGGAAAAACAGGCGGATAATACTATAATATCCTTATGTATGAAAGCACAACTAATAAATTATTAGCCAAATATTTCTTATATTTGTTTATATTTTTTCTGTTTTACGTTAATTCTTTACAAATCAATGTAACACTAACATTTCACTTGGGATCTGTGATTGTCAATAGCCATGAATGTTCAAAGGAAACTTAATACGTCTTGTTAGGCACTGTCAAAGATTTATGAGCAAAAGCGAAAATAATAGAAATTAGTGCTTAAGACTTTTTCAAGCCACCAAGATAAGCTTCGATTAAGTAGTCATTTCTGTGGCCAGACTGCGGAATTTATTCAAGATTGTAATGGTCAGGATATTCAGTTCAGTATTTAATGATTTAATTTCAGTCGTCAGTATTGAATGGTCAGTAGGCAACCAATTTCGACAACGTTATTACGTCTAGCACTCGGAAGTCTCCCAAATGGAATGAGTCAGCGTCTTGCCTCGCTCTGCTTATAACCCTGTCGGGCATTTGTAAGTTTGAAATCAATAGCAGTACTTATTTGCCAAAACTTTTTTTTTGTAGAATGATAAGAGAACCTGTCTATCTGTCCACCAAAAGTGGAAAAACGTTGAACTCTAATCCTTGATTTATAAAAATAATACTGCGATGGGTTCGGCATCGATACTGTTCTTGCCAATTCCTAGTTCTGGTAAAATTGAAAATGAATCAGCGACTTGCCTTACCCTACTTACAACCCAGCAGTTATATTAGGACGCGAGGGGTTTTTCAAATGCTGACAGGTAGAGGGATAAAACCTCTGAGAAGTAAGAAATGCATATTTGTTAACAAACCCAATCCATTTTAACAGATTAAAGCGAGACTATTAGTTATTGCGAACAAAAGAGTTTTGTTATAAGAGTTATCGTTCTTTCCAACCTAATATAATCAAGTTCTTACCTTTATTGAGTTTTGGAATGAGCATTCGGAGACGGCTCGAAGGTCCGACCTTGGCCACGTGGAAGAAGCAGTCGGACAGCTCGCCTGCACCCTCCAGGGTCCCTCCATCACAACTCTCTCTACACGATTATCAAAAACCTTTTACACATCGCCACCCTCGACAAGGCATACTAAAACTCTCCGGCAGGGACGAAAAGTCCCTCCAGAGAATAACACCTCGTCGTCCTTGGTAAATTAGTATACTATTGTCTAATTTTGAGCTCTTTGGCCTATTAACGAATACTTGAAAATTTATCTCTAATAAATGCTATTGCGCTTGAAAACTTTCTATCACGAAAATTAGTCTAGTTTTAATATAAAAGACGGTTTATCAATCAAATTTAAATTAATAGTGACCAAAAGGGTTGTTCTATTATTAACAAGTAAATGTTATTGTTACTAATCAATTTATGGTTAAAAAAAATGAACCAAAACAAAATAAAGGCCAAAAAACAATCAATTACATATCAACAAAATCTATTTAAAAATATCCCTTTTTTAATTTTAGCATATGTTAAAGTGGATTCTTTCATTTAGAGGTTATTTATTTCAGAAAATAAAGAAAGAAACAAAAAATTTGGTTACAAAGAAATATATATTTTATTTAAAAGTTCTAGAGAGAAAAGCCCAAAACACAAGTCAAGAAAATAATAATACATGATATATTACACAGGTAACTACAATACAAAATTATTCAAGGAGTTTCTCATCAAATGGAATCCAAAGTTAAAACAAAGTAGAAACTAAAACCTCCCGATTTATAACTGATCCGAACCTTTTTCTTAAAGCAGGCAGAAAGGACGAGCATTACAACCGTATAAATTTAAACATTGGCCCATAGGAGAGCGAAAATATTCCTAATTAAGAGCTAAAGAAGTAGTGCAACAATGGTATAACCTAGACATTGAGAATACAATGGGGGGGGGAATCCTACGGGATGAATTTAATTTTAAAACTTTCCATGAGAGTCAGGAAGGTCAAAATCCTCCTGCTTTTCATGCTTTCAATCTGTCAGATTGTTTAAATCCGAATAGGGCAGATAATTTGAACAAGGAATTTGGAGGCTAGTTGCTGGACTCTTTTTTAAAATGTATATCCGCCAGAGGTACACTTGTATTCTAAATTACTACATTTCTTAAGGTGCTTGATGTAAATAATGTTTCTTAAAGTCCGCTGACTTTTTATGAAGCTAAGACCAAGTAAAAATAGAGTTGAGGTGGACATGAAAGTTAAAGCTATCGTGAAAGAAAACTTAGAGAAGCCAGACTGAGTACACTTCATCCATAGAAATCTAACTTATATGCGAATGAGTCGAGTTCATTATTTCAATATTAAGACAAATTTATTTACATTTGTCCAAATCAAATTTGAGATTGTTTTTGTGACACCCCCTCCACTGAAAATTAATTCAAATCCTCTTTAAGCTATTATGCCAAATTATCCTAAAGTGGTAACTTCCAATTATAAACGATTAATTCGATCATCTTTGTGATCATTATTATTGGTTAAAATAACGTAAATCAGGTCAATATTGACATGTGAACCGGTCGTTACCCCTGATCTCTTCGCAGTATCGAACACCTCCGTAGTAAATGGATGTGATCAATTCTGAGGAGTCGGGACTGGATTCTAATTCGCACCTAGAGATTACACATTACGATACATTTTTGGGGTAAAAACCTGTAGTAATTCAGTCGGGGGGACCGGGAACTAGCACGGGAGGTCATTTACACACCAATTTGCAAGTTCAATTTCCTACGTGGTTCTTATAACACAATTTCATTTACGATACTTTCTGTAAGCCGTTAAACCTACTTTGAAATTTCCAATGTAGTAGATAAAATTACACATAATTTAACCGTGCCGTTACCACAATTGCTTTGCAACGTCCTACATATTAAATAGATATATTCTTTAAACCATTATCCTCTTTTCAATTTCCAAAATAAATGTACAATACTATTTAAATTATTAGTCATAAATCTATTTGCAATTTCCTTCCTACACAGAATAGATACTCTTATTCATAAATAAATCTATTTACAACGTCTAACCTAGCAGATAGATATATTCTTTAAAGCTATAGCTTATAAACAAATTTTCTACCTTCCTATTTAGAAAAAGCTATAGTATTTTAAAGCATTGGCTTTAAGTATATTTTTTTTCTTTCCTACAAAGTGCGTGGATAGTATGATGGTCTTTAAACCATTACAAAGTCCATTAAACACGGTTATTCAGATTTCTTTTACGCGGTGCATATACGTTTATTAATTTGTCAGGTTTCTCTGTGTGGTCTGCGGTGTGATGAACCTATAATTTGGTCGTTACCGACCGTTTTAGTCTTCCTACCCTCGCTGTGTTATGGTCTGATCCAGAGAAATGGCGAAACGCGTCCCACAGATCAACATAGCGAGGATGGGCGGACCAAAATGATCGCACCTAATTCGAGTCAGTGAAATTCTAAACAACTTCCTATTAGATGGGTAAATATTTGAATATTGACAGTAAAACGTTTGAAAACTGTTTTCATCGTGGAAAAAAAATTGTCTTGAAAATTTTGGCCTTAAAATCTCGTTTTAATGGAGCATTTTGGGTAATTTGCAGGTTCTTTGTACCTCTTGGGTATTTAGTTTGTTTAAAATTCAACCTACTCATTATATGTGTCTTCCTTTGTCGTATATATTTAATAATAATATTAATAGCAAAGTATTTTATTTTTATATTTTATACAGCATAGGGAATTACATTCATATGAATTACACAGACATGTACTGGAATCCGTTGCTGCTTATGAACGAGTTTATGTTATGTTAATACAAATTCGTATACATTCCGGTTTATTATGAATGAAATAGAGGTTTAACATCTTAAAAAAGCCATTATATTGGATTTTTATTTTGTTTTAGGGCTGAAAAAGGCGTTAAGGTCTAATGAATTTTAATTACGCTTTTATGGCAAATTTACGCCATTCTTGCCCCCAATACGATTGACAGTGTAAAAGCTACTTTCCCCAAACTGGGTGGGTGGGAAAACAGACTTAAAAGGCGTTAATTAGTGAGATTATTTTTTTTTCTTTCTTCCAAATTCGATTTTAAACAGCCGAGTGGTTATTTATTGGTGAAAAACTAGAAAGTCCTCAACACTTAACAGCGATCATTGTATAACACACTAATAAGGAAGGTAATTAATTACATACAAACGCATAGAGAAAAAACACTCGTTGGTCTAAATAATATTCACCGGAGCGTGTCCTATTAAAGGATTCTAACAAGATTGATTTTTTTTTAAGCAAGGGAAATAAAATGGTCAATTACGATTTTTTTAACGAAAGAGGGAAAAACAGCGGTTAATTAAGTTAGCAGGTTAATGCTTAACACACTAACAGTAAAAATATTGTATAATTCATTCATGTACTCCATAAAAGTGATGTAGTACATAAAAGTTTATAAAAAAGATTATAAATGTACTAGCGTCACTGCAAGAAAATTTGGCAATTTAACTTTTCCAACGCGATGGAGTTGAGAAGAATTGACTTTCAAGTTTCACAAAGTTTGGATTTTAAATGGTTCAATTCTTCGGCGAAGTAAAATTTCCAATGTTAGAAACGCGCAATTTCCGGCCGGATGCTGAAGACATCAAAACAGAGTTTCCCCGACTCGCCGACTTCAGAACCTTCAGTACTGAAATCTTGGAAAAATTTTATCAGTCGACGCCGGCGACGATTATTGTTATAAAAAAAAAAAGATAAAAATTACAAATAGGATGACTTTATTTGCTGCTATTTCTTGTTGTTTAAGCACAAAACATATCTCATTGATATTTTTATTTCTGAAAGGAATATTGCACTAAAAAACATTTTAAAGTCCTAATTACGCGAAATGGGGTTGATTAAATAATACATCACACGTGCCTCCCATTAGAAGGTGGGGCAAAATTTTAATATTTAAATTACTAAATTAACGAACAAGCACAAACAGAAAATATTCCAACCACTTTCTTAAATTACATCCATTTTGATCTGAACACTGATTTGATTAGTGAATGACTATTTTTTTTAAGTCCAGAACTTGTAATTAATAATAATAGTAGTAATATGATCCTAGAATCCTTGGCAATATAATGATACATTACAATCCTTTAATCGCTTGATTGCTATAAAACAAGCCTTAATAGAACGCAAAATCTGTAATAAAACCAACTGTCATTCTAATTTTTGAGTATGTCCAACTATCCGCAATTAAAACAAGTATTTAGTTTTATTCCTGTCATTCAAAGGAAACAGAGAAATCATTGCTTTTAGAATTCTTTATACACTTCAATCATGGTTAATCAAAAAGTGGTCCAAGTGATCTCACTGTCATATAAATTTAAGTCAACATCGGCATGCCCTTACGGTTTATTAAATTATATTGCACCTTAACAACATGTGTGGATAATCCAGGCTTAATTGTAATCTCTTAATCACTTGATTACAAAACAAGCCTTAATAGAAACTGTAATCGCTTTTTTTATATACATTTTTTTAATATAATTTTTGCTTGACTGATCGATATTCCAAAAAATTAATACTTATAGTTTTGCACCTAGCAATCAAAGGAAACAGAGAAATCATTGTTTTGTAAATACCAATCAAGACAATTCAATAGTGGTCTAGCTGTATCATATAAATTTTCTCTTTATGATGATGCGTCATGTTTGTCATAAGTTTAATGTGGCTAAAAATAATAATCCTAGAAACAAATCATAAAATAGATTTTTTTTGTAACAGTTTTAATCATTCTAATAGCGCGCTAATGCACGCCATCGTGCAAACTCTGGGTCGAACGTGAACTACATATCAATGGAAGTAAAACCATATTAACAGCTGACCTAGACTAACGACCAATACATCCAAGTTTATAAGCGTGAAGTTTGAAGATTTATTTCGTAATCGAGATGATTCGCATGGCCGTGTAATACGGTTGTAATAAGTCATGGCGAACTTATTCAATTAAGGCGAATGAACATGAACATTAAAAACAAAATTATGTGACCCGTATAATGCGCTACGTTGCTTCCTACTTCTATTAAATGATATAGTCTAATAACTACTCCACGTTCTACCGGGCAATTAAACGATTTATTATCACTATTATTGAATCTGAATGGGTTGGAAGTGTTCATAAAGACGGTGGCTGACTTGAATCACTTACATTTGACAACATAATATTATGGATATGAAACGAATCACTGCCGATAATCTTTTAAAAATATTTTAGTACTTTGATTCTGGTATGATAAGATTTACTGTCTCTAATATCCAATCTGTTTACACGAAATAAAATAAAGGTTTTTTAATCTTTAATAATTTAAAAAACTATTACATCTCTACATTTACACCTTTAATAATTAACTCTTGCAAACTAAGATTTATCAAGAAAAACATTTCAAAAAAATGTAAAAATTACCAATACCTTAGGTTTAACTATATATTTATATTTATATGTTATGCATATTTAAATTATATTTATGTGAAAATTGATTCAAGAAGATAGTCAAAAATAGCCCATCATATTCTACGCGTTTTCGATCGATCCGACCACTGAATCAATGGCCATTAAAATTTCATTAAACTGTTATTATTTCGATCACAATTGTTTATTTATTTGACGAACCATGGGAAAACAAACCGAATCAACAATATATCATAACTTTTAACAGTGCGCATTGTCCTGGAAGACCATGGAAGACGACATTTCCATGAGATTAGCTCCGGAGTGGTGATGAAAAAATATCTCGACCTCGCATGGGCATTATCCGATTTTATCAGAGATTGAATATAATTTTTCCAATGTGACAATAATTCTGGACAACAAATTCATGTGTCAAACGTACGAACGATCTGAATATTTGACCTTGCGGTCTGCAATAGCAGATCAATACCAATTAGCCCAATTTTCACTTTAAAAATATTGGATTTGGATTCTTTATATGTTTTATTTATTTCTGTTTACGCTGTGGGAGAAAATTTTGGCCTATACTGAAAAATATGAATAGCACACCGAGCACATTTTTTTAGGCTGATTAAGAAAAAAAGAATTGTAAATCCAAGAGCTAAAGATAATTTCAGGTCATAATCAAAATGTAATTGAATTTATTTATCATAGTGACTCGTAACCAATTTGATCGGCTCTTGTGAATAGACTTGATGTTTCTTCAGGCGAAATTCAATTAAACAAACGAATAGATAAATGAATATGATCCAAACACAGCGGGAATTGACGGAACAGGAAGCTCATCAACATGTAAATATTGTCGAATTTTAGACATTCTCATTTATCATACATATAATGAATCGCATTTATTTTAGAAATAGACACCAGCTATTATTTGATCAGATGTGTGTCAATCCAAGCTTTATTATCTAACTAGACAATAAAATTATTTCAAAAACTTTATATTTCTCAGACTATATTCAAATCCAGCTTGGTTCTGAATATTGATGGATGAGTTTTATTATAAAATTCCAAATTGATGTGGGTTGTTCATTTCTTTTAATCTACAAAAGCTCTTTGTATTTTTATATAAGTATATTTACACAACGGTAATAATTAAATTTCTTCCTTCTGTGATGAGAGAAGAGCGGACGTACACTACCCATTAAATAGGACTTATAAAACAAACCAATTAAAAAAAAAGAAGAATATTATTGTAAAAGGGACGTGAGGCTATTTATTTTGGTGGGTAAGGAGATGGCATGCTAATGTTCTAATTAACGACTAATTCCTCACCCATGATCTTAATTTATAATCAAAACAACGTGCGGAACATTTCTTACGGAATGAATTGAATTTTTTTTTAGTAATTAATTTTATTCATGGGATAAATAGATTTAATCTAAGCAGATTTACGATTGGCAGCTTGTAAATCTTAACGTCCTATTTATAAATGGTATTTCAAAGTATGCCCATATAACGTGCTTATTTTTGGAAACACTGCTCACTCTATGTAAATTTTTGGGTCCGGTCCTATCAAAACTTAATTTTACCGGAATATTTTGGTTTCGGATTGACCAAAACGAAAAACAACAACAGCAACGCATATTTGTAGAGAAGAAACAAGGGCACTGTATCGTATAAATAAATAGAGGATCTGTGAATAAAACAAGCGAATTCCACAGATCACGCCTGTTCTTTTATAAGAAACCCCCATTCATTCAACAAGCCGGTATTATTTTTGGAAACGAGCACTTGTTAAATTTGAGTTTATATATCGATTAATTTGGCGTGACAATTACAAAGAAAAATATATAATAGAAAAAAAAGATAATCTCTGGCCCTTAGTGATTTAAAAACTTTTTTTTGACGGTGATGATAATCAGGAATTGTATGACGGCAAATACAGTAAAATTTTATAATTTATTTTAAAATTTTATGGCTAATTTTTTGTTAAAGCTGTCTAGGAATCAAAGATTTTTCAAATTTTTTCAATATTGTCATTTCTGTTTTTTCATTTTTTTTAAATTGTCATGTGATTTAAAAACAAATTAACCTAAAAAATTAAATGTTTGATATATTTTTTCTAAAAACATTTCTAAATTAAAATTTTAAACTGTTTTTTAATTTCCTAAGTTCAAACCCCGTGCCTCTAAATGAAGAATCACACTTTCAACAAATTATGCTGATTTTTTTTTTTTTAACAATTAATATCCGAACCTCTCCAACGTGACGGCAAAATATTAGCATCTGGGTTCTTCATATATTTGTGAGATTAGTTTGCCTGTGGACGGTGGGCCTGTGTAAACGTGAAACCGCACTACGTTCAGAAGTACCGGCACTGACTCGCGACGAATCCAACCGAAGATTCTAACTCGACTGTCGTTTTGCTATCAAATCAACCTCGTGCTGGCCCCCTCCAACGTCAAACCCCCTCCAGCAGTCTGCTTTCTTATCAGCAGACAACGTTGGAAATTGGAATTGTTCGACCTTTTCTGATGGGGAAAGGGCCTTTCGCTCGTTAGGCGATTTGGCCTGTGGATTTGGCGAAATACAGAAACGAGATGCATCCTTAGGCATGCATGCCTGCACTTGGAAAAGTTTGGCACATTCCTAAGACAAACGGCCTACAAAAAGTGACCCATTACTCATTTCTGTAATAAAAAGAAAGTAAAAAAAAAATTGGACACATTCGACAATATTTGACCCTCATTGCTCCTTACATTATTCACAAAGTCAAAATCCATGATTTATTGCTGGGCAAACAAACTACAATTTCAATATACTACAATTTGATAGGCAATATTCTGTACCCAATATTAATTGTAATAATAAAATGACTTACACAATTCTGTATATACTGCAATTTGCTAGACACAGTTCTAGCCCAATACTAATTTTTAGGCACAAGTTTCAAAAATTTGAATATATTATGATTTGCTAGGCAAAACTTTGACCCAATATTAATTGTAAGCATAGACCTACAAAATTCTGTATATAGTGCAATTCGCTAGAGTTCAGGCCCAATACTAATTTTTAAGCACAAGTTACAAAAATTTGAATATATTACGATTTACTAGACAAAATTCTGATACAACATAAACTTTTAGGCACAAAACCTACAAAAATTTCTATACAAGACCATTTGCTAGACAAAAATCTAATGCAACACTGATTTTTATGCACACAACCTATAAAAATTGAACCAATACTAATTTTTAGTCATAAAACCTCCAAAATATTGGTTATATTATAATTTGCTAGAAAAATTCTGACCGAACGGTAATTTTAGACACAAAGCTTACAAACTATACAATTTGGAAGATATAATACAATTTCCTAGACAAAATTCAGATCCATTATAAACTTTTGGGCACAAAACCTATAAAAATTTCTATATACAATACTATTTGCTAGACAAAAATCTAATGCAACATTGATTTTTATGCACAAAACCTATAAAAATGACAATACATTACAATTTTTTAGACAATAATCTGAACCAACACTAATTTTTTTAGTCATAAAACCTCTAAAATATTGGATATATTATAATTTGCTAGAAAAATTCTGACCGAATGGTAATTTTAGACACAAAGCTTACAAACTATACAATCTAGAGGATATAATACAATTTCCTACACAAAATTCAGATACATTATAAACTTTTGGGCACAAAACCTACAAAAATTTCTATACAATACCATGTGCTAGACAAAAACCTAATGCAACATTGATTTTTATGCACAAAACCTATAAAAATTACAATACATTACAATTTTCTAGACAATATTCTTACCCATTACTAATTTTTAGTCACAAGTTACAAAAAATTTGAATTTATTAAAATTTGATAGATATAATTCTGATACAATAATAACTTGCAGGCACTAAAATCTATAAAAATTTATTACCAATTTTTACCAGATCCTAAACTTAATTCTTCTACATATCCGTATCCACGAAACTTTGAATTTATTACTCATTACTTATCCATATTCATTAATAATAAATGTACAGCTAACGAACAATTAAACCAATAGGTGCCTATTTATTACTCAACAAAGAATTTTCAAAATTTGAAATTATTATTCATGCTAAACACTAAGTTCAAGCCCAATACTGATTTCTAAACTATGAAAATTTCAATTTACTCATCACTAGACAAAATTGGGAGCCAAAAATTAATTGCTAGACATACAACCTTCAAAAATGACTCATTGTCAGTAAACAAATATTACACAAATAATGTGTAAAAATTCTCTGCTGACTGAGGGGGAAAACTTTCAACTAGACATAATAGAAAAGTTTGGATCTAAAATTATTTAAGCCCGGTACTTACAACTGAATGTTAAACCAATAAAAATATCTTAATAATTCAGTCATTACAGAAAGAAAGGGAAAAAAGTACTTTCAATGGTCTGTGAGTTGTAACTTGTGTGATAGTCCATCAGACTAGTCAGACAAAGTTTGAATTTCGGGAATTGTCCTATTCATATGTTTTTATGTTTGTTTTTTAACCTGTTGTTGAACTATAGAATTAAACATTTCCTGTCACAACATAATTGGTAGTTTAATCCAAAGAAGGCTGATTCTACTTAACTGAGCTTCTGGACTATTATCTTGTTTTACAAAATCATCCTTGTTCCACTGGTTATTTACTATTACACAAAGGTGATATAGTTAGCCAACAAATATATTTCTCCTGCAGAAGGAATGAGAAAATTGGGGTAAAATTGCCAATCTAAACACTATGTTGTCTCACTTGTTATGAGAAGAATGACAACAGTCATTCACAATAGTGAAATGGGTGGTCTTTGCCTCATTTGGCCCTTCAATGGAATTCCATTCTGTCAGACAATCAGGGATAAACAATTGTCTACTCCTCACATTTTGTCTAAAAAGTATTTTCATTTATGTACGGTCAAACATAGTGTACCATATATCCTATATATATCCACTGAGTCCTAACATTTTCCAGTACTTTGCAAATATGTAACACAAAGAGGGATGTGAATTGATTAACTCAAATTATAAGTAATGAAATTAAAATAAGCAGATCTGAAATGAACATTGATCAATTTTTACATTTACTAAACTTGACAATTTACTATTATTTTGTTTTATTTGTAAATTTATCTTTAATTCAGGTGTTATTCATATATTTTTTATATAATAAAAACCACGTAATAGAAACATAGAAATGATCAGTTTTGATCAAACTACAATAGGTTTCTTATGAAAGATATTTGATTTTGAAATAAATTTGACCGTTGATGTGCAGTTTTATTTTGCTGGTTCATTCCTATTTTATGATAACTTTGAAATAACTGAAAGCTTGTTATTGTTTCGAAGAATAATAATGTTTCATTGAATCATTACTAAATGACAAATCTTTTATTTACTTTCTTATTGCAGTAATAGTGATAATCATAAAGTGTTGAATCCGAGGTTCTAGAGGAAACTACTATTTTCTAATTATTACACCAAATTGTAAATTTGTACTTTTTGCCATATTTTCAGTTCAACATATTTTCAAAAATATAAAATGTAAATATTATATTATATAATTATTTATATTACGTAAATATAAATCTTATTTAAATAATGTAAAAAAAAACACAATTGTATGTTTTTAAACTGGTCTAAACAAAATTAATACAATATAGCAAGTTAAGAAAACAAGAAAACAGTAGAAAATATATTAGAGAGTCTGTGAGAAAGATGCGTGGAAAAAAAAGTTCTGTTTTATGCAAAAGAGGAATGACCAATGACCACTATATGTTTGTCGGCCCATAACTAATATATACATTCAACTTGATAATTTGAAACCCAAGGGACCACAAAAATAATTCCAATTATCAAGGGGAAAGAAGAAAAATCAAACTATTAAGAGTTGATATGCATTTTTGAAAGTTCCTACCTAAATTGTACATATATAAAACTAATATAATAATATATGGAATTAGATCAACTGTAAAACTGAACATTATTATGCATTATTTTTAAAAAAATTTAGCCTGGCGGCCTTTGTCTAAATGATTTTCCAAAGTGACCAGTGCTGAAGAAAACACACTGACCACTGAACATAAATTAGAGAAAATTCGAAGAAACTTTAGTAAGTAAATTATATGTGGAAATTTAGAGGAACATTACAAGGAAAAAATTTTAATTATGAAGAGGGGAAGTGGCTGCATTTCAGTTTATAGAATGCTCTCTCTCTCTCTTCCCCTCTTACAAAAAGTATTTTATACCAAGTATATCAAAATAAACAAAAGGTGTGTGTGTGTGTGTGTGTGTGTGTGTGTGTGTGTGAGTGTGGGTATGTTTATGTGAATGTGTTCACTAAAGGTTTCTGTGTTTTGAAGACAAAATTTTGAGACATGCACTATAAATGTATAGATGTAGGTTTTAGAAATATAACTTTTTTACAATTAGTAGCATTATAGTAACATATTATAGGTTAAAATTAGCTCAAATTCCTCAATATACATGTTAAAATGTGAAAATAAAGCGATACTGGACATATAGTAATGCTTACAGTTCAACTACTATTGGTGTCATGGATAAGGGGTCAGATCACTTAACAATACTTTTTCCCTTAATAAATTTAATATAAAATTCCAAGAGAAATGCTGAATATTGCACACAAAACCATTAAAATGGCTAATGCAAGAATCAGCCAACCCAGCAACTGCTGCTGTAATTCCCAATATATAACTGATAGGCGAAGCTCAGTGATGTCAACATTAAATTGTATAGCTTTTATAAATGCCATCAAACCCTCATATTTGGAAAAAACCTAAACTAATACCTATACATGAAAAAATTTCAATTCAATTCAAAAATGTTCATTTAAACAAAACTTTCAATATTTAACATCAGAGATTATGGTTAACGACAATTTAAATTTAGAAGCAATATGCATGCATAAAACAATTTAAAAAAATTAATAATAAGTAAATAAATAACTTACGGAAATAGTTGAGAGTCTCCCTAATCTGCTCAGGTGTAAGAGGGGTATCGATTTCTTCAGGTTTTAGGGCTGGACTTGGGATAAACCAGTCTTGATTCTCATAACCTGTAATATAGATAGTCATGTTATGGGCAAGTGGCTAACGTGAAAGATCTGACTGTAAAGTTGACAAAATATTTATAAGCTAAGGAAGGTTAAAAATGAAAGCTAAAATTTCACAAAAAGATAAGATAATAAAACAGACGATCAATAAGATTGCAATTTTGACCAAGACAATTAAACCTTAAGCAATACATAATGAATATTAAAAAGGAGAAGTTTTCATAATTATTTATAATTAAGTTTTAGTAATGAATAATATTCAGAATGAATTTATTGACCTCCTTAGCATTTATATTTAATGTAAACCTCATGTGCAATTTTACATATTTATCAATGTAATATAAATTATATTTTATTCAGCATACATATATATTCTTTAAATATAATTTAGTATTACCTGTGAAGCTTGTGAGTGTATCAGCTCGAAGTTTGTATTTTGGAATTTGCTCTTCCAACAAACTTATAATTTCTACCTCTGGCAAATCCTCACCGCTACACACATCTATAAGAGAAAATATGACTCTCAAATAATACATTTTCATAAACATCATAGTCTGTATGTTTTGACAATGGGAATGAAAAGCATGTTGTGTAAGTTTAAAACAATTACATGGAATGTTTCGGGCAAACAATATTTAAGAAAAAACAATATCCTCTCATCTTAGAGATGTAAAAACACAACAAATTGGTCTAAAAATATTTATTTTATTTTTTTGGTATAAAAAGAGCATTAATACTATCAGATGTAAGTGAGTATTTTGAAAAATTCAACACTTAATAATTTAAAATGTGATTATACAAAAACCAGTCATCAATATTAGCAAAATAAAAGTTAAATGAAGTTAAGAATTATTATACGTATTATAAATAATAACTGCGTGTATTGTATGAGACATTCTAAACTTAAGTTTTTAATTAAACCACCTCTTTTTTTAATAACTTTTTTAAATGTAAATGATCAATTTAATTAATAAAGCAGAGGGTATAATAAAGTAAGTGGCTTACTAGTCAATTGAGTAATTTACTTTTTTAAGTTTTACCCTCAGTCCATTTATCTAGGATATCCTGTTCTTCTTTTACTCTTCTTCTACGTTTAATTCTCTCATACTGGCAATGATCAGACCACGGAAACATTTTTTATGATTTGATTCTGCTGTTAACGGGTTGTAAAAATTCATGGGAATGCGAATAGTTGGTATTCTCCCTTAAAAGGTACTTCAAGGGGCAGATATCAAATATGCACTTTCTGTTCCACTGCACTACTACGTGAAATCTTGTTCCTGTCGGGCTCAGGGTAACAAATTAAAATAGAACCAGGCCTGGACTGGCTCCAAACGGTGGAAAGTCTACTCATTCAGAACAAAACATTTGGGGTTCTTTCAAAATACTCCATTCTATAGAATTTTCAAAAAATAAATAAATGAGACAATGACCACATAAATTTAGTGTCAACCAACTCTAAATTCGTAAATATCTTCATTATTTACACATAATTTTCATTGAAAATTCAATTTCAATAAATTCATTAAACATGTTTTGTTATTTTAACTGTTTGTTAATCATATTATTCAGAAGACTGAACAAAGGAAATATGCAGTGATACAATATCATACAAATAGAATGATAATGATTAGGATGGAGGGCTTGAATAATCTAAAATAGGACATCATTTATAGCCACAATTCCCGGCCCTTGACCTTCTGTCCTTGAAAAGCAAACATAACTGTACTTAAAATTAAATCTCTGAATGATGATGCAAAAATTGAATTTTAGTTGTTGTAATAATAACATCGCCAAACTCAAAACTATGGATTAGGTCTTTTGTCACATAATTTCCCCTTTAGCTCCCCAACCAAGGAAAATGTTGGATTTGTACCTGTAATTGTTTGTGCGTCAGTCCTGAGGGAGGTGGGGCGGTTGGAGAGGTGGGAATCATCCTCTAGGCCCGCCAGCTTGGACTCTACGCACCTAGAGAAGAAATTTAAAAACAATAAATAAAACAATTATCAAAATGCAAAAATACCTGTTTTTTAATCTTAAAGAAAAATAAGATAAAAACACTAGTACAAACTGATTTAAAAAACATTTTAAGCTCTATAGTAAGGTTTGACTTAATGTTGTATAACTTTATTTCAATCTAATAGGTAAAAATGCTGAAATATTGGTCAAAATTAAAACTTAGTAAGTAAAATAATAAGAATAATAATAAGCATTCTAAATAAAATTTAGAAAGGTAAAAAAGAAACAGCACTAACTAGAGTTAATCATGCGATTCTAAAGAATATGGAATAAGTAAAATTCCCAACAAGGAATATTTTCTTATGTGGATGGATTTGTCCAAAATGACTTCATTTTGTAAGGGTGGTTTTTTTTTAATTTTACTATTTTTTACGGCAACCATTGACTGCAGAGTTGCCAAGATGATAGTGACGCCAAGTAAGCAGCTGGGTTTAAGTGCTTATGTCATTGGCAAAAATAGATTTCACCTCCCCCTATTAATACGGTATAAATGGACCCTTCCTTTTTGCATGATAGCCATATAGAGCAAAATTAAACAATTGATTTGTAATTTATGCTTACCGGTGTCAAAATTATAATTATGAATCTCATATTATGAGTTTTATTAGAATAAATATTATAAATTTACCTGAGACAAGTAATAGTTAGATATTATATAAAAAGGACATTTATGAAAAATTATAAATATCATGTCAAAACATGACAAAATTTCAGTTTTAATTACTGCCCTAAACTGTATAAATTCAATATTCAAAAACTTGGACATAACAGTAGTTAGAAAGATCTTGAGAAAAAAAATAACTTGCTTAGTTAATTCAAAGTTTCAATTGCTTTAATCTGACCCGGTTAAACAGTGTTTAGATTAGTTTAGATTACTTATGATAACTGCATTCAGACATTTATTAACCTTTACTTTCCTCCCTTCTCCCAGAAATCAAACTTTATTACAAAGTTAATTCTGCTACAGATGTGAGTAGATTGTGAAGATAGATTCTGATGTGAGTATAGTTTTTTCTCTATATAAAACTATGAGCTTCAATGTTAAAAAACGGTTCTGCAGAATATTCAAAAGAATTTAGCTGACCTCAACCATAAAACATTTTGCACTATAAAAACTAAACAGTTGGATTCCTGACTGCAATATCTTTCTATGTAAAGTTTATCAGTCAAACAAATTGTAAATTATGACATGACATGATTTTTTTTTTTAATTGTGCTTAAAGTACTAAATGCATAACTATTACCACAATTGAAAACAAAAAAATTGGATTTTCTGAAGCATAATATAAGTTTATTTTTAAATAGTTTTTATTGGAGTATGCTGTTTCCTTCCATCATCAATCTTGACACAATCTGTACGATAAAAAAGCGGACACAAGTTCAATCATTTGCTGGGCACAAAACTATTAAGTTGACAAATCTTGATTGAAGCAGAGCATTGTAGAGCCAATTGAGATAATGTATTCCTATGAAAAATCTTTATCAATAATGATACAAGTTTAATATATCAAAATATGTTTAAAATTCATTTACATAAAAATTAATCAATTTTTTAATTTCTATCATTAAAATAATTTATGTTTATAATTTAGAGAGCTCTAAGTATATAATAGAGTAAAATAATTTTAAACAATTGTTTGTTTCTTTTTTATATTAGAAAATCTAGATAATTATTGACATTTTGATACTTGTACAACCATAACTATTATTAAAAAATGATTTTATTAATGTTATTATTATTATTTATTTAAAAGTTGTACACCCAAAACCTTCTGAAACCCAGCTTAATCTAGATTATATTCTCTATTATTAAAATATTTCCCTTTTTATTCAACAAATTATTCACCAAATGCAATATCTAAACCTTGGTGATCAGCAACGATCAAAATACTGATATTAGTTCATACATTTACAGGCGGTCAAAACAATTATACACTGGTGACTAGACTATACTAATTTTAAAATTTAGAAGATAGAGCTGGTTTTTGGTTATTCACGTATTCAAATACAGAATGAGTTTTTATTTGACAGAATTAATTTATTAACACCTTTTCATTGTGAAATTGGAATTAAATTCTTCCAGTGTTTACCAAGTTTTTTTGTTTTTTTTTGAAAATTAAGAAAATTGCACCAGAGTACATGCAGGTGGTGCAATTTTGCTTGCTTTTGTGTTTAAAAATGCACCACCCTGTATATTTGCACATCACCCAACCACCAACAGCCAGCATGTTTTCAATTATCCCTGCAAATTAATATTGTATTCACATGGAAAAGTTACAAGTAAATCAAATTAGGATGGCGTTCTGTAATGAAATAGCTAATAGATGTATATTTGGCAGTACTTTCACATCTACCTACAATATTTGTAAATATTGTTTTTTACAGTTTCCTTCTGTTTTTCCTTAACTTAATTTTTTAAGGCAGTCACAAGGAACAATGTTATGATTTAACAATAAAAACAATTTTGTATAATTTTTACAAAATTGTACCAAAAAATGGTTAACACAAAGGATTTTATAAACCCCATGACTTACTATCACTCCTGCAATAAAAATATGACTTTCTAATAAATTTAAACAAAAAAAGAAAAAAGTTTTTGCATTATAAGTAGAGCCTGGATAAATCCTCAAATATGCCATATAATACGCAATAATAAAAATTCAACTATGCAATATAACTTGAACTAAAAATAGTAAAATACACAGCATGAATGCCAGAGACATCACCTGACTAATAAACTTTTTTTAAAATCTAGATATATATTTTCTTTGTGATTAATGCATATTCATTTTGAAAGAAAATAGGATAATTTAGAATAGACAAAATAAATAGTTAAGCCTAATTAAGTTCATGATCTGAATATACATTTCAAAATTAGTTTCTGTAAAGCCAAAGCAATGCTCAACACGCATTTGTGCCAAAAAAAAGACTTTTCAACATTAACAGAGGTATAGGGCGCACACTTGTATCTTAAAGTGCATAAATGTATCACTGATGCTCCATATAACAACTTTATTTTTTCCATTTAAGATTTTATTAATTTTCCCCATTTCAGTCAATCCAGTATTTTTGTCAATGATGTTTTTTAATTTATCTTGTAATTTTAAAAAAAATCTTGTAATATAATTCCTGCACTGCTGGGATTTTTATTCTTTTTTTAAAACCAAAAATGGATTCATTTCAGCCTACAATGGGCTAAGGGGTTCAGGGTTCTTGATATCCCACAATTTCACTTATTCATTCGCACAAAAGAACAGCAACATTAATGTATCACTATTCTTATCTATTTGTTCAAAGTAAACGTGTCGGCCTACCTCGACACTCAGTGAAGAGCACCGCGGTAGGCTAGAGCTGGCGACATGGTCTCTATCACCACCGACAGGACATCCCGCGTCATGCCAGTGTCACTGACACCACGGGATGCAAGCTGTACTATCACAAAAATTATCAACAATAAATAATAAATCCAATATTTACAGAATAAATGTGGGGAAAGGCCTTAAACGTCATATCAGGGGAACCAACAACTTACTCTCATGGTCAAGGACTGTGTTATATTGGGTAAAATGCCTACTCGCTCCCTATAAGGGGCTAAGGTCTGGTACTCCTTGACCAAGTGTGATTCTGAGCTGTTAAAAGCTAAATCAATTCAGCGACCTACACCATCCATCACAAACCCATTCTTACTCATGTTCGTTCTTCAATACATGCACTCCTATTAACATACCATTCATTCAATTAGGGTAATGGATTACTCGATATTCCACCCTCACCATCTACTCATGTTATAGAACTGGCTTAATTGAGGGTCAATGGGGTACTAGATATTCTGCCATCGAACTCTCACATCACAAATTCATACTAATAAATACATTCTCAACACAAACAAGGTATACACAAATGTTATTACTACATACAAAAGAACAACCCCATTTCCTCCAAGAATCGGAACAGGGAACCCAAATACCCACTACCGTGGCTCAAGCACAATTCTTAAATCAGGTGGCATTCCTGTGTGCTATCTATAAGGAGCCAAGGAATTGTACCCTTCAATGAGGTGAGACACATCGGGCAACCTTGTTGCTTGCTTCCTTTGCCTTCTTTTTTTTTTTTAAGTAATGACAAATGTTTCAAATATGCAGAATAAAATTTGAACCATTGTACCACAGAGATATGATTCGGCTTCTGATAACCATGATCGTGGTTAGCAAAAAGAATATGCAATTGCCTACAAACCCAGGCTCTAATTATAAGACAAAGTACCCAATGAAATTCAACTTTTCAAACCAAACTTGTCAAACCTGATATGCTCTACAGTCATTTTCTAAAAAAACTTTGCCCGACCTCTGATCTAGAATATACACACAACTTAATGTTACTAGGCATTTTAATGTTTTTAACCTTAAATGTTAACAATAATTTACCTCTCCTGTCAAATTTCACCGTACCAACGGCCAGCGCACTTTAATGTTTATCAACCTACAAATGTAAATACTTAGCAAAAGACCTTTAAAAAATAATCTTTTTTTAAATAACTATGAAGATACGAGATAATTTATAGTTTTGAAGAAAAAAACTAATTATTTTTCTTTCTTACGTTAAAAAGAAATTTTAAAGTGACTTACATTCATCAGCCCAAGAGTGAAATGTTCCCAAATTAAAAAACAAGGAATACTTTTAACTTTTAAGGCCAGCCTTATTAATTGCAATGGCAAATGACTAACAGGAAATTCCAAGGACTCAGTAAGGACTGATGTATGTAATATATTAAAAAGGTTAAACCCCAAATTGACTTTTATCATGGATGAACGATAGTACCTACAATGTAAGATCTCTGTAATAAAATCAGTAATAAAATACTGATAAAAGAAAAATAAACAACTGTAAACGTCAAAATACTCAAAAGAATCAACACTGACTTTTTTACATTATATATGATTTAAGGGTATAATTTAGACAAAACTCACGCATAATGATCATTCATCTACTTTCATTCCTAGTTGTTATTTAACACGAAAGAAAATCGTTGAAGAGGAACAACAAGGAAGTTCCTTTCTGATATTACAATAACTGTTGAAATTATATTTTCCTCAAGTGTTTAAAATATTTCTGGGGTGTTTAAACAAACCAACTTGTAAATTATGAAAAATCCTGCCTAGACAAGGAAATCTATGTTTGATGGGTCAAGATCGCCAAAACAGTCCACGCCTAATATCTTTATTTCCTTTTTGCACACACAATGTATAATTAATTAAATAATAGTAATTTAGAGGGAAAACGAGTTTGAAATATTGTTACCATTGTCAAAAAATAAACGTGATAAACCGAATAAAATAATCGTTATCAGTTGAATTTCCAAAGGGCAAAACCTGCCTCAACATTGTCATTTTAAAAACATAATTATCCCACCCTTGGTATAAATTAGATTTTTAATATTTTTTCTATTTATTTCTAAAGTACTCACTCCGATTGCGTATCCAAAGCTACATCGCATTAAGCAGGTCAGACGTAACGATTAAAATCAAAAAGAAATGTTTCATAATAAAAGTAACCATTTTTTACTTCTGAAAGCTCTACACTGCCTCTGGGATGGAGGCCGTCTTCGACTTCCAACGGTCCCCGTTTAAAAATTTACAAAACTTTATTAAAACAAAAAAATTGAAGGAAATTTCCTTTAGAAAATAAATTCGTGGCGTTTGTTTTTCTAAAAATGTAGATTTTCTTTGCTAGAAAAGGAGGCAATTTGAGAGAAAAAAAATTCAAACGGTATAGACTAATTTTCAAAATAGAATTAATGTATCTGTTTTGAGAGGTTTTTCAATAAAAAAGTTAAACAATTTACTAATTTATTTTTTTAAATTGCTATAAAATAGTATTTTTGGTTTTTTAAAAAGTTAAAACAACGTTTATTTCTTTAAATCAATAACATTGAAGCTTGGAGGTGACAATCAGCTGATAGTTACGTCAGACGAGTGTGATAAGGAACACTAAAAACATAGTTTTGTTTGTTTTTGTTTATTTTTATATTTTTAAATGAAAATCCAGTATCGAATTTGATTTTCATCGGATTTTTTAATTTCGAAAGTTCCTTTCTTCGAGTAGAAGGTCGTTTATGTCAAAAATTGCCGGGCCAGTTGGGAATCCGGTTTTGAAACCCGAGTCTGCTTTGAACGGAGTTATGATCATTTTATTGTTCTGATCCCCTGGACAGTGACGATGTTCAAGCCGGAGTCGCAGAAAGAAGCCTTCCTCGAGCACACGAAGGCTGCCAGGGAGGAGAGGGCGCTGGAAAAACGAAGGGAGAACGCTGCCACGACCATCCAGGCTCACGTCAGGGGTTGGCTACAGAAGAAGAAGTACTGCCGTTCCATATTGTAAGTCCTCTTTTTAACCACTTTCAGCCTAAACTTTACAGGTTTGACGGAAATTGTCCGAATAAACTAAAGGACAAACGGCTATTCAAAATCACTCAAAAATCAATAGGGTTATTGACATTGGGCAGATGTGAAATTCCCAGGTTTCCTAAACATTGAAGAACATCTCTGCCTCTATGAGGTGGGGCATTGTCATCCAGAAATCGAAAATCTCTGCCAATGAGATCCCGGGCTTGAGGGATGTATTCTTAGATAATTTCTTGGACGTAACAGACTGCTGTGAGGTTGCCTTCAACAATATGGAGGCCAGTTCGTCCTCCAGGTAAATCCCAGCCCAGACATTACACCGCATGCTCAAAACTGCACTGAAGGGAACACGAACTGGGGTATTGTACACATCCCCGTTCTTGATAGACTCTTTGGTGCCTGTTATCACTATAAAGACAGAAACGCGACTCATCAGTAAACATAACAGCATTCCAATTGATGTTCTCGTCTAGGTGCTCGCTGCACCAGATTCTCCTGAGCTGCAGAGCGTCTCAAAGGGGCATACGATGTGAGGCCAACTTCCGACTAACGATTATGAATCGTGCCTTGCCAAAACGTACTGTAATTCATTAAAGATTTGACGGACACATGGAAAGGGTTCCGTCTTGCAACAATTACAATATTTCTGTCCTCCCTTAGGGTCATAATGCAATGAGATCCTCTACCAGGCCTCCTATTCGCACTTCCGGCTTCTTAGAATCAGGCCCCGGGTGACCACACTCTGAGAAACGCCAACTGCCTCTGTCATATGCACTTGCCTGTGACCTCGATGCTTCTTTCTCTCAGTAATATTGTGTACTTCTGGTTCAAGATGATGTCTTTCCATAGTTAAAGAGAATACAACTGGATTAAAATGGAGAAAAGTCAAAAGTCAACAAAATGAGCAATCTTCATGTTTACTATTCTTAAGTAAATCCGTTATTAAAAATGAAAATTAACATTTATTTCTGGTTTTTATTTTCTATTTTGTTTTATCCAACTAACACTAATATATATGTTAATTTAATTAGAATTAATAGAATATGAATAAGTTATGAATATCTCTGTTCATTTTTGAGCAGCATCACAGGCAGTCTTCACTCTTTCACTTTCAATTTATTGATTTGTATCTTTTTTGCAATACAATTAAAATGAATTCAAGAGAAATGCCAGCCAGGTAGTTCAGAGTCTGCAAGGATAAATGCGACAGAATATTGTACCTATGCGAGGATATATGCGACATTTGGGAAAACGAGTAAAACTTTGAGCGCAGGGTTGTTGTAGAGCACTATGTACCATTAATACACACTAATGGACGAATCTAACACACCGCTCAATTTATTCAGTTTAAAATTAAATTCATTATCTTTCTATACATTGAATGCATTGCAAAATATGTATTCTAGTAGGGTCAACTGGAGAGAAGATGATATTATTATCGATAATAAGGCGAAATGAATTTTATTTACATACACAGGTAAAATTTGTTGCAATCCAACCGAAGGTACACATAGTCAGATATATTTTCTGCTAGGTTTAACTTAAGAGTAAATGATAACTACAAATCATCTTTCTGAATGATGTTACAAGAATTTTTTGGACATTGAAGGAGTCTAGATTTCAGTTGTCATGCTAAGTCAGATGTACTTTCTGCTTGGATAAAATTGACTAACTATGATAAGTTAAAATACCCAAATTTCTGTTGAATGCCATAATTAGTTAATGTATTTTCTACTAGATTTAATTTAACAGATGACAAAATTTGCATTCAATTTATACATTACAATATGTCATGAATTTGTTGGGAATTCAAGCAAGCTGTGACAAACATTTGGTAAATGAAAAACAATGCTCTCAGTGATTAGTTTTAATGATTCACTAATGAGTGTTTTATGTAAATTGATGCTATTTCTAGGTCAGGATTTATGGACCAAATGTGTCATTTGGGAAGACAATAAAATGAGTAAAAGTTTGCATTAAGCCATTTGATTTTATGAAATATATTAGTATACTAATAATAATTAATAAGTGCCATACATGGAGTCAAACTACTTTACAATTATTTTATATAAATTATTCTCAAACAGAATTATCAGGGCTATGCTGGGATTCGAACAGAGAACCGCTAGCATATGGCAAGACTAATAAAAATGTCAATTTTTGACTGTTTTCATTATGAAAAAGTTCTGGTTTAGCAAAACATGAGTAAAAAATAATAAGCATCATTATTGATTGAGGAACAATAAAACTTCAGTTTCTGCTTAATTGACTAATTTATTTTCTGTTTAGCAGTACACTCTGCTTTGCATCGAATTTACTAATATTCCCATAGTGCATTTTAAAAAATATTCTGCATTCAAGTTGTTGAGGCCATCAGAGGACTTGATATACCACAAAATTACTGAAATTATATAGTCTGATGATACATTTTAAGTTGTTACATTTTTATCAAATGAAGATTGGAGTGAAACGACTCCAGAAGCAAATCAGTGTTTCAGATTGAGCCACATTGGCATTTGATCGACAAAAATAAGACCATAAAGGATTTTGACCAGTGCCATTAGATTTTTCATGATATCTAAAATGTAAGATACCATCTGATTGAAAAAAAAAATCAAAATATTTCCAGATATAAATCCCAAAAATTGTAAAAATAATAAGTATTTATTAGTTAAACATTTTTCAGTTTATTTAGTAATTAATGTTTAAAAAATTCACTATTACAGTATCAACCAAAACTGAGCTATCATACAATTAGGTAATACAATTTTTTTTCTTAATGAACATGTGATGAAACTCTGTTAAAACTTAAAAATTCACAACTCAACCATAACGTTAGCCTAGATTCGTTGAAGAGTTAAACTACACATCAGGTAGAATGACCGAAAGTTTCAGGATTCTCTTGTACGTTTTAAACTTTTTGGTTTTATCCCAGCTAAAATTTATATTTATATATTCAAAACCTTATACGGTTTGTATTTGTTATGATCGATTGTCAATTGTGTTAACAAGCAGTTCAACTTGACTTTTGATTAATCCATTTACAAGCTTATCTTAAAAAAACAAATAAATGTTTAATTAAATGCGTACATCTTCATTATTATTTTTGTTTGAGGCAATTTTATGTGAAACATACCAGTTTGTGTAGAGCCCCCCTCAAGTATAGATATATTGATTGACGAGAGATGACCTATCTTAGCTCTATTTTAAAATATTTTTTCTGTTTCCTAAGCATCCATAAACTTCATTGCACAATAAAAGTATTTTTTATTGTTATTATTATTTTAAACCCAACACTTTGCAATACTACTTTAAGTAGTAACAGATAGGACAAAAATAATTTATCCAAATATATAAAAAAAATTGTAAAAAATTTTCTAATATTAAGCACTTGCATAAAGCTGCTGTTTAAAATCTGATATTCTCCTATTACTTTTTTTTTTTTTTTTTTCAAAAAAAATTCAGGATGACATAATGCATAAGAGAAAGCAGAAGAAATAAAACAACAAAATGTATAAATAGGGACACTCCAGATTATATTAATTTTCCCAGATATTTTTAATGAGTCACAAATGTCCTGTTGTATTGATCCATATTTAATAGAAACAGGGTGTTTTAAATTTGCAAAGGGACAAAAACAGACTATGACCCCCCCCCCTAATTACATAGAGTAGCATATCCATTATTAAGAAGGAACATTATCTATTTTATTATGTACAATGTTTAATTATCAATCAGTATCTTCACATGCTCAATATCGCTCTAGAATTGGTGTCAGCAATAATGCTCGAATTTCCTATTTGCCATGTTACTACATTTTCAGTTTTGAATCTTAGCATAGTCCTTGGAATATTGCCCTTGAAACACCCAACAGTTGGACGTTAAAACTTCTGGTATGACAGGAATTACTTTACTCAAGGATATATATTAATAGTAAAACCACCCAACTTAGCTATTTACATTATTAGTAGACTTGGGTGGTAATAACAAAAACATCAGCACACTTATGTAATTTGTATTAATTTAATGCCTCAATTTTGATGTGCTGTTTGTATTTATTTTTTAATGATGAATTTTGTTTGTTATAGAAACGAACTTGAAAAAGAGATACCAGAAGATATCAAAAACCCTAATGTAAAACCAGCTTTATATTATTATAAATTGATTACCCGATATCTTACAATATGGAATAAAAAAAGGGATAAAACAATTTTTGAAAAATTGTGCAGGTAAAAATTTGTTTTTCTTCTCTAGCATTAAATCACCTCATAAAACGAATTTAATATTTCAGTTATCTTGTGGCGAGTGTAGAATCTGAAAACCCCAAGTTGAGTTATGTAGGCGTAGCTTTGAATAAAGAATATTCCTTGTATTGGATTAAACAGATAAAATCAATTTTATGGATTTGCTGCGAATACCTTGAAACGTTGAAGCCTGAAGTCAGCTCTGAGCTACGTTCGATTCTTCTCTTTCTTCGAACTCTCGTTTCTTTCACTTCAACAAAAACATGGGGTTTACTTCACAACAAATCTATGGAAAGTCTGATACCTGGAATGAACCAACTATGTGCCAACATTATGGGCTTTCTTTTCATGAGGGGGTTCTATTTAAATCTAAAGGTATTCAAATGTCACTTAAATTTAATCAAAAATACTTTAAAGTGTGGATTGATGTAATTTTTGTTTTTAGTCCCTTCTTTTAAAAGGCCTTTCAAGATCAAAAGTAACTTTAAAAGGTGTTGCTTTAACAGCAATAATGACTTTAGTAACTAGGCCGTTGATCTCAGCATCTATGTCAGACAAATTGGTATCAATGTTCCTTATTCATATATTTAGCGTTCCGGGTCTAGTCCTTCACTTAAATCAGCTCGCTCCAGAAGTAAGTAAGTGGCCTTCGCAGTGTCGACAGTACGATTGCATTTTTATTTTTTTCCCCTTTGCTTCAGTGCATTACTCTACTGGAATCTCATGGAATCCTGAAAAGGAGTTTAGAACTGCTAAGCATTCAGCAAGATTTAAGGATAGTTTTTAATGCGCTGGAAGGGAGTTATGCTCTCTGTCTCATTGCCAATATTATTCACATGGCACATATCGAAAGAGAAATAATCCTTTCTAATACTAATGCAGCATTGTTCACAGTAAGTTAGAAATCTGTTAATAATTCAATTCATTATTAGTGCATGATATATAACAATTTTGTAATTTTATCTACAGAGTGTTGTCACCAATCTTTTAAGCAGTTGTCAAGCATATGTTGTTAGCAAACAATCAAACTTAACCCAATGGCACCCAGTCCTGGGATGGTTTGCTCAAAGAATGGACTCGGGCTTGCAAGAAAGCCTGGTGTATGTGAAAACTCAGCTTTATCTCCTTTGGTCTCAACCAGATGTTTCCGCTCTGCTCGGATCACTTTTAGACCAAGTATCGTTACCAACTGCCGAACCGCAGCCTCCTACGAGCTCCAATTTTATAAAGTAAGTGTCCGAGGTTTAATTGGCGTATGATTTAATTAGTCGACGGCTTGTTTTTATTTTTAGGAGGGCGATAGATGCACGGATTAACAGAGCAAACAGTGCAAAGCAGCCGAGGTATAAACTGGGCACGCCGGAATGCCCGTTAACAAAAGTGGCAAATGTTTGTACACTTTATTACACATCTCTTAATACTTTGTCTCAGCTCAGATTAGATATTTTAACAGGTAAAATAACAATTTTATATTTAAATGAGGGTATTTCAACTAAGAGATTATATGAACTCACGGGGTGCCAGTGTTTAAAAAAAATATTGTATGTCAGGTTTGAATGCCATTGGATTCGAACCCAGGACTTTTACCTTACAGTGATGAGCGCTGTATCAATTCCAAAACCATTGCAGCCACTGACGCCCCATAAATCATTTTTTAAATAATTAACTCATTGTTTTACTCATGATTTTGGTCAAAAATATCCTGTATATTTAACAAAATTCTTCCTTTTTATTCTTTTTATTTCCCCATTTTATGAGTAAATCATATTTTAATCTTACATGTCAAATTTATCCTAATTTAATAATTAATTATATTTCATTGTATTAAAACATAAATAGCTTACCCATAATTATTCTTATAAAAATAATTAACTAATTTGTCTGTATGAGTGTGTATAAAAATCATAAACTTGACAAAATTTCAATAATTAACCACATCTCATTTTCAGGGTTGTGTAATAAAGAATTAATTCTTTATAGACTTTGGAAGTTTTTAGAGTCACTAGGTCCCAACTGTGGAGTGAAGTCATTTTTAGATTCTCTAGCCGATAATATGAAAGGCTGTTCTCCTGAATTCAACACTGTCATCCTTTTTTGTGAATGTATGACCCATTACGTGACGTAAGTAATTGTTCTCATGCCAAATTAAAAAAAAAAAAAACAATTGATTGAATTGGTTTACAATTTATTTATATTTTAGGATTTTGGATGATGTTGAGATGTATGAGCAGCAGAACCCTTTTAAACTAACGGACTATGTTTCTATGTCAGCTTTTCTAAACACGTTCCTTTACAAAGGAATTTTAAACAGCTTATTTGGTGAGTTAAAAAATAAATAAATAAAATTTGCCCCTTTAACAATAAAATCACTTTATTTTTAGACATGAAGGGCATTAATGGCACAAGCCTATTCCAAGCATTGCACACATTACTTATGGTTTTGTACAGGCGTGATAGCCGCAGGTCGTACTGTCCGCAGAACCACTGGCTTGTTAAAGAAATTAGGATTAGTAGTTTTATGAACGATCTTGACAAAGGAAAGAAGACAACACAGGTATTTTGGAAATAATATTTTTTTTATTTTGCTATACTGTATATTTATGATTGGCTTTTGTCAAAAGGTTTCTTGTCACTTCTAGACATTGACTGTAGTACTTAAATATTTGGTTGCTGCACGCATTAACCTGTAAATTAAGTAATTCCTATCATACAGGAGGGCTTAACGTCCAACTACCCGTTGGATGTTGTGGACAAGGAGTCTAACTATTTTACAATACTTTGTTCATATTATGAGCTATGACAAATTAAAAGTAGTAAATACCACTTGGAAGTCCTAAAACTTGATCCAAACCCGTGCAGGTGCCCCTTAATGTATTCCACATAATAGAAGCTTGTCATGCCTTGGCTCCTTACATAGAGCATGTAGCATACCACCTAATTTAAGAATTTATCCTTGGCCACGGTAGCGAGTTTGTGAGTCCCCTGCTCCACTTTTTGAAGGCTGTCGGAGTTTTCTATTGTATATAGATAAGTTCTATGTTTTTACTTGAGTGTGTGTATTTATTAGTGTGAGTGTATTAAATGGTGACAATTTATTTCACCATCGCCCCCCTCATCAAAGTGTGTGTTTAGGATTGGCAGAAGATCTATAAAGTACCCATCGACCCTAATTTAGATTAGATTATTAATATTCGTGTGACTGACTTATTGAATTTAAGTATTATTAGGCTTATTATTAGCTGTTGACAGCCGTCGATCTCCTGGGCATCTAGCTTAAGGCGGATACTGCGACCCAGCCACATGGGGTGGAACTCCCTGTTCTACAGTCCCTAGGGTCAGCACTTGAGAGAGTGATAACATTTCAGAGTGAAAGTAATATATTAAAGTAATAATATTAAAAAACAATTAAACGACGAAAATGTACTATTTTCCTCCTAATACTTTACTTGTAAAATACTTTTATACTATTATAATTAGTATATAATAATAACAAATCAATAAACACTAATTAATCATATTACTTAATTAACTAAAAATAGATAAATAATTATTAATGTTAATAACATAATTATAGTACCTTTTCAGAATGTGTAAACATTAATCACGAAATAAACTTTGCTTCAAAGCATAAGTGGGTTAAAATTTATTTATTGAAAAACACTACAGAATTATTATACGACTCAATTGATTTAGGTAGATATGATTATTATTAAATCATCAGCCTAGGCATTGCTTCAAAATAATTAAGAAAGGATACCAATAACAGCCCAAGCATTTAGTACTACAAGTAGATAGACCCCAATGATTATGGAGGATTAAACTACAGGCAATTATTCCATAAAAACAAAAATTTAATTTAAATTTAATAGAAATTAAATTCACTAGTTTCATGGTCCGCTTGACCAATTAATATCTTACTATTAATTAAGGTTTTCAGTTGAGGTAAAAAAGTCAATGGCACGAGCGGGATTCGAGCTTGAAAAATGGCAAAAAGGAGGGAAAATTCAAAAGGTGTGGTTGAGATGGGAAGTTGGTGTCCAAGTGGATCGAGGTCACGATAGCTCAAGTGGTAGAGTAGCGGCGTATCAAGCCGAAGATTGTGGGTTCGAATCCCGCTCGTGCCATTGACTTTTTTTATCTCAACTGAAAATCTTAATTAACTGTTTAATAGAAATATTTGGACCTGACGCTAAACTGGGTCCAATGACACTCGAACTTCAGTTTTGTGTCATCTTCAGTGAGGAACTGTTTTATTTTCATTTTTTCTTAATTTATATTTATAGTTTCTCTTAAAAATATTGATCTTCCTACTTTCACTATTTTATCATATTTCAGTTGCTACTAGCTAAAATGCCTCACATAATCCCTCACTCAGAGCGTGTCCAGTTATTTAGAAAATACGTTGCTAATGAAAAAGCTGTATTGGGTCTTACAGAATCCGCATGCGCTGCAGCTTCCTCGACACTCATAACGATTCACAGGTGGGTCAAAATTCTAGCAAATTTCCTTTTTTTTCTGGAATATTCTTATTTTATATTTATTTTATTTTTTTAACTTGGTCTCAAATCAACTCGAATAATTAAATTGCAGGAGTAGGATTGTTGAAGATGGTTACCGTCAACTTGCATTGCTTCCATCTCAAGCTTTAAAAGGAGTTATTCGAGTCAGATTCATCAACGAACAAGGTTTAGATGAAGCAGGAATTGATCAGGATGGAGTATTTAAAGGTAAATTTTTAATTATTTAGGTTTTCCTGTTGTCAAATAAAGTACGATAACTATGGGCATTTTCAGAATTTCTAGAGGAGACTATTAAGAGAGTTTTCGATCCATCTTTGAATCTCTTTATTGCTACTAGCGAAGAACGTTTGTACCCCTCACCTACATCACATTTACAAGACAATCACTTACAGCTGTTTGAATTCGTTGGAAGAATGCTTGGAAAAGCTGTATATGAGGTAATTAAAGAATACAAAGTTTATTATTATTCATTTAATAAGTGTATGTTGATTTTAGGGTATCGTTGTCGATGTACCATTTGCGTCGTTTTTTCTAAGCCAAGTGTTAGGGCAGACGCACGAAGCTCTTTACTCTTGCATTGATGAATTGCCATCCCTTGACAAAGACCTTTATAGGTATAATAACTCATTTTTGTAAATTGCATACCTACAAATTTACAATACCTTTATTCACAGGTCTCTTACATATATAAAACACTTAGAAGGAGACGTAAGTCAACTTGATCTAACATTTTCCATAGACCATGATGTAATGGGAAGACTTGTAACACACGAGCTTGTACCTGGTGGTCGAGCCTTGCCTGTCAACAATCATAATAAGTACGCAAAAAATTTTAAAAATTGGAATTTTTTTCTTTATTGTTATTTCTTTCAGAATAAATTACATTCATTTAATGGCCCACTTCCGAATGCATACACAAATAAAAGAACAGACTGCTGCGTTTATTAAAGGTTTTAGGTCAATAATAAACTTAGATTGGTTGGCACTGTTTTCAACCCCAGAGGTATTTTGTAAATTTTCTTATTTTTTTATTTCAATATTAACAACATTAATGTTTCAGCTTCAAAGATTAATAGCTGGTGATAATGTACCTCTAGATATAGTGGATCTTCGTAGGCATACTCAGTATTATGGTGGTTTTCACGATTCCCATAAAGTTGTCCTTTGGCTATGGGATATCTTGCAAAAAGACTTCAGTGAAGATGAAAAACGTTTGTTTTTAAAAGTATGTTTTTAAACTTTTTAAAAATAATTTCATACAGTATACTTTATTTATTTTATTTTTTTATTAGTTTGTTACTAGTTGCTCAAAGCCACCTCTTCTCGGTTTTGCCCACCTTGAACCTCCATTTTCCATTAGATGTGTGGAAGTCGGTGATGACGAAGACACTGGTGACACCATTGGTAAGTTTTCCTTTGTTATAAAACACTTGATAAATACTTGATTTTCCTTTTTAAAACAGGAAGCGTCATCAGAGGATTTTTTACAATTAGAAAACGTGATCCACAACATCGTCTTCCAACTTCGTCAACTTGTTTCAACTTACTCAAGCTTCCTAATTATCAACGAAAAGGTACTTTGAGGGATAAGTTAAGGTATGCCATATCTAGCAATACAGGTTTTGAACTTTCTTAAAAAGATGAAATCAAATTTAAAAAAAAAAAGAGCTTAATTTTGTTCAAAAATACTTAACAATTAAGTTATAAGATTCATTCCAATACACTTGTCATACATGATTACTATTATATGATATATTTTTCAATTAGCCAGTTAATCATACTAAACATTTGGTAAATATTTTTATCGCTATTTTTGTTGCCTTTAATGTTTATTCTATGATCAAAAAGTATATATAGAGATGTAATATATTGGTTGTTATTTATTTTGATATTATATATAGCAATGTAATTGTGCCTCAAATGAAATATAACATGTTGAGATCGATTGTACAATATTTTTTCAGATTTGGATTTGGAATCAGTTTATTTATTGGTAATTATCAAATTAAATGAAAACGTATATTTTGAAATATGGGCAATTTTTAAATTGAGATGTTAATTTTACAGTTTTTTCCTCTATGAAATTCAATCTTAATGAATAATAAATTCAAAAACTCTTTGCGATTATTGTAATTAAAATATAAACAATTCATTTGCACTTATGTCACCCTTTTGCAATACAAATTGTTTTATTTAAAATATTTTTTCCATGCCGACCACATCAAAGTAAAAAGTGCAATAAGATTGAGACTACCAGGCTAATGTGGTTTTTAATAATACAATTGGTGTATGTAGAGATTGTGAAAATAACCATTCTTTTATTTTTATTGATCCAGGAATAAATAAATTTCCAAAACTATCTCTATCTTTTCATTTTCTCTATATTTTCAAAAAAATATTGGCACACCCAACTATTTCTTAAATCTCAGAAATATAACAGTTTACTGTTTGATACTAAATTTGTTTAAAAACGGCAATAAATTGAGCAAATTAAATATAAAGTAGGAAGTTTATGGGCCGACAAACAGCATAGGTCATCGCCGGCCATCTTCGTGTTTTCCTTCTTTTTCTCTTCTTTCACACATATTTTGTTTTAAACTGCAGCCATTTGAGCATTTCAATGTGGTTACTGACTCTCAAATTTCAAATATATACTATTTTGATATCCTAGAATGCGTCTCTCATTTGTACCTCAGGATGTCAAAAACAGAATAGAAACAAAACATACAATACATATATACAATACATCACCACAAACATAGGTGTCTGGTTACATTCACTCCCCCAGAGTACTTGATATTCCTCAGGGCGGGGTTATAAGCATCCCCTTCCTTTCAGGCTAATAAATTACTTTTACTCTCCAGACGTCATACACACCCCAGAGTACTAGATATTCCTCGGGGCGGGGTTATAAGCAACCCCTTCCTTTCATGCTAATAAATTACTTTTACTCTCCAAACGTACTACACTTACCCCAGAGTACTCTATATTCTTCGGGGCGGGGTTATAAGCAACCCCTTCCTTTCACACTAATAAATTACATTCACTAGTTTTTGTGGTCCGCTTGACCAATTAAAACCTTTAAATTAATTAAGGTTTTTAGTTGAGATAAAAAAGTCAATGTCACGAGAGGGATTCGAACCCACGACCTTAGGCTAGATATGCCGCTACTCTACCACTTGAGCTATCATGACTTCGATCCACTCAGACACCAACTTCCCATCTCAATCCCACCTTTTGAATTTTCCCTCCTTTTTGCCATTTTTCAAATGTCGTGTAATCTATTTGATTCTCGGCGACAAATGAAATGGCCACGGAGAGCTTTATTTACTTCATTTTAACATTAAATTCACTAGTTTTCGTGATCTGCTTGACCAATTAATACCTTTCAATTAATTAAGGTTTTTAGTTGAGATTAAAAAAAGTCAGTGTCATGAGCGGGATTCGAACCCACGACCTTCGGCTAGATAAATTAAGGTGAGGTCGTGGGTTCGAATCCCACTCGTGGCACTGACTTTTTTATCTCAACTAAAAACCTTCATTAATTGAAAGCTAATAAATTATATTCATTGCAATAAATTAACACAAACACAACACTCGATAGAAGTCTGGGCACATTCACTCCCCCAGAGTATTCCATATTCCTCGGGGCGGGGTTGAACCCTCTCCACTCTCACTAATAACTTAATATTAAATTAAAAATAAGAGTGAATTTCAAGGAACAAAAAAGAATTGACACAATAGAAATTTTTTTAAACACAATTTTATTTACACTTCAATATTTTGTTACCATACTATTTGCCTCAATTTACCTGAAGTCTTCACAGCATCCAGGATTGTGGTTAATTTCAGGTCTAATTTGATCTGATTGAGCTGATGTTTTAAAGAAATTTTATTTTTTCATACTTTTAAGTCCAGCAAGTACTATAAATGTTCTATGGCTATGATATCCAGTGATTGTGGTGAAGTTTTAATTTGGCTCTAAACATTGCAAAGACCATTCCTTCCTTTTATCGGTCGTGTGCACTAAGCTTTGGATCATTGTTGGCTGGAAGATAAATGTTTCCCTTTTCAGCACTGCAGCTGTCAACATACTCAACTGTATTCATAATACCTTCAGGGAAAATTAGGTTTACAATACTGTCATTTCAATGTTGGCCTACAGTACTCATTTAAAATGCAGTATTTGGTTTTCTCTCAGTCAGAGCCGAATTGTGCTTACTTTCATCTGAATGTTCTTCCAAAATGGTTCATTTACGTAGGTTTTTGCGATCTCAAGATGTTTCAACTCAATTCACAATGCTCTCACATTTTACCCAGCGTTATTACCACTGAATTGGTCAGAAAATAATTTAGAATAAATAAAAATTTCGAATCCTGCTCGTGACACAAGCTTTGTCATCTCAACCAAGACCTTACATAAAAAGAATAATTAATTGAAAGAAGTAATTCGGTCAATTAGACCACTAAAACATAAATGGATTAATATTTAGAATAACACTTGTTTGTGTTTATTTCAAAATGAAAGGATTAAAATCAAGGATATCGTTTTGGGTGGATAATTCAAAATTAAGCAAGAAACAATTGTGGCAATACTTTTTTGACCCTTGAAAATGTACTGCTATTTATTAGTTTTCTTATTTTTTTAATTCAGTCAATTTATTACCAACAAAAATTAGTAGTTGGATCCTAGTTTTTGAATTAATTTAGTACCAAACTATTAAACTTGATATTTTTGAGATTTAAGAAAAATGAGTGGTGTGCCAATACTTTTTTGATCTTTTATGAACCTTCAGCCCACACTGTGATTTTTTCTGGGTTGTCAATTTAAAATTTTTCCATAATAGTTCAAATTTTATAAAATGGATGTTAAAGGGTAAACTAGACTTAAAATAATTTAAAAATTGTATAAATGTAATGATTATAACAGTGTTTACTTGTCATGTTGAAAACACAACCCTAAAATTGATCTACAAAAGTAGTACCAGTGGTACTCTAACATAAATGTTTTTGGAGAATTTTTCTTCACTCTTTTCTTTTTATATAGTTGCTTGCAGTACTATAGTTTAGAAAGATTGGAAAAATGGAATTTTAATCACATCACATTTTATAACCAATTTTAACTATGATTTTCATATTTGTGCATTAGTTGTATAATTACATTTTATGCTGAATGAAGTTTTGCTAGGTGAATTAATGAATTTTCCTAGATCAACTCGATTGGTTGTGTTTCAACATTTTGTTATTAGTTCAGAGAAGATGATAATAAAGATGATAATAATGCCAAAAGTCTGACTAAAACGTCAACAACCATAATCACGGTAGTATGATCAGGACTAATAATGCTTCAATGTTGGTTTATCTTTCCATTTCCTTGATTTATTTTTCACTTATTAATCAAACTATTGTTTTCTGAATCTGTTACAAAAATTTGTGATGAATAGTCTCAAAAACTCGGTTAAAATTATTTTATCACTGGTGGCGATCAATTGCTCTGGTAATTTTTCCCTTATAGTTTCCATTAATATGAATCAATCTTGAGTCAGCAATGTCAGTTGAAAAATACACCTCTATGATTAGAACTCTATTCATTTAAAATTCAAAATGTCTTTGTATGTAATTGACCTGAAGTTGAGCAAATCATTTGTTAAAAAGGCTGTTTTCCACCAATTATAAAAGCTTTTGGTTTAGTTTTTAGGGTGTCAGTGGCCGCAATGGTCAAGGCATTAACATGGCACCTCATCACGGTAAGGTAAAAATCCCAAGTTCGAATCCATCTGCCCTGAATTCATACCGGACATATTTGCAATTTTTTCAAAAGCAGGCACCCTCGAAAGAAAAAAAAGCTTTTGCTGTTTTCAAATATTAAACCAACCCTGTATTATAGGAGTTTAGCTATTTTTAAGTAATCTTGGAATCATTTTAAAAATCAAAATCATTATAGATAATAAAAAAAAGCAAGACTAAAAATTCAATTACATGAGATACATTATATTCTCGTATACTGTTCCATGTTAAATAAGATGATAAATACATTCATTTTACCCTAGTTAGATTTGATTGAAAAAAATTGTTTAGATTCAAATTAAAGTGATTTAAAACTTTAAATTAAATAATTTACCAATTATATACAACTTCCAAAAAATAAATAATTTAATTATACATTAAATGGCTCAAAAAACACTGGAAATCTAGTCTACATGTCAAAACAGTGTGGTTTGAAAGTTTTTCTCTCTGGATAAGAATTTGTTGTAAACAATTAGTGTACTTTTGTGTATCAAGTATGTTAAGTACAAGTCGCCTGTCATATATATCCTCAGGTTAATGTTTATGTCAAAAGTGTCGTGTATTTTAAACGTTCTAGAAGATATGCTTTCAAGTTTATTGTTACTAAAATTCCTTCAACCAGCATTACAAAATCAGATGCAAGTAATTATTTTATAGATGTATAATTTTATATCCTACTGTAGAAAAATGAAAAATGTAAGCATGACAAAAACTGTTGTTATAAATTACTACTCCTCTGCCTTATGTGGTTGTATTTTCTTCAGTGATAGATTTGGAGAAATAAATAGCAAACTGTTACAACCAACTTGTTTATTGAATCCGATGCATTTCCGGGCCAATCTGGCTCCCTGTTCAGAGCTCCAAAACTCAAGTTTGTTATTACTTCAACGAACCCTGAATAAGGGAGCCAGATTGGCCCTGAAATGCATCGGATTCAATAAATAAATTGGTTGACACCAACTATCATTAATTTAAACATCAATTTGTTTAAGTACGTCTATACCAGTACAGTTTGATTTCAGTTCTAACCGTAAAATCATTGTAAATTATCATGAAATGGCTTTATAACATCGATATTCTTATTTGTTGTTGTAAACAATTATATTTGAAAGATATGAAATACATCAAGTAGCCAGTAAATCACGGCTTTAATAGGCTGTGAATTTGATATATTTCAAAACATAGATATGAACATATTTTTAAAGATGTTATTACTGTCTAATGTAATTAATGTATTATATTTTGAAACCAAATATAATTTTAGCAACTTTGTCTTTGTTTTTGTATTTAGTATATTATTTTGTTCCGTAACTATCATTTAAAGAAAAAAAAATGGTATTACCAAAAATGAAACATAAAAGTATACTTAAAAATTTAATTATATTTAATGATATAATAGATATGTACAAAAAACTTTAAAAAAATGTAAAAATATACAACCAAATGTAATAAATTAAGAATAATCTTCGATGTTCATTGAATAGGATCAATGTTTTTTTATTTACAAAGCTGTCTCAATTGTGAGAATAAAAGTTCCCAGTAATGTCCTTACAAGTATGTATAAAATTTCATGAAAACAAAGCCTTCATAATAGAAAATCAAAATTTTGCATTAGGGCTATTAGAATTGATACAATTATACTAATGCTTGCAGTTGTTTTAAAACCTGAATCAATATCTATATCTGGGTTAAAATTGAACTCATCTAAAAATGGAATGAAAAAATTAGAGTATGTGGTGTACTTATAAAACATTTTGACATACCTGCTTGTTCCAAAGTGTTAAGATCGTTTGTAAATAGAACTTCGAAGAATTTCTTCTCTGAAAATTTTTTTACAGGATTGACAAATTCTTCTTCGCTGTATTCATACTGGGCTAACACATCCGAGTCGTCTACTTCTTTATCTTTAAGCTCAATGTTGCGCACTAGATAACCCTCTTGTTTAGGTATGACGATAGAAGAAGTTACGGTTTTGAAACCGTTTTTCTCGACCTGGAATCGGCAGCTGATATAACTTTTTTCTTCTTAATTAAACAGGAATGTCACCTTTAAATAGTATTTCCCTGGGAGAAGATAACGCCAGTATTCTCCTTTAGACGTCGTCTTGTATTCCATACTCCTTGAAATAATTGTGACAGTCGCATCCATGACAGGTTTAGAGTCGTGCGTGACAATCCCTCTCACACCACGGTAACTCTCTTTTATAAACTCAATGAGTGCCTATAAGGAATACTGCTTATTCATTTACACTTGAAAATCCTTTTCTAATTACTGTTGAAAAAAGGACCTAAAATAATTTGAAAATTGTTCTGTTTCTTAATGGTGTTTTTCTTAATTACTTCTTACTCTTATGCAAAGAATGGTTACTCAATGTGTCCCACATAATTGAAGGGTGTCATTGGCTCCATATAGAGAGCTAGTNCCTTGAAAAACCACGTTTTTTGACCTTATTCGTGAAATTGTTAGTAAACCGTTAGCCTGACCATAAAACAGCTCGAAACAACATCCGTAGAGGATTAATTTCTGCGTCGATTGAGATTAAAACCAGCCTGATCGGCTGAAAATTTCATTTTTGGCAATTTTTCAAAGTTAGGAGATGAAGGGGTATACAAAATTCACCATTTCTGACATTTTTATCAAAAACTTGAACACCCTATCAAAAAATTCTCCATTACAAAACCTCATTTGTTGGTGATCGAATTCTCTGTCACATTAGTCCAACCCCAGTCCGATTCATGAAACATTCGAATTTTGGCTAATTTACTGCTTTTCACCCAAATCGAATGTTACTATTTTCTGATTGGTACCCCCTTTTGAATGAAATAATGTACGAAAAATCTGAAAGGCTTATTTAACAATTTGAGAAAGTGTACACATCTTTGAATGAACATTACATTTCATTTATTGTAAAAAAAAAAACCATTACAATAGCTGCTTTATCATAATCTCTGCTACTTTTAGTGTTAGGTACAAACTTCATTTCATGGGTATGATACCTAGGTACAACAGGAATGCATTTAGGAATATGTCCAGCTGTCTCTTTCTCTTCTAGACTTCATCGACACGGATCGTTCCTTTTTTTTAAAGTGGTATTTTACTGGAGCATGTCAAATATACCCGCTGTAGTTTTTAGTTTATTTCCATTATGTACGGAATCTTTCACTCATTGGTTGTTTTTGCTTGCTTTTCCTGGACTAATTTCCCAGTGTGTTGTTTTTTAGTTTTTAGCTACAGTTTAAGTCACAAAATAGATTTTGGGCCTATGAGTTGTCCTGAAGCTCCTAAAAAAGGACCTTTTTTTTTAGCTAATATGTCTACTGCCTTGTTGACTGAAATTATCTCATGGCATGGGACCCAGTGCTATTTGTAGCTCCCAGTTTTTTTTTTTAGGGTATTTAGGGAGTTCCAGACATATTTTAAATTGACCATGTTGGCTTGTAGTGCCTGGCTATCTGATATTATAGACTCCAGATTATGAAAGTTTAAAACATCAAAAAACTAATTTTTAAATCATATGTTGTAAAACTTAGATAATAATTAATTTCTATTTAATAAACCATAAAAGGCAATAAAAAAATTGATATCAAGAATGCCACAGATTACTAAATTCAAGTGAGATATCAGCTAAAAAAAAGTGAGATGTGGTATTCAGTAGTGTGTAATATGCTGTACTCTTTGAGAGCTATTGTATCCCCCATTCTGTACCTATAGCATATAGGTAAACCCTAGTCCAACAAAAAAATTCAATTAGAAGGCCCAATTTTTAATTTTTTTTTTTTTACATGATACATCCCAATGTACTTTATCTTGCGGCAAGTGTAGCACCACAGTTCGTTAATAGGTGCGTTGGTGTCTCCTTAGATTCCTTGCAAACTGTGCATGTATCTTGTTGGATCATACTAATTTTTCTCCAATGCCCATTAAGATTCATGTTCGGATTTCATGTTTTCTTTGATGCATTCTGTTGTTTCTTTTCTTCCGATATTCACTAGATAGTTCTTGGATTGTCTGTCAAATGAGCGAATTCTACTGTTTATTCATTTTCAATCCTGTCTTTTTATCTAAAATACTCATTGATAGTGTGAATCCCTATGCCACAGCAGCTCCTTGCAATGGCGTTCACTTTCTCGTTTCCCTCCTTCCTACATGTCCTGGGACCCAGCAGAAAGTAACTTAATTCATTTATTGTAGTTTTGCAATTATGCGCCATATTTGAGCTAATGATGTTTGAGCTTAGTGCTCTGATAGCTGTCTGGCTATCTTAACATGATAGCTATGTTCTGGTTTCTCTCAATTGCTTGGACTTCAGCCTGAAAGATACTGGTATCTCATGGGTTCCATAGTTGAACACTCCTGACTCCATATCTTCCTGCACTCTAGATCCATCAGCGTACCAGCAGATCGTGCTGTTCTCAATGGTTCTTTCGCTTTTTTAATATCTTGGTCTGCCCAGAAACTTTGCTTGAATTCAAACATATTTTCATATCGTCTCTAGGGAGTCACGAGTCATGCATACAAAAGGTAACTCAATTTATTTGTTAGAATTACAAAAACACATTCCATTACAGAACAAAATCATAAGAATTAAAGAGCTAATAATTATATTATAATACAATTAATTAAGGTTTTTAGTCGAGATGAAAACAAGTTAATGGCACGAGAGGGATTCGAACCCACGACCTTCGGCTAGATACGCCGCTGCTCTACCACCTGAGCTATCGTGACCTCGATCCACTCGGACATCAACTCCCCATCTCAACCCCACCTTATGAGTTTTCCCTCCTTTTGCCATTTTTCAAATGTCGTGTAATCGGTTTGGATTCTCGACGACAATTGAAATGGCGACGGAGAGCTTTAGTGAAGTGTACTTCATTTTTAAATCAATGGCAAAAGGAGGGAAAACTCATAAGGTGGGGTTGAGATGGGGAGTTGATGTCCGAGTGGATCGAGGTCACGATAGCTCAGGTGGTAGAGCAGCGGCGTATCTAGCCGAAGGTCGTGGGTTCGAATCCCTCTCGTGCCATTATCTTTTTTTCATCTCGACTAAAAACCTTAATTAATTGTCTTGTATTAGTTGGTTAAGCGGTCCACGAAAATAGTGAATTAATAACTATAATCAAGCTCTGACCTCATAGGGGAGTAGGGATAGGGATAAAAGAGGTGGCCACAAGGCCTACTGCACCTCGACCTGAATAGATCTATCCCTAACTCCTCTCTAAACTGGATTAAAGCACATAAAACATACACTAACTAGTAAAAGAAGTGGCCTGGATGAAAATGCAACAATGAATTACCTACACACAAGTATGTACTAATGGCACACATGAAGCAGGAAATAAGGAAGAAAACAATAAAAGAATGGAACAAAATTACCAAAGGCTATTGACCAAAAAGTTTTTCCTTAATTTGTCTTAGTGGTTATGGACCTTGGTTATTGGACGTTCTTGGTTGTGAAAGATAAAACCACAATGATACTTTTGAATCGCAGTGAATGCAAAGTCTACATGACAAGATCTAAAATTAGATCGAAGTCAAGAAATACTGAAGACAAGATGGCACCACATTCATAAATTTCTGTCAAATTTTTTCTCTTCCTTACAAAAATATTAATAAATATTGAATATTACAAAAGAAATTAAATACCCTTTTGTTATCTTTCCACAGTTTTTCAATATTTTGTGGGTGTGGATATTTGCAGCAGGAAATCGCAATGTTCAGCTCCAAACAGCCGTGAAAGTCATAGTTGTAATCTTGCATAGTACCTTTTAGAACAAATGCATTACAAATGCTTTCCTAATTCAGCATGACAATTTTTTTAAAGATACCTTTTAACGGAATCCACTGAGCGCCGTTGACGATACCTCTATCGAATGTGTTAGGATTGTACGGGCAAGATGATCTATCAGCCATGTAAGGATGCTCCCGAACGTATTTTCGTGCCAAGTGTTTAAATTCTTCATCATCTTCAGTAAGATGTGCATGTGGCCGTTTAGAGTCTGAAATGTCAATGATTCATTTTAACAAAATTGTTGTTTTGAGAAAATGTTCTTTATGTTGCTTAATCAGAACAAAAATTCACTGAAGCAAAGCTTATTATTAAATTCACTAATTCCGTGGTCTGCTTGACTTTGAAAAATGGCAAAAGGAGGGGAAACTCATAAGGTGGGGTTGAGATGGGGAGTTGATGTCCGAGTGGATCGAGGTCACGATAGCTCAAGTGGTAGAGCAGCGGCGTATCTAGCCGAAGGTCGTGGGTTCGAATCCCTCCCATGCCATTAACTTTTTTTCATCTCAACTTAACCTTAATTAATTGTAACTTATTATTAAAGAAGCTCAACTTTTAAAATGTTAAAAATGCTTAGGTATGTAATTAACTTTTTCATAGAGATGGTTAGGGCTTTGTTTCATTATTGCACAACTTTTAGGTCGTTAACCTAATCTATTCTTCACGGTCCAAAGAGATGTACCACTGAGGACCCACCCCCTACAACTAAAAGGGGGTCGAGAAAATGTCCATCACCTTGACCTCCTTCCATTCATGCCAATAAATACAGGGTATCCTTTCAAAAAGTATGTGCAATTTAAGAATCTGTGCGGCACCAAGCTTTTGACATTGCTTGATCTCTCACCAGCCAATCACTCCACCAATCCATTATACTAATTAGTCAACTTGTTCAACAGGCCTGTGGAGTACTAGATATTACTCGACAGGTCCGTCCGCTCATACATAAACACTCACACTAATGCATACATTCACTCTGGAGAGTTCGAAGGAAAAAAAAGTGTCAACTCCTCCCTCACATCACACTACAAATATGTAATTATCTGGACTAATTCAGTGAGCCTGAAAGTTAGTCGATATTCAGTCACAGCCAAACCCAAGCATACTTCAACACTCATGCAAATAAATACATTCATTCAAATAAAACGGAACCATGTGTGGTGGCTTATATGCCACATTTATCGATTTTAAATATGCAATAAGCTTAGCTTTGTAGTGACTGTTATGCCTCGGAACGTTTGACTTATCGAGGGATAGTCACACCGTCTCCTGCAAGGTGACAGTTGTTCACATTCTTCCAAAATATGCTTCACTCTCTTTCCAATATTATGCATGTTGTTTTAATACGCACTGTTATTTTTCCCCATATCATATGGGTAGGTGGCGACCAAAGCACCTCCGTTTAATGTCAAAGAAAGCATAAAATGTTGCTCCAACATCCATTGCATAACAGCTATCGTCTCTGGCTGATGTTCACCACTGGCTTGCAATCGCACAGAAGGAAAATTTCTGTTAAGGTCCGCCCCATTTGCATTTCCTCTGAAAATATGTGCACAGAATGTAGTAATTTGTTATTTATTTTAAATAGTTGACTTTTAATAAAAAGAAAGAAGCGAGAAGAGCATGCTTGATTATCAAGGCAATAAGATATTATGTGAAAATGATAATAAAGGGTTGTTAACTATCTAAGTTGGTTGTGGTAGATCGGAAGGATGTAGATAAAAAGGCTTAAAGTCTAGATTGTTTATTTTTAGTCTTTCCTGCTAAATATTTTAGGAAGTTGCGACTAAACAACTGCAATTAAAAAATATATAATTCAACATTAATTTCAGGTTTGGTAATTTTGCATTATTCAGAAAATCCAAAGTATTTTAGGTATAAAACATTAAACTATAAAGAATATCAACTTAGAGAACTAGAATGACCACAAATTTTTAATTGGCGACCACCAATCTGAACTGCTCACCTTCCAGGCCCTTCCTGGCACAGTCCTTCCTTAGCAAGTTCAAAACCATCCGGATTGAGGGACGGCAGTATGTGAATGTTGACTGAATCGACGATTTTCGTAATTTCCTCATTAATGCCGTAATTTTCCAAAAGGTGCTTCAAAAGAAATTATACACATTAATTACACAATAATAATGCAAAAACTCTTCTCACAAGATGTGTAAAATCACCTCTGATAATTTAATAAGTATTTCGGTCCCGATAGGTACATTACCATGAAGGCCACCAATAAGTTTAATATCAGGAATTAAGGGAATATCATCTGAATTTGATCCTATCTTAAGTACCTGCAGTGCTTTGCCTTTAAAGAAATCAACCATTAAAAACGCAATAAATATATATTTTAAATTTAACCTGATATGATCTGATAATATGCAAAAATCTTGGTTTTAATAAGTGCTTAAATAAAAAAAAATTACCTTTTGATGAGGTACCTATGGAGTATAGCTTAGCATTATAGTATTTTTTCGCCAAATAGTCTAACTTGTCGCAGATCTCTGAATAATTGTGGTAATTTTGAACACTGCTGGAAATGTTTTGTAGAAGAGATGCCCATATTACTAGCAGAAAAGCCGACCTCATAGCTACAAAAATCTATGCAGACAAAATTTAAAGAATTATGATACATAATTTTCTTAAAAATGGCAAGAATTAACATTGGATTTTTTTTATTTATTCAGAATTATAAAAGCAAAAATTTAAATCAGACCCAGTTTCAAGAATGATTTCAAGAGGATATGATAGTCATTTGTGTCTTCTCATATTACATCAGTGCTGATGATCCCTATCCATCAATACAGTTGTGCCAAAAAGAATTATTTGTTCAGTTGAAATTCAAATTTAATTTATCGGATTGATTCACAAGTATAATCAGTTTTTTTATTAACAATTTAATAAATTGGCTGGGGCCATTTATTTATTTTATTTAAAATGTATTTAAATGATTATTTGGAGATCGTGAGATGTGCGGTCTGGTGTATTTGAACGTTTAATTTCCTATTGAAATTTTTATTTTTACCATGGAATGACATTAATAAAATAAATAAAAAATAAAATAAAATGTTCCTCATTTCAGTAACAACAAAATGTGATGCCTTGTTTCCTCACAGAAAACTATCACTTCTGCTCACAGGATCTTATAAAATTTACATTATATACTAGTTTTTTTTTGTTCTTTTTTTATGAAGGTTCGCAACAGCAGAGGATATATAAACCCTCAGGGTGCCGGTGTGTTTGAAAAAAAGCCCATTTGTAAGTATGTCGGGTTCGAATGCAGGACCGCTGGATTCGAACCCAGGACGTTTACCTTGCAGTGATGAGCACCGTGTCAACGCCTAAACCGTTGCGACCACCGATGCCCCTCTATATAATATTTACTAAATAATAATTATCTTTCTGCTTTCTGTTAAGGCAAATTATTATTTTTGTGTATTAAAATTTGTACAAAGTAACATGAGATTTATCTGCATAAAGAAGGTTAAACTCCAGAAAAAAATTCTTTTGATATAGTTTATCTTTTTTTTAAGGGAAATGATAATATAAAGGTATATTTTTTTAATTAGTTTTCTAATCTGGAAATTAGTATAAAATTGAGATTTTAATTTTCATTAGTAGAGTCCGGTAGGAAATATTTTTCTCGGGTTGATTTGTTAAAAAGGGCAGTGCAAGAAAAAATTAAACATATCCTTTTCTCTGTTAAAGCAAATGGGGCAAAGACCATCTGGAGAGAATTTGTACTTTTGTCCATTTAAATACAGTGTTGGGTGTTGGTCACTGTAATTGGCTAAAATCCTTACAACATTTGAGGTATGCTTTTGAACCATCTAAATTAGTAATGTTTCTGAAGTGAGAATTTGAATGGGAAATTGCCAGATCTGTCTATACTTAATGAATTTCAAATTTTATAATTAAATCAATAAACTTATGTATATTGTAGCCAGATATGCTGAGCACCAATCATCATGAGACATTTTTTTAAGCGATTGTGCCAAACTAAATATATCTTTGTTTCCCATAAGTCAGACCAGACTGTTATAACATTTCTGAATATTCATCTGGGAGGGAGAGCAGTTTACACAGAGTTTTAGCATTTGGTCAAAAGTAGGGACTTTAAGGGACAGGAAACAGCACTCCTTTTGAACATAGGCACTACAGCAGTTTTTGGGTAAATGTATTAAGGTGTTTAATAAATCTTAACGTGGAAATGGTTTTTCAAAAAATTGTTTGTTTCATTTTCAGTAAATGTTTTGTTATATTTACCAATGAATGATCTTCAGTAAGTACAAATTTAACACTGGTTCATATGGGTTTTTCTTCGATGTTAATTTTGTTCAATGGTTCTTATGTTAATAAGGAATCTTCTAAGAAATTCATCATTTTTATGGCAAATCGCTGAAGACAAGCAGAAAATTTTATTATTTTAATGAGTGTGGAACTGAAGCATTCCATAGACAGAGAACATGGCATTTTAGTATTTTTCCGTGAACTATTTAACAGTATGTGCCCGGCTCAATACGCCGCTGCTCTAACCACTTGAGCTATGGTGACTTTGATCCATTCGGATCAACTCCTCATCTCAACCTACAACCATTCAAATTTTCCCTCCTTTTGCCATTTATCAATTTGAAAATTTGAATGGTTGTAGATTGAGATGAGGTGTTGGTGTGCGAGTGAATCGAAGTCACTATAGCTCAAGTGGCTAGAGCAGCGGTGTATTCAGTCGAAGGCTGTGGGTTCGAATCCCGCACGTAGCTTTTTCATCTCAACCAAGACTCTAGATAAAAATAATAATTGAAATTAGTATTATTTCCACGAAATAATTAATTATATGCACTTGGCATGTAGAGAATGGTTGCTCGATTTGTCCCACCTCGACACAACTTAGTTAAAGAGTGCAATTCCTTGGTTCCATATAGAGAGCGTGTAGGAATGTCACCCGATATGAGAATTGTTACTGAGCATGGCAGCAAATATCTGGGTCCCCTGTCCCAATTGTTGAAGGAAACGAGGCTGTTTTATTGTACATAGTACTGATATTGTTGTGTACCCTGTGAGTTGTGATTGAATGTATTTATTAGGGTGAATATGTAGTGTGAGAGGGTCAATGGAGATATTGAGTACCCCATCAACCCTCATTAAATTAGTTATGCAATAGGTGTAAAGGGTTATGGAGGAATATCAAATACTTCATCATCCTAACTGAGTAAGGGCATGTAAATAGTGAACAATGTATTAGTGACTGAGAATGTGAATGGATTTGGTTTTAGGAACTGATTGCGTTATGGGCTGAAATGACCTAGCTGTAGATATCCCCTTGTCCAACTCGGTGGCTAGACGTATATGACCGAGGTCTGACCCTGGACTGCTGACACCCGAAGTGGATGATTATCAAAGCCCGTAATTTACTGTAAATTACGAAAGCTGGAATTTCCGATGGACTGCGAGGTCATATGCATGTTTGAGGTGTAGACACATTTGAGCTTGTATTAATCATTAATTAGTATTTAACTTTGATTAATAAATAATAATAACATGGGTAAAAAACAAACATTTTTTCTAATGGTTTGGTTTGGTTTTCTTTTGGGTGAACAATTTAAATGTAATGAAAACTTAAATGAACTTGAAAGTATTAGATGAAACATATTTTTTCGAGTTAAAATGCCATTTTTGCAGTACGTACGAAGTAACAACTCTAATAATAGTTTATTTATAATAAACATATAAAAAAGTAAGGGAAAACAGATTAAGAAAAAAAGAAGATTTCGGAGCTTAGAAACGCAGCGTTTGTCAGATTTGAGACGTGAAAAACATATACACATTTCAGTAAATAATTGCTTAGGACACAATTTTTTTTATATAAACAAAATTAGGAAAATTTACAGGTACGTATCTGTTCTTATAATGATTTTTATGTAATTTTCGCTAAATAAACTTACCTATTTCAATGTTCTATGTCGGCTTCTTGCGGATGCTGTCTTTTAGCGACCATTCCTACGTTTCGTAAAACGAACAGAATAATGAGCATGAGCTGAACGGAGTTTGTTTTTTATCTTTTCTTCGTTATCTCTCTTCCTCTGTTCGAGAGAATGTGACAAAGGATCTTTTCCTTTATATTATTTATTTTTACGAGTTAATAATTAAGAGTTTGTACGGCTAAAGTTCACGTTTTATGACAATTCGTTCATTACTTTTACAGTTTGTTCTGGTAGTTTCGACTGCACGTGGCAGCCATTTTGGTTTCATTGAAGTTCTTTCATAAAATAAAGACAGTAAAACAATGTAGTGAAATAGAAAACAACTTAGTTCTAGTAACGAGGTGTGGCAGAAGGTAGGGAAAACACTTTATAAAGAAATAGTGGATTTTCACAAGTACATCGTAAGCCTCGAGACCCAAACTTGATCACCATAGCAAGAAATAGAGTAATATATCGATTGAAAAACCTTATATTTACGAAGGAGAGGTAATTAGCTGCTTGTGGAAATTTTACCACACCCTATTAATTGCCATTTTCGGGAATGAAACTCTCTCCAATAAGTGGGATAAAAGAAAGACGGGTGGTTAAGATAACGCCGAAATATTTATAACGGTTTGTTATTTCAGTCAATTGCCGATTATAAAACCATTTCTCGTTGTAAGCAAGTGGGCGTCCTGTACAGAACACAACAACTTTACATTTTTCAAGATTAACTGTAAGATTAAACTGGTGGAAATATTTGGCCAGGGCATTAATATTCATTTTTAAAGCCTCTTGGTTATTTGTAAAAATGGCCATATTATCGTCATACATCCTTTATTTTCGTTCTACAGGCATGAATACGTCATTCAACAACCGATGCAAATCATCGATAACAACAAAAACAGAATTGGGCTCAGTAGGCAACCTTGGCGCACGCAAGAAATTTGTGGTTCCATTTAAACCTTTCAGGGCAACCGAAGTTAGAATATTGGAATGCATAGTTATTGTTATACTAGTCAGACCAAGAGTCAGCAAGAGGTCACCCAAAGAGCACTAAACATGGTAGAGCAATCACAACGAGCAATTAAAGCAAACCTCTCCAAAACTACACTGATTGCACCACGAAAAGAAACATAGAAATACAAGAGCAATGTTTCTATTATGAATAAGAAATTAACCTGAACCTTCACTTGCAACATATCATAACAAGAAAGCAAAATATCGCTAATGACAACAAGAAGAACTCTAAGGAAATTTTGGGGACTAAAACCAAAAGTGGCTCACTGCCTGTATACGGCAGCAATAACCAGCAAAAAGTATAAAATGCTACATAACCTATGGATCACTTATCTCGTGGCAAAAGCTCGGCAAAAACAAGCTACCAAACATCAGGCAGCATACATAGGCCTACGATGAATGAAACTGAATTTAAACAACCACGTTAACTGCACCATAAACAGTGCTAAATCTACCTCCATTGGAAATATTTATACAAGGAGAAGCTAGAAAAAGTTCATTTATGCTCCAGAAACAATCAAATTGGATAGGTAACCTAAACAACAGGCACACATCAAATTAATAAAAGCAGACACCCATTGTTAGAAATGGGGTCTGACTACAGATGGCTCCAAAACAAATGAAAGAAACGGATCAGGCGTTTTCTCTAAAAGCTCAAAACATGAACAGACTCATTAGGGAAGTACATCTCGATCTTTCAAGATGAAATACATGCCACCAACGCTTGTGCCTTAAAAAATCTAAAAGGACGTTACACTAACAAAAAAATCTCCTTAAGAGAGGATAGCCAACCAGTAAAGCATTGCCATGTAAAAAAAAAAATCAGATCAAAATTAATCAGGGAACGCGTCGAAATCTCTAAAATCTGGAAAAACAACATCCTGATGATATCTCGGGAATCAAGACCCAAGGGATTTTTGAGTAACGAAAAGGTAGACACGTTGTCCAGAGGAGGATATGTAAGACCATATATAGGCTCTGAATTTATATTTGCGATAGCAAAACGAACAGAATCTTCCATCAAAGAATCCAGAATGGATCTAAAAAAAGGAGATGTTGATGGACTCTAGAGGTGCTTGACACAGTAATGTTGCTTGTGTTAAAACATTCCTCACCAAAAGTGACACAACCGCTCTTCTATAGAGTAAGAGAGGGCTAATTTCCAAGGAGTGATAGGACTACTGGTCACTGGCATCTCTTCATCTGTGAAAACACCTACACAACATGGATAAATTCAATGACGACCCTATTTGTAGGTTATGCAATGAAGATGAAGAAACAGCTACTCATATCATCTTCGACTGTGAAGCAACCGCTCAATGGAGACATAACCTGGGATATAAAGAAAACCCAGGGAAAGGAATTGTAGCAAAGACCTCTTTAGGAGACGGATCGAGTCGATTGCACTGAATTGAGGAACTAGGAAAGTACAATACGCTAGAAGGCTGAGGTGTTTGAGTACAAATAGTTTTGTAGTGGAAACCTACTGTTACCACGGTACCCGTTAGGTGTCATTGGAATAGTCTCGTCCTCCAGTCTGCAGCGAATCAGAGCAGAGCCAGTGCATATATAAGCAGAGGCACTGCCCCACTGGCTTCAAACTCGTCAACCCGATGAGGTTCAATCATACTTCGAGACTGGTCTACCCGACGAGCTCTCACCAATCACTAATTGACAACGATAACAGACTCGTCTCTCCGACGAGTTCTCGCTTATTACTAATGAAGCATTCACAAAAATGTTGTTCTCAACATAGCCGACTTGCTACCGGCAAACCGCTGCACTCGGCCAACGGCTGCACCAGAGTCCCTTTAACCGATGTAGAGTCATCCGATTCATGGCCTCTGACCTCGGCCAACTGCTCTCTCTTTCTCGCTTATCAGAAATGAAGCACCCACGACGATGGCAAGAGTACTCTCAGCGTGAGCCTAGAACTCGCCTCCTCAACATAGCCGATTTGGCTATATTGCGTTCCCGTATACTCGGTCGTCCTTAAAAGGACAATGAGGATCTTTAACGTCCGCACCTAGCCTTCCGGCCTTATTGGACGTTTTAATTCTCAAGATGAGAGCTGACGCACGATTTGGCTACAGGCAAACTGCTGCACTCGGCCAATGCTGCACCAGAGTCCCTTCAACCGATGTAGAGTCAGCCGATTCAAGTACCCGGACCTGCCAACTGCTCTCTCTCTCTCTCTCTCTCTTTCTCTCTCTTTTCTCTCTCTCTCGTTCTCGCGTATCACTAATAATGCACCCACGACGATGGCACGAGTACTCTCAGCATGAGCATAGAACTCGCCTTCTCAACATAGAAGACTTGGCTACGGGCAAACCACTGCACTCGGCCAACTGCTGCACCAGAGTCCCTTCAACCGATTTAGAGTCAGCCGATTCACGGCCCCGGACCTCAGTCAACTGCTCTCTCTACCTACAGGCATTAACGGTCCCGGCCACCAGATACATCTTCTCAACGCCACGTTTCCTAAAAACACCAGCCCTTGTAAGGACCACCAAAAAACTCCCAGTCACTAAAGTTTTATGTAATTTTAAGACATATTTATAGTACTAATGTAAGCACTTAAAAATGTAATTTTGTAAATTATCTGTGAAGGTTATAATAAGTAAAAGATATGTGTATTCAAAATGATTTTGCATAATTTATTGATTTAATAACAGTCTGTCCAACAGTTCTACTTGTACACTTTCCGTTCTAAGAAGGGATTGGTGTTGAATCCTGAGCCTTTCTAGCTCAGTTGATTTTTCAAGAAGTAGCGCCTGAAGGAAAACATAGAGGTTTAAAAAAAATATTTTGAATATTTATAAATACAGGTTGTTTACCTTAAGCTGTTGCTCCTGGGCGTCCCTCTGCTTCGCCATCGACTTGACCAGATTTCGTGCCCCGATAGCTTTGATCTTTTCTTTGTTCACCTCCTGCGCCAAGCCGTCGATAATGCCGATGAATCCGTCGGCGATCCCTTGAAACGATTCGATGCCTGTGAAATTGAAGGCTCGGCTGTCATCAGTGTGAAAATCACGGCAAAACCGACATGTGTGTCTTACTGTTCACGAATTCGTTGCATTCTTCTTTAAGATCGTTTGTCTTCGAGGCTACCTCGGGTTCGACTATACGAAGCCGGCTCAACTCATCGAAATGGAGGGCTAGCTCCGCCAGGCGTTCGGACATTTAGGTCGAGTTGAATTCTCTCAACGCTTCGAACTTCGTATAGATTTTTCTCAGGCTGAAATAATTTGTACAATTTTTAAACAACGCCAGGAGAAAAGAAAGTAAGGCTTAAGTCACAACAATAAAAGAAACCTTTTTTGAGCATTAGTGTTAAAATATCAAGAAGTACTCGTTACTACACCTAACATACTGGGAAATTTGGCTAGTAATCCAAAACTTTAACCATTAATAACGGTCATTCCAAAAATTGTTATTTATTGTTTACAGTATAGACAGAGGCACTATTTGTTCATGGGTTTAATCAGGATAATGATACAACCCTTTTATTAAAACAAAATTAACGCATTGTACCTGGGTATGTTAAACAACCGGAACAACAGTTGCCACTAGGCGATGTTTGTCGACTCGTTTCCATAACGACTTCTCGACGCTTCTGTCGACGGTTATCGTCTTGTTTCTAAATTCTAAATTCACCTTTTTTTAAAAAAGCAGGTCTCCCATAGAAATTCACAACGTAAAAGAAGACATTTTAAAGGAAAAACGCGTGTACAGTGGCCTTTTTAACTTTGAAAGTTTCAACTACGTGCCTTACCTTAGTTTGGAAGAACAGTGCCAGGATCAATACGTATGTCATCAACACGAGCAAATACAGCAAATACAGATACGAGCCAAGAAATACGATTGTAATAGCTGTGCGGTAATCGAAACGAAATTGGAAACTTTCCGAAGGTTTGCAGGGCCAAGCTGGGCGCGATTGGCAAGAAAACCAATCTAAACTCAAACCGTTTGTACACATGTCATACTTGTATTGTAAAATAAAAACGTTTAATCTTAAACAAAAACATTCTTCTGATACATTTTTTTTTAATTAAAAAATTCTACAACATAAATTTTATAACATGCTTCTCGAATCTGTATGTTTAGTTGGTGTAAAGTGTTTAATACATAAGTTTTTACTTAATAAAATCAATTAGACATTAGATAACATGCCTTGAAGTAACTGTAAATAAAATTTGATCATAAAATCAAAACGAATTTTGATGCCATATGATATTTTCAGATAATTATTCACGGAAGGCATATGGACCAGATGTTTGGGAAAACTTTCTCAATTCACATTTTTACCGAAATAGGTTTACTTTAGAAATTTAGTGACATTGGTTCAACAGGAAGTATTAGCGGATTTAGCTCTGGGCGCTTAATTATTTCTTATATCATATTTAGATGGCTTATCGTCCACCCGTTGGATGTCGTGAACGAGGGGCCAGAACCACCAAATAATTCTCAAACACAAGTAAAAGGAAATACCTACTATTAAAGTAGTAATTTTTGAAAACATTGTGTAACACTACGTGCACCGTCACGTGAATTCGTTCTATTTTGGCTAAATGAAACAATTTCGTCATTAGTCAATTTTTTTATTGTTTTATAATAAGCACCCTATAATATTACAATTTTTTATTAGTTTTTCACACAGTCACACTAATGCCAGAGCTGGACCCGGACTAGGACATGCCTTGAAAAACCAGCTGATGGTGGCACTCAATGTGAGGGATTAATTAAGAAGGTCTCGAGGCCATCGTCGATTAAGGTTGTGAATGTGTAAAGAGAGGTCGAGGGTTAGGATACATCGAGAGATTGATATGACACTTTTGTAATCGGGAACAGATCAGCTTGTTGATAAAAGGAATGTTGAGGCCGTTGTGGATAGTGAGGTTAGTGACGTAGTAGGGAGCTTTGACGATTTGTCCGAAGACTTTTGAATGGTAGGACTAGATAAGCTGGGTTTGGATGACTTGGCAAAACTCCGTATGTCCAAAGTGGTGGGAATAAAGTCTTGTGTAAGGTTAGTTTAGTGGTGACGGTCAAGACGGCTTTTGGTCCTAGAAGTCTTCCTAGTTGTCCAAGTCTTCTGTTAAGGTTATCTCTTAAGTCTTTTATGGGGATTCCGTGTCAGTCTGCTGTGTAGGTATAGTCATTCGTGTAGAATGTAAATCAGTAACCCTTTGTCCTTGATGTACAGTAGAGAGCACTGTTTTTTTCAATGTGAACGGACACTGAGTACATTTTTCTTCGTTCAGTCTTGTCCTCATCTTTTTGCACCAGACTTCGATAAGCTCAAGGTGTTCGTGGATGTTGAAGGATAGGATTCGAGTTAGAGGACAAAATTGCGGTATCGTCCGGTGGTGATGATAATATTAGGTTGTATATGTAGGTCAGCGGTATAAATTATATAAAGGATTGGACCAAGAATGCTCCCTTGTGGGACGCCGGCTTGTCTGACTTACGAGAACGCGTTGCCGCACCTCACTCTGAAGCAGCGGTCAGTTGGATTTGAGGATAAGGCAATAAGGACCCAAGCAACTCTCTATATTCCCTACATCAGAGGAGATGCTGTCGACAACTCTGAAAACTTGTTGGATCTTGGAATGATGATGAATAATGAATCATGGTGAGTGTTAAGCCTTTAAAATTGGTTAAACAGCAACATGGGGGAGTCTACGGTCGTGACATCACAGATTTTATATCGAAGATAAATTTATATCAGCCGAAATATATTATAATACTGTCAGATTGTTCTTGCCAATGAGTCCTAGAGACCGAAAAAACTTTTTAAAGTAATTTTTCTTTTAAATATGGGTTTCTTTCTTTCCATATATTTTATTACATACAAATCGATTGTCCTTTTACGTAGTATTAGAAGATAATAAAATATGGCATGTGGGATGTTTAGGGACCGACAAACAGCTTAGGTCATCTAAGTCTCCTCTGCGTGTTTGTACTTCTTTCCTGATCTTTCACGCATATTTTTCAACCTGCAGCCAATTGAGGATCTCAAAAATGCGATGAACACTTTAAATTTTTATTGTTAATGTATGGTCCGCTAGGGACTGTTGTTGACTTCACGCCATAATGGCCAATTACGGCCTCTTTCACTGGATGTCCATGTTTATATGTATATAATTGTAAATAACGTAATTTTTGCTTATTGCATTTTGTATGCAGTTGTAAAATAAATAAGTAAATGAAAAAAAACTATGGCCCCATGAGCGTATTAACGTGCATAACCCACGCTATACATTTACTGAGAAACTTATCTGATGGTAGTTGTAGATGTACACTACACTGCGCCTTTTAAGAACTATTGTATCCTCAGTTCTGTGCTTACAGCATATCGGTGAGTCCTAGATCATCAAGGAACTTGATCAGTGGGCCCTGTTTCAGTGGTTGAATCTCTTCTACGGTCACCTTGTACGTCCCAAAACACTTCCTCCTGCGGGCAAATGTAGCACTACAGTTTGTTAATAGGTGTGTTGGTATCTTCTCTGTTTCTTTGCAGAATCTGCATGTGCCGTCTTGGATTGTTCCAATCTTTTTTAAATGTCCGTTTAGTTTGCAGTGTCCTGCTAAGAATCCTGTTAGGATTAGCAGTTTTTCCTCTTCCCTTTAATGCATTCTGTTACGTCTTTCCTTCTAAAGTTTGTTAGGAGGTTCTTGGATTGTTTGTGTCCAATGAATAAGTTGTTCCTTCATTTTCTTTTTATCCTTTTGTCTGAGGTGCTCATCGATTCCTATGTCACAGAAAGTGCTGTGGCCGTATCAGCGGTAAAGCAGACCATTTGTAAGGGCGTCTGCCTTTTCTTTGCCATCTCCTCTCACATATCCTGTGACCCAGCAGTGGGTGACTGCTTTTTACCTAATTTGTTTAGTTTAGTTTTGCAGTTCAGCACCATCTTTGAGCTAATGTTTGAACTTGGCGCTGCTTGGCTATCTGACTTTTTTGTTTTTGTATCCATTATTCAGATTGAATTGGGTTGAATTACATGTGGGTTTTCTTGCGCCCATGTACGGAAATTCCACCTGTATCCCATTGTTTGTAAACTTAGATTCGTCGGTCCATAAAAAAGATAATAAAAATTTTGGATTTTCGGCCAACAAGACATCAACAGATGCCAAAAATAGGAGTCACCTGCGCTTAAGCGGAGTACCTTTCCCATGTCACAATGCACAATGGAATATCCCAAATACGGCTGCAGGAAAGTCCTTTTGAAGACGATTAATTCATTGGAGGGCGTTGATAGGACTTAACTTGAACTTCCCAGGTAGGAGCTATGCATATGGGCTTCTGGATGAATTCATCAGTGAATACAAAGTACAAGTCTAGCCTTCTGGTCTGTCGGTCATGGTGGTCCCGTGAGGACATAGCCAATTTAAAATAACAATAAAAAGAAATCTGTTAAAGGTGGACAACAACAAAGACATGCTCGATCTTTGATCAACTTAGTAGTATTTCATCTGGGTAATGATGCCCACTTCATTCGGCACATGGGAAATGGGAAATCCTAAATCCATAAAAAAATGTCAATAATAATAACGACGAAGGATGAAATTTTGAGTTTGTGTGACATAGTTATCACTATCATTAATACAACACAGTGCCAAATGATTCAACATTAATTTTATTGTTAATGGATAAAACCATGCAAAAATGAGAGACCAGGGTGGTCATGGCGATCGAGCTACATTTATTAATTTTCTTTTTGAGTTATTGTTGTTGTATTATTTGAGCACTGAAGATTCAACCACGTTTAGTCGAGTGAATCTTGAAACATCTGTGCTAAATTATTTTGAACGAAAAATCGAAAAAAGGCGATGGAGGAATTATCGGAACTTATCGATGACTTTGTCGCTATGCGAAAAGCCTATTTGGAAAGGAAGGAAGCTCTGGCCGATATATTTGGGTACGACGGGGACAACGCTGAAAGGCTGTTTTTCAACTCGATCCTGACAAAGCACCTCGAAACGACGAAAAACCTCGTCTGGGAACTGTCTGAAAGTTGTGCTTACTACGCCTCGACGAGAAACCGAAGCCCATTTTCTGCCGGGCTGTCGATGGAAGATGCACCGGAATCGATACACGTGAGTTTCGACGAGGATAGCGGATCCGAGGCGAGTTTTTCGTATCAGACTGATTCGTTCAGTGACGATAATAAAAGTGACGATACAGAAAGCTTTGCGATCGGAGAGAGAATTAAATTCATTCTCGCACTGGACAAAAATTTTGACGACGAGTTTCACGATTTCGAGAAGAAAAAGAAGAAAACAAACAAAAAATACATCAAAAGGTTTGTAAAAGAATTGCTACCGGAAAAAGACAAGGAATTATTATATAGTTTGTACAGTAGAACTGAGAAAATTAACAGAATTTATTGCATGATTTTAGTCGCGCTCGGGTCTGACAAATTTATTTTACAAAACCGCCTAAGGAAGAAACAATACAGTGGCGATCCGGAGTCTGAACAAGCTTTGTCAAAGCACGCCTCTTCGGAAGAGGACATAAGGGAGATTTTAGACGCTTTGTCTTCGCTCAATTGTGACAACGCTGTATTCAAAGAGGAAGACGGGATCGCGTATAGGTTTTCTTTCATAATAAGACAACTGAAAAGGATTCGGTACACGTACCTCAACCGGGTAATCATTGGGGACGCCGTCGACTGGAACAAGATGGAAGAAGGAAAAGACTGCTGTCAAGAGCGCCCTTTGAACGAGGGTGCAGAAGCATCCCTTTCCAGAAGACACACGAGGGTAGAAACGATGGCCGGTGGTGATGCTGACTCTTTTGACCTGAACCGGGAGCCTTTCGACTACGATCTGGAAAATCCTACGGATGACGAGTACGAGGAGGAAGAACCGTCGAAATTTTATTGCAACATATTATAAATATCTAAACCTTGTACTTGTTTGTATAAAATTAAAACATTAACTGATAATATAAGCCCTGCAATAAAAACTTTAAGAGATTTTTATGAAAAACAATTCTAAAATAATCATGTGATTGCTTGTTACTTCCATTGGTGGAATGTATTAATAAAACATTGAAAAGTCAAATAAAAAATAAATCAAAAAGTCTAAAGTAAGTTTTTAAACAAAAAAATAATCTAATACATATAATAATGAGAATGGATCTGCTCAAAAGATGAGACCTGATCATAAGTTTTACCAGAAGCGGACCTATTCAAGAGAGCTTTTTCACTCCAGATAAGAAGTAATCTGTTTAAAAATTACTAGAGGTAAATCTGATGAAAAGATCGTTTTGATCATAAATCAAATCGGTCAAAAAATACGTTTTACACAAATGCTATCCAAAAGACCCGTTATAAGAAAAGTGAACCCAACGAAAAGATCATTTATACAGTGGTGAATCTGATACATAAAAATTAACTTATCAAGAGATAAATCTAAAGAAAAAATCACTTTTCTGTCAGGTCTAAATAAACTAAACCCTCACAAAAAAATCACTTTTGGCGTTCGTAACACTTGATCAGAAATAAACATCACAAAGACAGTTCGATTTTCGACGCGGAAGTAAATATCAGTCTTATAAAAAGCAAACCTGATAAAATAGTTGAATGAGTAGAAGTGAATTCAAGGTGCGTCCAATCAGTGTGATCAGAAATAAAACTGATCAAAATATCAACATTACTTACATTGAATTTGAACATTAAAGGACCTGATCATAAAGTTGATCTAATCAAAAGAACGGTTAACTTAGATACCAGTCTAATTAATTATAGATGTGGACTTAAACAAAAGGTCAGCATAGACTCGTTTTCAACCTGCAAAAAATACAGAAAATAAAAAAGACCAGAATAAAATTACAAAGTATGTATGGTCGTTAGTCGTAATTGGACGATTCAAAAACTTTTTCATCTTTTTCATAAGCAAGCCTGAATAAATTCGATAAAATTTGAGTACAGTTAACCCTAATCAAAATATAACTTTTGCTATGAAGTAGACCTGATCAAAGCTCAGTCGATGAATGATAAAGTCAGTTTATCAGTAGGTAGACCTGATCAAAAGATCGTCTTAGGACGAATTAATTCATAAATATGATAAGAAAGTGCAAATCAGACGATCTGTTCAAAGGATCAGTCTGATAATAAAATAATTTTCTTCAAAGACCAATGTTATACCCTTTAATTTGTGACCCTTTTAATTAAGTTGATCATTTGATCAGTTTTGCGATTAGAAGACCTAAATATTAAAGTTCACTACGGCTCCTGTTTGAAAGATATGACCATGGAAAGACCAGATCATGAGGTTAGTATTGCCAAAAGTAGACCTGAACCTAATAAAACAATTTTGACAATAAAGAATTCACAATTGTAGGCCAATTCTAGTTGTTCATGATCACAAGATTATTTTTGTTAGAAGTAGACCTGTTCAAGCAAAGGGTCAACTTGATCAAAAGATGCGAATGAAAAAAAGAAAGAATCCCTCCAGAAGTTTTTTCTCTCAATTTCTCCAGAAGACTGCATCGTACGAAGTTTTAACCTATTTTATAAATGTACATAAAACAAAAAGTTTTCTTCTTAGTTTTCAAGCTGCTTTTTCTAATATTAATTTTATATTAAATCAACTTTAATTTCTTCTTTCTTGATTAATTCACTAAGTCAAATTAGTTAGAGGTAGATGATCATAAGTCATAAGTTTCGCCTGAAATATACCTGTTCTGTAAAAGTGCTTAACGGACTGGACTAACTTTGCAGGTTTTAAGGTTTTACAAACAATTATTTTGGTTAAGTCTCTATGTTAATAATTTGATAATTAACTAATTATTTAATAATTACTAATTATTACTTAATTATTTCTTCGGAAATTAATGTTTAATTATTGATCAAGTAAAAATAATCTAATAAATATCTTAAAAATATGTCGGTATTATTTTCCATTCGACCGCATAGATTTTCTCGCTACATTCTCTGCTATTCATCAGATTTTATGATTTATTTTCTTATCAAGCAAATTAATATCTCATGTTGAGTTATTTTTTGTAGTTTATATAAAAATCTATTTAAAAGGAAAGTGTTTTTTTCAAATGAAGTCTCCAACTCAGTACAAAAGTCATATTATTATCCAGTTCTTGTTGATGGCAGTATCTTTGTGTTATCGACTGTCAGATACCGGCCTTCCTTCCGAAGTTATGTACACCCCCTTCTTTTTCTGTTGGCTATTATTGTTGTAATTAGCGTTTATCTCGGAGTTAATTGTAGAACAAATTGCCAGTAATCCTTTTAAGAAGGCATATAACATAAACAACGGCCGGTGACAATTTCTGAATGGTTGCTTAACGCGTTAACCAGTTTTTGTTCTTACATTAACAAACACGCTCTCTTCGCTTCTGTTTTTCGTTTTTTACACGGAATTGTTGATTTGGACGAAACTCTGCTTGTCATTTCTCCATATGTCGAGGATGCTTTGAAGCAATTTTCAGCAGGAGACGAACTTTTGAAAGCACTGTCGACGCTATTATCTGGCCTCTGTGGATCGTGGCAAATATGGAATTTTCTATTTATTCTTTCGAGGACTGTGGTCACTTGGTGTTTCCACTCGCTCTTCGAAAGATCGCTGCGTTCCTGGACAATATCTAAAACAAATCACGTCGTTGATTAAATTGATTCGACATAACTTTGTGGTCGGCATAGAATTCAACAGCACTACCGCTTTACTTAATGTTTATTTTAAAGTTAAAATGACTGTCCCACTTGGGCCAATTCATATTTAATATGACTAGTAAGAATTACTCAACTTTAAATCCGTACTTTTTAAAATCTAATGTGTTGCTGAGTACATCGATATAACTAAGTCATGACCGGACTTAGATCATGTAATATTACAACACAATGTGAGTTAAAAAGTTAGATTTTTGCTGCACCAAATAAGGTATTTTTTCTGACAAATATAAGATCGTTGTGTTTGAGGTATACTTGATCAAATATCAGATTAACTTAGGCAACAATCATAAGAGGTAACCTGATCACAAGTCAAACCGATCGAAAAACCTGATCAAAAGATAGGTTTTACATAAATGCGATCAAAAGACCTAACAAAAGTGAACCCAATGAAAAGATAAGTTTTTTTAAAACTTGGAATTGTATTTGGATAAGGTGAATCCGATATATAGAAATTAGCCTATCAAGAAATAAATCTAAAAAAAATTCAGTTCGAAGAGAACTGAACCTAATCAAAAAATTACTCTTGCCAAACGGAAACAGGATTAAAAGACCTAATCAGATGTAAATTTCATCTCAAAGACAGTTTAATTTTAAAACCTGAACTAAATATCAGTTTTACAAAAGGTAGAGCTGATTAAATAAACAGTTGAAACTGAAGAAAATCTGATCACAAGTATGGTCGGATCAATTCAATCAAAAACGTACGTCATCTATATTTCTATTTTAGTTCCATTAAATTTGAACATTGACGAGCCTTTACATAAAGGTGATTCAGCTTAATTAAAAAAACGCTTCTTACAAATGTGAACTTCATTAAAGAAAAACAAAGAAATGTCATTTTCAACCCACAAAAATCCTATAAAAGAGGAGATTAAAATTAAAAAGTGCGTTTGTTTGGGATAGAACAACAATTTTGCCATAAGCAAACCTGAATAAATAATCAGTTCTAAAGGAGCAGATCACAAAGTTTGAGGACAGATGAACTTAATCAAATTATAAATTTTGCTATAAAGTTGACCTGATCAACTAAGCTTTTGATCAGGTCAACTTTATAGAGTATACTTTTGAAAGTATCGCCATACGAAGACGACTACCTACTGACAAAACCAATCTTGTGATCAACTGAGCTTTTGATCAGGCTTTTGAACTGATTATTTATTCAGGTTTGCTTATGGCAAAATTCAGCCTAATTAAAAAATTGCTTCTTGGTTTTGTCAGTAGGTAGACGTCTTCGTATGGCGATACAATCAAAAGGTCAGTTAACGTAAGTTGATCTATCCAAAAAATAAGTTTAGTTTTGTTTTCAACCTGAAAAAAAAATCAAAAGAGGAGGGCAAATTTACAAAGTAAGTTTGATCGGAACAGGACTATTTAAAAAAATTATAAACAAAACTGACGAAATAATTAAGACAGATTAACTTGAGCAAGATATAAATTTTGCTATAAAGTAGACATGATCAAAAGTTAAGTTGATTACAAGATCAATTTTATCAGCAGGCAGTCATATTCGTAGTTTTACTATAATGAGACACATTTTTGATGTTTTTCGTAGGTAAACTTGATCAAAATAGAAGGCCTGTTCAAAACTGTGTTCACAGGATCAAAAGATCATTTTTACCATAGAACAGTGCGATAAGTCGACTTGTTCATAAGACCGTTTTAGCTCAGTTAATCAAATGATCAATTTCAAATTAATAAAATATTTGAACTCACCAACGCGTGTTAATATTTTTTTAAACTTACTTATCTTAGAGAAATTTTTTTCTTGGCCGAGATAAGCAGCATAGTGAGCAAGTGACCGGTCAGATATATTGATTGCGTTCCACTTTTTTGGCATGTTAAGTTTGGGAAAGCTGTTTTTTCGTAAATTCTTGCCATTGAACGAAGACGGTTTTCTATCGGCTATGCACAATAGTTTGACGGTTTTTCTTTTAATCGATGGATTCGAGTTGGATTTCATATTGTGATGCGTGACAGAAATATTCGAATCATCTCGTACTGGTTGGTTTTTAATCATCTTAAGGAAAGTTCTATCTTGTTCAGGGTCCCGCCTGTTAAAAATGTACAATTTAATCGGACGAAAATTGTCTTTTTTCTTTAACGGATTGTAACAGTTTTTTAAAAGCCTGCGCTTTTTGATCGCTTTATCTTCAGCCAGTTTGGAAGAAATCAGCGACTGCTTGATTTTCAGTTGGGCATCCGCTTTTTGAAGCCTGTCGACATCTTTCCATTCGATTATCCCTGAAGTTTCGTCTTGATAAACTTGCAAGCAATCTTCTGGCGGTTCGTCAGCAGAAGTCGACTCGCTTTTAGGAGTTCGTTCTGACATTGCTTCTTCCGATAAGGCTTTTTCTGACACAGTTTTACTTTTATCGGTTTTCTCATCTTTACCTACTGTTTTAATACTCAAAACAATTGAAGTATCAGTAGTACTCGTGTTACTATTACAAGAAGTATCAGAAGCACATGAGCCATTACTTGAAGTTTCTAATTCCAATGTTTCTTCATTGTCTTCACTTACTGATGACTTACCGGTTGATTTTATATCAGACTGCTCATCAGAATAGCTCGTGCTTTGTAAAGAAGATGGTCCAGAGACTCTTGTGATCCGTAACGGTTCCAACTTTTCAGACATTTCTTCATATGAATCCATTTTTGTCCCTTTCCAGCCTATTGTTGGAATCTGTTTTATCTGTTTAGATCTTAGGGTTTTTAAGGAATTAATAAGGTGAAGGTCACTAAGGATTTGTTGATCGTCTGTTTTTAACAGATTTATAATTTGTTTCTTTATTGTGCGATAATGATAGCCAATTGAACCAAGATGGCTTATGAATTGGCTTTCAAATAAGTCTTTCACAGCATATTTTGTTACAGAATCGTCGTTTAATTTTTTATAATAATTAATCGCCTTTGAAATGATGTCCCTATCCTCCGATAAATGTTTTTCGATTTCTTTAAAATCCTCTCGGAGTTTTTTAACGTAGTTAGAAGTTAAGACGTTATCATCTTGTTTGCATTTTGAATATGTACTTTTGAACAATTCTGAAAGTGATTTTTCTTTAAAATCGAGAGGATTTTGGTTTTTTGACTTGACGCCAACTGATGATAGTAAACGAGGGCTGCAGTCTTTTAAAACATAATTTTCAGCCAATTCCACAGGCATTAGGTGAATTTCCTCTGGTGGTCTTGGGTGTTCGACGAACCCGGTCAATTCGGTGACGCTCACCGATCGACAAGTTTGTAATATTTTAGTATTAAAGCAGCTGCTCTGAGTTTCCACTTCACTGAAAAATTTCCCCTTCTTTTTAACATTGTTCAATTCGTGTGTATTCTTTCGTACTCTGTTGTTGATTTCTAGCTTCAGCAAAAATTTACCGCCTGCTTTCGCGGCAAGCACGCCGTCTATAATGCTAACCAAATCTTTGAAAGATTTTCTCCGAATGACACTGTCGATGGGTGCGTCTCGTGACACTATTGAAACTGCTGTGTTCGAAGGACCTTTTCCCGAGCGGTCCAACACAAAAGTGTGTTCTTTGTTTATGGGAGGCCTTGCGTTGAATTCGTGCGAAATCGGCCTTTTGCATATTTGGACACCATCGACCTTCTTCAGCTTACCAGTAGGACATTCTTGATACGCCTGTGCATCTTTGGTTTCCGATACCTGTGCTAACTGACAAACCGAAGACGAGCGATCCGTAAAATTATTTCTCATTGTTTTTGCAATAAATGATTTTTTTTTAAATTTTGATTTTGTTGTTACATTTTTACCGAAATTTACACACATGAGTTAGAAAAGAGTAAGAAATAGCACGTTTTGTTATGTAGTTTTAATAATAATTTTTTTTTTAATTTGATCAAATACGTCGGCGAAAATACGCGCAAAACATGGACATAAATTTCACGATATTATTAATAAAAAATATTTTAATTGGAAACACGACCGTATCAACTCTGTACGACCAGCTGCTATAAAACATGAATGGAGAATAGCTGGAACGAAAGAAACACATCCAAATTATACAAGTATAAAAAGGCATCGGTCCTGCGAAGGCTGGGGTCTAGAAAGAAATGTACCAAGTTGCACATAGGTCATACCGAGATCACCTATGGGCACCATCTAATGTGGGTGAGACGACATAGGTGTACGGATGAATACTGTATGACGATCCAATAAGTGACCCTGTGCCGGATCAACATTATTCTTTCTATCCCGACTTCCTTTCCCTCCCCTTCAAAATAAAACATCAATATCTCACTAGCACTCTCAACCCGACACAGAAGAATGACACATCTACGCGTTAAACAAACACTTTGAGTGAGTACAAATACTTTGATTGAATTTAAAATTTCTAGCATTGTATAAATTCTTTTTTTTCTTCTTCTTTTTCACATCCTACATGTATATGTAAAATTTACACAATGTTTATAAATCCCAGACCCTGAAGATGATGTCAATAAAGCTCGAAACGGGCACAATAAAGAAAATGTTTTTCTAAACCCTACGTCACACCAGACCGCATCTCACGATCTCCATATAATCACTATTCTTTTTCTTAATTATTTATACATTTTTATAATGACAAATCTGGAGCAACTGATTTATTAATCGTTGCCAGGAGCTGATAAATGGCTTCCTTCCTCAGATACTTTAATTATTAGAAGAATATTATTTATTTGTATCTTTCTTTTTTTCTTTTTTCTTTAATTTCGCATTACATGTATTTTTTTAAATATTAATTTTGTTTATAATGTTTATAGTAAAGCTAGTTTTAACATTATTATTACTCAAATTATTATGTACTAATATGTATAATTGATTGTCAATGTTTATTTTATGGTTACATTAAACTCACGGCTATTATTATTATTATTTTTATTAATCTTATGCAAATATGTTTATAACGCTATAAGAATATTAAATTAAATCAATTTTTCCAGAAATAAACCATTGTATGTACATAAGAATGGCATAGGACTCCGAAACGGTGTACATTTAGACAATTTTTTAAAATGCTTTCATGAAAAAGGCTAAGAAAACACAAAAATTAAACTGTCTTACTTTCATTATACTTCATATACATTGACAATTAAACAAGAAAGCTATTATAATTTTGAGAAATGTTTAATTGAACTTTTTTTTAGATAGTTAAATAAATTGAAAAGGACCCCAATTCCATCCCCAAAGCTGGATCTAAAGGGCTGAAATTTCAACAGTGTATTCCTACAAAGACATAGATATCCGTTAAGAAAGGATTTTTTTTAAATTCCATCCATAAGGAAATCATATGGACAATTTTTCACCATGTAGAGACCGAAGTGAACTGAAGAAGAGAAGAATGATAGAAATAGAAGAAAGATGAAATCGCGGGTAAAAGCTAGTTGATTTATATATATATTTAATTGTTTAATAATTAAATTTTGGTCATGAAACGTGAATTTCGTGCAGGAAAAACTGATTAAACTTGAGACTGAAATGAATACCAACTTTTGATTTTGAACAAAATGGCGCAATGGTTCATGGTTGATCTCTTTTGATCAGGTTCGTTCAACGGCAACCTTCCCTAGTGGTTGTAAGTTGTAACCTCGTCGATAAAAACATAACTGTACATCCGACATCGGCCAGGGCATAATTACGATATTTCAGCATGCTCTGCTGAATTTTTTTCATAAAAAAGTCGAGCAATGGCAAATTTTGATTTTCTCGCAACAGGCGGTTACGACCACACAATAAGATACTGGTACCTCACAGGCGTCTGCGTCCACACTGTTCAACACACTGATTCTGTATGCTTTTGATCAATTTTTTTTGTAAATTGTTTTATTATTTGTATTGTTGATTGTTGAACATATACTGCAGCATGGAATATTATTTATTAACAGAACGTTTTCAATCTCATGACATGAATCCTCTTCAGTGTTTGTTAATCCATTGGATAGACCAATGTTATGAGTACTCTTGGAGGTAGAAAATGTTCTGTTAATAAATAAAATTCCATGCTGCAGTATATTGCAAACAACGTACAATACAAATAATAATATTGCAAAATAAACAGCAAAAAACAAAATTATTATTTTTAATTATTTTGTAATTTTTAGCAAGTCAATGCGTTGGCTATTACTCCAGACAAGCAAAGGCTTGCAGCAGCAGGTAAATCAAACTCACATTTCTCAAATATTTTACATTTAAATAAGTGTTTTAATGAAGAAATTATATTTTCTCAGGGCATCAGCATATCAAACTTTACGATATCGAATCAGGACACACCAACCCTATTATAAATTACGAAGGCATTTCGAAAAATGTCACCGGGGTCGGTTTTCAAGAAGACGGTAACTGGATGTTCACGGGCGGTGAGGATGGTACCGCAAGGGTATGGGACATACGGTACATGAACTACATTATTATTATATTTGTTCGATTCACATTGCATCATTAATCGACTAATAATTTTAAAGGTCTAAAAATTTACAATGCCAAAGGATATTTCAAATGACTTCTCCAGTAAATTGTGTCTGCCTACATCCGAACCAGGGTGAGATGTTTGTCGGCGACCAGAGTGGAGTCATTCACATTTGGGACTTGAAGACTGACCATAATGAACAACTGGTAAGGATCTTCCTTTAAATTATAAATCTAAGTATATTTTAAAGTTTTTCTACCCCACACAAGATCCCAGAAGCTGAGGCGTCTATTCAGTCTATATCAATTGATCCAGAAGCGAAGTTGTTAACTGCTGTAAACAATAAAGGCAACTGTTACATCTGGTCCCTCACAAATGAGAACGACGAGCAGACGAAACTTAAACCTAGGCAAAAAATCGCAGCCCATTCTCGTTACGCTCTTAGATGTACTTTGAGCCCCGATTCCAAGTAAATGGTTCACGATGACAAAAGAACAAGAAACAATTTTTTACATGCTTATGAAATTTTAGGCTTTTGGTGACATGTTCGGCCGATCAGACAGCTAGGGTTTGGGAAACTGATACATTCGGCATGGTTCAGGTTTTGAAACACGATTCTCAGAGATGGGTTTGGGATGCCGTTTTCAGTGCAGATTCAAAATATCTCATAACAGGTAAAAAAAATTATAAAAATTAAAACAGTGTTAATGTTAATTATTGAGTTTTAATTTTAATGTTAGTTTTTTTTTTTTTTTGGTTTTTTTACAGCTTCATCTGATGGGGTTGCAAGGTTATGGAACTTGGAAACGGGAGCAGTCGAGAGGGAATTTTCTGGCCATCAGAAACCTGTAACAGCTCTAGCCTATTCGGAAAATCCTAAAATTGAACCTGTTGCATGATCTTTATGAACAGGTCTGATTACAAATTTCTACTTAAATTTGTGCATATATTTTTCTTTATTTTTTGCTTTTGTTTGTTTTCAGATAAATCAAAATGATCCAATTTTCACAAATAAACACTTGGCTTGATCAATTCGCCTTAAATGAACAAACATTTTTGGGGCAAAATTAGTTTTACTTATGTCAAAACTGTTTTAACTCATTATTTAAATTGTAAATACTGGTAAATATTAATTGTAAATATTTTTTTTTTTTTGTAAATTGTTATCTTTTTCTTATAACCTTTTTGTTTTGTACCTCTTGAATTGACTGCATAATATAATCATTATAATGCATAAGAAGCAAGATATCCAAATAAAAAATGTTCTGCGGAACGGCAGAAAAATCATAAATCAGGATATTTTAACTCTATCTCTGATCATCCGGTTCTGCTATTTTCATAGTTTTTGTCCAAAGGTGGCACCAGATATGTGAAATTCTTTTCATAATTTCATTCAACTGGCAAATCTCATTACCGTAATGTTTCACAGATAATTGAAAATACTTAAATTGTTCATGAAAATAATAAAGAAAGAATAAGATATCACCAAAGATCATAAAGGTTGAATTCATTTTACTATAAATTAACTCCATTAATTATGTGTACTTTATTAATTTGTACCTGCTTAGCTTAATTAAAGTTCAATGTTGTTTAAATTCAAAATTTTGTTATTTAATAAATCAAATGATAAAATTACTTAGATTTAATTTTGATTAATTTCACTAATTTCGTGGTCCACTTGACCAATTAATATATTACAATTAATTAAGGTTTTTAGTTGAGATAAAAAAAGTCAATGGCACGAGCAGGATTTGAACCCACGATCTTCAGCTTGATACGCCGCTGCTCTACCACTTGAGCTATCGTGACCTCGATCCACTCGGACACCAACTTCCCATCTCAATCGCACCGGAGTGGATCGAGGTCACGATAGCTCAAGTGGTAGAGCAGCGGTGAATCAAGTCGAAGATTGTGGGTTCGAATCCCGCTCGCGCCATTGACTTTTTTATTTCAACTAAAAATCTTAATTAATTGTAATATTTTGATTAATGTTGAATGTCTCCTTTCATCAAATGAAAGGAATCAATTGTTCTGTTTTTCTATTTCCTTTTACACAAGTTTCAGATAGTTTTTCTTGTTCTCAAATGACAAAATAACTTCAGTTTTTAATGTTTTATTGACACTTAACTAAGTGACTTTCTTTGGCCTTCTTGTGTTTGATGAGCAAATCTATAACAGTTGAAAAATCAGTTTATAATAATTTTTTTTTAAATCACTACAGCATTAAAAACAACCTTTTTCACTCCATTTTAGTTCCTTAGACCAGCCACTGGTGTTCACAAAAACAAAGACCCAACAAACTTATATTCTTGTGGCACTGTGCAAACGAGCGATGAGGGCATCTCTTTTTGTCGGGGCGTCGAAACGGTGCATTTCGATATTTTTGAACCTTGTCAGGCTCGAGTTGTCATTATTTTCCCATGAGTTTGTATTGTAATTTTGTAGCCAAGAGGCACTAGTCTTGTCCTGAAATTTTTCCTTTTTATAGAAGTCATTATAATTTATACAATTTTTGTTGGGTAAAATAAGCTAAAAGATTTTAAAAAAAGGCCTGTTCCCATAAATTAATGTGTTGTATACCATATATAGAATATATGATACTCTCTATATGGAGCCGTTTATTGAATGAATTTTTAAAAAAATTATTTTTATTATGAATTTACATATGAGTACATTAAATTATATTGCAACACTTAATTGAGCTATATAAAAGCATGTAAATAAGAAAGAAGATACCTCCTGGATGGATTCTCTTTTACTGTGATTTATTAGTTCATTGTACTCCCTTAAAAATTTTTCATATTTTGCACGTGCCAGCTTAAAAACATACATATGTTATTTGAGGTCAAAAATTTTGATTTAAAACATAATTAATTTAGAAATAATTTACCGCTGCTGACGAAGGACCTTCATTAGCCGGTTCTTCGTTTCCTGGGACAACCACAGACATTCTTTTGACTGAAAGAGATTTCTAAAAAAAAAAAAGAGGAAAATATATTTCAAAAAGAAAATTGTGGAAAAGTAACATTTTATTTTTCCGACCTTTCTAGTGGAAAATTCGCGCTCAGCAGGCTTTTGAAGATCATCAGTATGCCTTCGTTCAGGTCTCCCTTTTTTCATAGAACCCTGAAAAGGACATGTTCAAAAAAAAATTTCCATGTAGAAAAAAAAAAAGTAATGAACCTGAGAATCTTCTTGCCCTTTTGGAAAAGTATTTAAATGCTGAAAAGAAAAATGAATAATAATACTTTCACTAAAACACTTTTACAGCAATATTACATCTGATATTTCCTTCAATGTCCGTTTTATTTGTGAGTGCCTTTTCAATGGACGTTGAGTTGGATTTTTAATTTTTTCGTGAGATTTTTCTTCTTCGTCAGAACTTGATGAATATTCAATTGCCTTCTAAAGAGGATTAATAATAAATTCATATTTTCAACGTTTGTAAAACATTTCAATTTTACATTAATGAGATTATTTAAATATAAATTAGTTAAAAAGTAAGGTAATTTTGATAAAATTCAGAGCCACGGTAGCCAAGTGGTGATCTGCTGTCAATGGTTCATTTCCCACCATAGCACCTGGTCTTTTTCATGTTCCCTTTCCCTAATTAATATAAAAAATACCATAACAAATAAAATTTATAAATAAAATAAATAATTTTTTTGGGGTCTTACTATTTCAGTATTGGCTACAAGTAGAGTCAAGCAACTTTGCAATACTTTTTTGCTATGCTGGGATTTGAACCTTGAACTATAAGACAGACGCCTAACCACTTGGCCACTGCAGTTCCTTTATAAATTTCATTACAAATTATAACTCCGGGATTTATTTGTGATTTATATATCTATATTAAATAAAAACCACTATTATTATATTGATTTTTTTCTATAAAAAGGCAGTAATTAAAAAAAAAAAATTGAATTGATTTATGATATATACAAATTATTTATACCTGTAAAGGTGGTTTGTTTGCTGTTGAATCGACTCTTTCGTCAGTCTCTTTTGATTTGTAAAAGGTCGATACTCCGGTAACAGCTCTCTGAAAGAAGGAAAAATGTCTCATTTATGTAACTAATGAGTAATTTGAGTGGTCCTACCAGAGACTCTATGCTTTCTGATTCTTTTCCGTAAAATGCAAAAGGTTTATTCATACCTAATTTTATCATCTGTAAAACAAGAAAAAAAATTAATCAGAAATAGTAATGCATATTTCCTTACACCACAATTAACGTTGTTCACATGATATTTAAAGGCTTATTAATACAGGTAATTAACATGTTGACGATTATTTATAATAATCCATTTATGTTTAGTGGCCTAATTGACCATTTTAATTATTTCAGTTAATTTTTTTTTATGTCAGGTCTTGGTCATGATAGTTCAAGTGGTTAGAGCGGCAGCGTATTGAGCCAAAGGTCGTGGATCCCGCTTGTCACACCAACTTTTTCATCTTAACCACCTTACATAAAAAGAATAATTAATTGAAAATATTTATAATATTACCTGGCTAGCCTGAGTATCATTTTGATTTGCAATTTTTGACGGAGATTGCTCTTTAACGTTATCTACATTACACATCTCATCCAAAAAGTCCATTTTATTTTTCTAAAATATATCAATATTATGTGTTGAAAAGAAAAGGGGTGATTATTAAGGAAGATGCGAAAATGCTTACTGCTCTGTTCTTGGATGACTTTGCTTTTTTGACATGAGAAAATGACGCCCCTCCATGTCTTTCACGAGCAGAGTGATGCGGGACTTTTTTAGTTTTTGTTCCTGTGTTTACATCAGACGCTCTACTTTTTTTGCGCGATGTAGTCTAATGCATATAAAACGCGCATAAAAATAAATATATTTATATAGCTTCGCTAGTTACAAACCGTGACTAGTTCTTTGTTGTTATATATGAAGTCTTTTAGCGTCGGTATGCTTATGAAATCAACTTGAGGAAATGATTTCGTAGCCATGACTTTTTTCACAGAAATACTTTGTTTCGAACTCCGTGCCACCTGTAGGATATTTTAAACTGTTAGATTTATGTAATCTGCAGGGTGATGAACCTGTAATTTGGTCGTTACTGATCATTTTGATCTGCCTGTTTTGATCTTTCAGATGCATTTTACCATCAAAATGATCGATAATGACCAAATATATTTCAAACCGTCAGCAGTTTGATAATCCCTGTTCTGGTTCTCTTGATGGTACAGTTAATGAATGACATCTGAAATGCTCAAAATTGACACTGATGTTCAGGGATGATTAAATGGCCGAAAACTAGGAACTCTCATAATTTCAAGAGTAATTTAATATCTAGAATAAAATTACCGAAGCAACCTCTCGAGCTGTTTGGGAATAAACAGAATTTCTGAGCCACTCCATATCTGGCTGTAAAAATTTAAATTTGATTAGTTGAAAAAGTTCTAGAAATAATTAAAAAGTTAACATAGTCAAAATGTAACTTACTGTCCTTGTTGATAAAAATACTGATTGTTTTCTTTCTTTCACTCGTTCTCTCAACTGAAACATGTTATTTAAATGTAAAAAATAAAAATAAAAAATGTCAACAGAAGAGACTGTAATGTACCAGATTTTGCAGAAGGACAAGCATCTCCCTGTCGTCCACCTCTTTGATCTGGTTTTCTAGAAGAAGGATACAGTAATAAATACAAATCCTAAATATGTATCTCACGCGCTCATAAAAATTTAAAAGATTATCAAATTTAATATACAGTTAAAATTTATCCATTTAATCAGTACAATCAGAGAAAAACATTGAGCTTTTTTTCTGTCGAGTAGATAAATAATACACAATATATGCTTGTATATTTAATTGTGCCTACTTCATAAATCATAACCGATATAATTGAAAGCATCCTCTAAGCACTTACCGTTGAGGTTTTGTTTGGCTTGAGTTAAGTCAATGGTTTTGACCGGCATCGCTCGAGCTTTAGCCAAAGCATCTTCCACATTTAGGGTAAAGCTGGATTTCCTTATGTCCTCCTAAAAATTAATAACTAGTTAACTCAATTAACAAAGACTTAAATAATTATTTTTTAATGGAAGTATACACACGCTTAGAATTCTACATTCTTCTGTCCTTCGCACAACCTCTTGCATGTATTCTAAAAAAAAAGTTCCCGCATAAGAGAAAATGTTGAAAAATCTATTTAAAAATTTACCTTTTTGTGTTTTCATATGATCACTAGGGTGGCACTAAAATTGATCATTAAACCCATTGAAATTAAATAAAATTTCAACAATTCTTTAACTGATTGATCGATTTGACATCACGAGGGATGAAATTTTTTAAAATACTTTGATATCTCACCATTAACGAATCCATAGTTCCTTGACTAATTCTTGACACCAAACTTTTCCTAAGAGCAGCTCTAAGCATTCGTTTTTTCATATCAATTAATGATATAAGCTTTAAAAAATATATATAAAAAGACGATATCAATGTTGGCCGATTTATTTATAATTGTTTTAATATTACAGTATGATTTAATTTATAGAATTTACTTTTTCAATGCTTTTTTTGGTAATAACTTCTTCTCTGGCCCTTGTAGAAGATATAAAGGGCCTTCTTTTGTGTGTGACATTTGTACGCTTCATGACTGTCATCGATTCGTCAATGTTGGAAATAGGATGTTGATCTTAAAAAAATAAAATTAATGTAGCACAAGATTTATTATTAATGTTCATATTGAAAATAAGAGTAATACTAAGGTTAATGATTGTTGCCCTTTCTGAAGTAGATTTTATCGTGAATGAAGATTCTAGAAAAAAAAATGATAAAAAATATTTATTACATAAATAACAATTTTTTAATTGTTTTTTTTATTTTGTCTTTCTAATAATAATAATAATGTTTATTTAACAACAACAAGAAATATATACAAAACAAAGTAAATTAACATTATACAGCATGGTAAATACCTTCTGCCGGGTATTTCTATCTGTGGTATGTAGTATACAATAAGACGGAAAAAATTCCAATTATATTTTTTTGTATCTTAAGAGTAAAGTCTCACCGCTATCGTCATACGAATATTTCTTTGAGAGCTTTGGTATTGCTAATGATGATGGTTGAGGTATTTTGCGTCTATTTATCATCTTGGTGTGAAGGGTGTGGAGGAATGGTCTTCTATTGGCAAACAGTGTCACGTCCATTTTGTTATTACTGAAGCGAACTTTATAACGTAAGATAAACTGGAAGATAAATAAAATATAAATTCAACGCAAATAACAATTGGATAACTATGTTAGAAAAAAAAAATTAATACACAAATGTTAGTCTTAGTAATTTTCTTCATTAAAAACATTCTAACATAATTACATTAATTATTATTATCAATTCAAATTATCAAAATTGTATGCAAGAGGTCGGTCACCATTTTACCTTTCACAAAACAAAAAATTATCATCTTCACTGCGGAAAAAAAATTATATTTTGATTATTGTGAAAATACCAGTTTTTCCTCAAAACAAGGATATGCCTCACAAAAAAGAAAAGAAAAAAAGGTTACATAAAACATATAGCCATAAAAAATTTAGAGATTGTTAACACCAGAAAGACTGGATGGGGCCAGAGACCTGTTTGCACACACTTTTTCTACTGTAAAAGCAAGTTGTTTTTTTCTGGAAAAATCCAGAAACACAATTTTTAAATATTCCAATTAATTATTCATTTATCTAAGGTTTTTGGTTGAAATGAAAAATTAGTGCTACGAGCGGGATTCAAAAAAATTAATGTTTATAGAGCTATAATAACAAAAGTTTGATTTTTTACTTGTGGGTAAAAAAGATTAATATGTAACAATTTAAATTATTTGAATTACAATAAGCTACAAATTTCACACAGAATACCCAGGTTCGATTCACGGTATGGGAACAACTTTTTTCCTGTTGTCTTATTTAGTGAATGGTCAACTGTTTATTAACGATTTACCCGAGTTTTTGGGTGGTGGTCTGTTTGTCGGAGCATCAAATGTAAACTGTTTAATGTATGCAGATGATGTGGTTTTGATGAGTACTGAACCGGTTCTACTTCAAAAAGGTTGGGAGAATACTGCCGAATGTGGAATTTGTCAGTAAATTTGAATAAAACTAAGATTATGGTGTTTAGAAATGGCGGTGGACCATCAAAGAATGAACGATGGTTTTTAGAAAATGAAAGAATAGAGGTAGTAAAAGAGTACAAATATTTAGGTGTAACATTGACTCTACTTTCCTTCAATATGCATTTGGCCAATAAACTTAGGGTTGCTAAACAAGGATTGAATATAACCTGGAACTCTCAATAGAGGAGATGTTCCTCTAAAAAATAAATTTAAAGTTTTTAATTCTGTCTCTAGGGCTGTGATGCGTTATGCATCACAAGTATGGGGCTACCATCAGTATGAAGTGGTAGAAAAACTTCTTTGTTTTTTTATTAAGAAGTTGTTTGGCGCTCCCTATTATACACCAAGTTATTTTCTTTATTTGGAATTAGGCTTTAGACCTTTGTTTGTGTATACGTTGAGGAGTCATTTAAATTATATACAGCGGGTTTTGGGTCTGAAACAAGATTGTTTGCCCTATCTCCTTGCTCAGGGGATAATAAAAAAAACATTTTTTGGTTTAAAGAATTGGAAGTGTTGTCTTCCTGACTGAACTGTAGTTTTCATATATATTTTACAGATGTGAAAGATTTCAAAATTTGGGAAGTACAATTATTGCAGGCAGTAGAAACTCATCGTAAAGAAGACAGAGATAATTTTATGTTAAGTTTATAATTTGTACATTAATTTAAGTTTTATTTGAATGTAAATATGTAAGGGTCAACTGGCAGACGACTAGATATGCCATTACAAGTATTATTTTATTTTGTAAAAAAATGTAATATTTTGTTTTCTTTTCTAAATATACTTTTATAAAAACAAAAAACTTAGAAAAAAAATTATTACACAACTGTTAGTCTTAGTAATTTTCTTCACTAAAACATTCTAACATAATTACATTAATTATTAACAATTCAAATTATAAAAATTGTATGCAAGAGGTCGGTCACCATTTTACCTTTCACAAAGCATAAAAAATTATCATCTTTTGCGGAAAAAAAATTACGTTTTGATTATTGTGAAAATACCAGTTTTTTCCTCAAAACAAGGATATGCCTCACAAAAAATAAAAGAAAAAAAGATTACATAAAACATATAGCCATAAAAAATTTAGAGATTGTTAACACCAGAAAGACTGGATGGGGCCAGAGACCTATGTTTGCACACACTTTTTCTACTATAAAAGCGTTTTTTTTGCTGGAAAAATCCAGAAACACAATTTTTAAATATTCCAATTAATTATTCATTTATCTAAGGTTTTTGGTTGAAATGAAAAATTAGTGCCACGAGTGGGATTCGAAAAAATTAATGTTATTGGACCTATAATAACAAAAGTTTGATTTTTTACTTGTGGGTAAAAAAAGATTAATATGTAATAATTTAAATTATTTGAATTACAATAAGCTACAAATTTCACACAGAATACTCGTGTTCGATTCACGGTATGGGAACAACTTTTTTCCTGTTGTCTTATTTAGCGAATGGTCAACATATAAACATCCTTCCTCCAGGGTTACTGGGGAGAAGAAAAAAAGCTACAAATAAGCTTGATCGTTTCTGATCATTTTGATCTGCCTTTTCACCCCGCTTTGGTCTGCCATTTGCATTTAGGCATTTTCACACCCTCAGTGCGTGCTTTATTTTTTGTTAAGAGTATTTTATATAAATTTGTTTAATGAATTTAACTATTAAAAAATTCCAATCATATTTCTCAACAAAGTATGTGAAAATCTGTTCAATGTAGAAAAAGTACCATATGGTCTTTTTGTATTACCTTGTAATAATTTGTTAGCCCTCTGTGTTTGACCCTCTTGGCTCTAGATTGTAATTTCTAAATTTTTAGTTAAAAGGTCTTTTTTTCTATTTCTGTCCTGGTCCAGTCATGCATTTTTTCCATTGAATTTGGAAGTGCGAATCAAGCTTTGAATGTTGGCATTATGTTAAGAGAAGAATCCAGAAAGTGTGAAGGTACTGAATGGTTTTTCTATTCTTCTCGGCTGAAAAGTGAAGATTAACGTTTAAAGAAAAAGTAGGGGACGACTCCTTAAATTGTGATTACTTGCAAATGGCAGATTCAAATTCTTATAGCATGCGTTCTCAGGATAGATAATTTTGATGTAACGACCGCAAAATGGCACAATTTTATCAAGGAGTCTCAAGAGAGCATAACTTTTTGTTGTGCTTTAAAATTCTTTCTAAATTCACATATGTTATGATAGTCCCACATGAGAAAAATTGCCTCGCTTCACTCATGTGAATTAAATTGAGCATTTAATTCTGATTATCCTTCTCTTTAGTATTCTAATAAGTTTTAGTAACTTTTTAAAGTTGTCTTATTTAAAATAGTGCATATTTTCTACTTTTTAAACAATATAAAGAAAGTGTCTAAAGTTTGTTAGTTTCATACAAATAAAATATTTTTAACAATGATTTCAGAATATGCTGAATAATTTGGAAGTAACAATAAAAAACAAAGCAGACTTTAATAAAAATAATTTTCTATGTCATTGGTCAGATTGAACAGAAATAACTTTTAATTGAATCAAAAATCTTAAATTTTGCAGTTTAGTCATCCTGGATGATAAGATGACTAAATACAGGTGCAAAAAAATTTCTTGTAAAAAATTTTGATTCAGTTGGAATGTATTGATGATGATGAGATCCTGATGGGTTAGGTACTGACCACAGCAGCCTTTTGGCGTATTGTACATTTCTTAATTCCTTAGTTCAGCTCAATTTACTCGATCTTTCTTTTAAAAGTAGTCATACTGATGCAATTCTCTTCCCTGGGTCATCTTGGTAGCCTAGGTTATCTCCATTGAACGATTGCTTCACATGCAAAAATAATATGAGTGACAGTTTCTTCCATTGCACAGCCTATAAATTGGAGTCTTCATTGAATATACCATATTCATATGATTTCTCAGATGCCAGTGACCAATAGCCATATCACTCCCCTGAGTTTAGCGTGTTTTGCCGGTTTTGGTTACGGATCTTTAATCATGAGTTTACTGTCTAGCTCCTCTGGATTAGTCCACTTCTTTTGTTTTTTGTGTACCAATTCTGAGATGAGGAGAATATATTTGATCTTGTTATCCCATGAATAAGTGGCTCATATTCTCGCAGATCCCCTTGGTCTTGGCGCAAACACTGACTGGTAACAACAGCACAATTTAGTGCCATCTTCTTTACACTCGGTGATAACTACCTGGCCAGTTGAATTGAAATTGTCTGGGGACACTCCTTGGTCTTGGACCCAGAATGCCTTTGTGTCCTGGCATTCAGGTTATTGTTTTCCAAAGTTAAGGAGATTTTGGATGTCTGTCTATTTTGAACATGATCTTTTTATGTGCTAAAGTTCGACCTGCAATGTACTACTTCGACTATTATTTTTTATTGAAAGTTTTTTAAGAATCTAATAAATTTTTTTAAAAATCTTCATTTTGTCATATATTAACTGCTTCTTATTGTATTTGTGCTTGTTTTCAGGACAAAATGGAACTTAACCCTCAACAGATAATAAAAGTAGGAGAAAAAGATTCAAGGTTTGAATCGCCGATTGATTTAAGTTTAAATATCACTACAGAAGCACAACTTCCAAGCATACAGTGGAACAATGCCCAGGAAAAACCAAGGTTAATGAAACTTACAAACAGTGGTGAATCAGGTGCGATTTAGATTTTTTAAAAAACATTTAATTATACAATAATTAATAAATAATTTGTACAATACATTTTATAATATATATTTTTTATCTGCACTCTTCAATTTTCCATTTTGCAAATCTTGTCTTTTCAAGGAATGATGTACACGCAATATGCATTTTTCCTTCTTCGTTATTCTGAGTATGTAAGTTTTCATTAGAGTGAACAGCTTTTAATATTACGCTGTCATTAAATGGTATCATTTTCCATTTGCTTTCTTTTAAAAGTTCACCTGTGGTCCAGGTAAAAACTTGGTGGCATTGGTTTAGCTCATCTCGATTGACGTAAAGATATTCGTTGTATTTCAGACTTTTGATTCTGAAAGTTTCATATTCATTGGCCTTTAATATTTTCCACTCAGATCCGACATCGTTTGATCTCAGATTTTGTGTGATTACACTTCTGTTATGGTCGTAGATTGAGCTCGAAGCGTATAAAAATTCTCTGCTGTCGATATTTTTAATACAAACTCTATCCAAAAACACTGCATTCCTTATCGAAGGATTCAATTTCATGTTGTACTCTTTCAAGCGTTGAATTAATTCATAACTGACTAAATTCAGATTGGGATATGACATGATATTTTTAAACGCATTAGCAAATTCAAATTCAAATTTTCTATTATTTGAGCTTAACTTGTCAAACAAAATAGTGAGCGATACAATTTCTGGTTCTATGTATAAATGAGATTTGGAGTAGTCAATTAGTTTTTCGACTTTTTCATTTGCGTACAAGTCTTCAATGACGTGTTTAACAATATTTAGAAAAATATCCATATTAAAGGTGCAAATTTCATTTGTTAGGTTAAGAATTTCAGAAGAATCGTAATTATCATTTTTTATAGAGTTTTTAATAGTATTAATCATTTCCTTTTTAATATCAGGAAGCTGTTTTTTAATACTTTCTATTTTGATCCTCAATCCTTTTTTAACTTTCTTTATGTTTTCTTCAGAAGACAAATTTTCAAAAAATTCTTGCATTATTAATAAAGGCTTGACTGTCACAGGGGCTATTTTCAGAGCATTTTTGCTCTTCATGTAGTTAAATACAGCCATGTAAGCAATTATTGAATGCGTGTAATATTTACGAGTGGTAAAACATTTTAAAATTATTCCCATCCGTCCATCCATATTTTCAATCAAAGAATAAATAATGTTGTCAAAAATTCTATTGTCGAAATCACATATTTTTTTAGATATTGTGTCTATTTCTTCTTCTGTATGCTCATAGTGCAAGAAGTGATCTAGGAATAAATCAAGCGCTTCGTTTTGTATGTCAGGCAGGCTTATATTGAGCCTTAATCTCTCTTGAACGGCGTACATATTCAATAATATATCAACTGTGTTCATATTTAAATGGTTATCGCCGTTTCTTTTCATCTTGTCCCATAAAAGCTCAAAACAAATTTTTGTCTGTAGTGGATAACTTTGAGATGCTAGTACCAACCATAAGTAATTATTTGACACTTTACCGTAAACATTATCAACAACCTTTTTCATAATGCTGTGAAATAAATTTACGTCATTAAGATAAACTTTATTTAATATTTCAAATTGGTCTTTACTTGTGTATGTTTCTTTTTCTATCTTATTTATAAGAGTTTCTGAGACTAATGACTTAATGCGATCGTCTAAATAACTTAAAATACCATGTGCTTGATTTCTTATTGTTATATTTGAATCAACATCATCGATAATATATTTGCGTATGTTTTCTTTTAACTGCAATGATTGATTCAAAGAGTCATAATTTATTACTATTTTGCTCAATGTTTTATAAGCGAGCAAACGTTTGTTTATTGAAAAATTGCTAATGATAAATTTTAATATATTTGAAAAACTGATTTCTTCATTGGCGTACATTTCTTGAATCAACGAGAGGGTGTCGTAATTATTTTTCTTGTATATTTCCTGTGCCCTTTTAAACTCCTGCTTTTTCAATGCGTCCAAAATTTCATAGTAATTATTAAATCCCACTTCTCTCTTATTCATCGAGTGTTTTTTTATTGTTGCGATCTTTCCAAGTTGTTTTAAAGCTGTTTTACCAAATTTTTGACTGTCGAACGAATTGAGCGAATTTTCTTGTAAATCCTTGTTGTCATTTGTTATGGAAAATCCATCCACGGCTAAACACACTAGACATGCAATTAAAATAATATAATTGATGTTTGAAATCAGCAAGGTTCCTTCCATTGTTCGAGTTGTAATAAATTATCAAATAATCTTCATCAATTCAACCAGTATACCTGAAATAAAAATTCTAAGTTAATAATTCCCTTCAGTTTATAAGTAGACTTAGACAATTAAAATTTATGGTGATGGTTAAAAACTTGTGAGATTTTTTCTGTGATCTGCAGGGTGACGAACCAGTAATTTGATCCTTATCGATCATCTTCTTGCAATCATCAGTGGGACTGTAGTCACTACTGAAAATAGCAAAATGTCAAAAGGTGTCTGACAGACCAAGATGATTGGTAAGGATCAAATAGCAAAACTTAAACTATGAAAACATTTTTTTAACTGTTGTCATTAAATTCTTTTCCTTTCTTTCTGCCTATGTCTGTTATGTATTTTGCCATCTTCACTGATTGATTAGAAAAAAAAATAATGAAGAAATAGGTAAATTTGATGAAAGTTATATCAAAACAGTTTTAGCCTGAATTCAACTCTTCAAAACATAGCTTAAAAAGGATTAGACCTAATCCACAGGGGTCAAATGGTTAGTGGTATGACTCGTATTTTCCACACTAGCAGTTCTGGGTTCGAACCCTAGCACTACCTCTTGCAGGTAGAAGAAAAAAACTATCCCTAAATTTTTTAGTAAAGGTGTCGGCACTGTGCCACATTGTATATGATATTATTTCTGTAACTACTGTTAAAACACTTACCTACAAATTTTGGGGAAAAAAGAAAACACCCCCCTTAATAGACGCGTACATAGAAATGAGTAAAGAAAACAATATAAATATACATAAATCACATTTACATCCGTCTACCTTTTCAGATTATAAACTCTTAATCAAAGCAAGAAAAACTCTTTTCTTCAGAGATTATTCTGATTTTCCTACCCATATAAGGAATTCTATATTTAAATCTGACATGGCAGTGTTTAACCCGAATGCTCATCTTATTTTTACGGATGGGTCGCTGATGAAAAGGAGATGTAGGATGCGCAATATATGATTCCAATCTAAAAAGGGGAAGCAATTTAAACTCCCCCAAATCACCAGTATTTTCTAGGCAGAACTATATGGCATTCTGAAGGCTTTAGAATACATTTTAGAAAATGAGTTAAATAGTGACAATTTTATGATAATGTCCGACTCAAAGAGTGCACTACAAGCTATAGAGGGGCATAATCTCAATTCCCAAAATTATATGATCAAAGATATCGTGGACTGTTTAGATATCTTGGAACAACATAGGAAAATAAAGGCCTGCCTGTGCTGGGTTAAGGGCCACGCTGGTATTGAACAAAACGAAATTGTTGACAAGTTGGCTAAGAATGCTATAAAACAAGGTGAATGGAACAATATTCCAGTCCCATGGCAGGACGTTAAAAGTTTTTTTCATGCCAAACTTTCCCGGAAATGGAATCGTACGATCCAAAGAAGTAACACGGGTTCTTTCTATTTTAAAATTAATCCAAACGTAAATAAAAAACCTTGGTTCTACCTGAGCACGACCAATAAAGGAAATTGTACGATAATAACCAGAATGAGACTTAATGATGGAATATGTGGCGCTTATTTACAGAAGATTGGTCAGAGGAACAGTAAAGCGTGCCAGAGCTGTGGGATAACAGAAGACCTAGAGCACATATTTATGGTTTGTTCACAGTATGAAAAAGAAAGGAAAGAAATGTTTGATGAACTGTATAAACTAAAAACGTTGGACAAACCATTTGATTATAAATGTCTACTGTTTTCTAAAGATCTTTGTATTTACACAAATATCGTTAAATTTGTCCATGAGTGCCACATAACTATTTGAGACGATAACTGTCTCTGGCCTGCTGCCTGAGGGCGGGGGGTCCTTGTCTGGTTGCTGGGGGTGTGTGGCGCTGGGGTGGCTCTGGTACATGGATATCAATAGCCGTCCCCGATCGGCTTGGAATGTGGGTGGCCAGGCACACACGCACATCCCACCAGGAGATCGGACGTATTTGAGTCAAATTGGAATTTGAGGTGGAGTCCCCTGGTGCCGCATTTTTCCCCGGTGGGCGGGCTGGGGCTCTCTTCGTCCCGGGTGGAGGTGTGGTCTTTGCGCTAATGGTAAAAACCAAGGCCATAAAAAAAAAATTCCAAGATCTCCGTGGTTGATAACCTTTATTCAATTTCCAATGTTTTAAATAAAAATATTTATACCTGGACTATGCCAATGATACATACAATATAAATACTTTTATTTAAAAAATTGGAAATTACTGATGGGTGTGCCTTCAGATTGAGAATTATACCATGAGATTTCTCTATGTTTAGTACTGATGATGGGCGAGGAGCCCGAACGTCCACGTAATTTACTAAATTGAATAAAGGTTTTCAACCACGGAGATCTTGGAATTTTTCAACCTATCAATAGAGAAGATATGAACCGTGGAGTTGGTAATATATAAAAAAAAGTATTACAAAGAGGTTGAACTTTTATCCATGACAGCCAACAGGTATTTGGGCATTAAACCCTCCTATATGACAAAAATAACTACTTTTTTCAAAATCAGTTTTTACAACAAAAAAAAAAAAACATAAAAATTAGGGCAATAGACTCCCTTGTTGTATTAGACAAAAAGACCAGATAAAGTAGGTTTTTGGTAGTGATCTGGCAATGGCTAGACCTGATCATAAGATAAGTTGCCCCTTCATAAGAAAACAAACAGAATTAGTCCTGATCAATGGATATTATTGAAGATTAGTGGTGATTCTGATGGAAAAATCTGTTTTATCAGACCTATTAATGAAGATAACGTATTTTGCCACCTTCAGTGGTTGGTCTGAGAATGCCTAAGTTGATGAGATTTGATGGTTAAGTGGTTAGGAGTCTGACTCATAAATGCCATGCTAGCGGTTCTGGTTTCAAATACTGGCACGCCCCATTGAATTTAATCGAGAATAATTTAAAACAAGTATTATAAAAAGGATGTACCCTTATCCATGACAACCACAGCTATTTGGGAGTTAAGACATTCAGTAAGACAAGAATCACTTTACTTTTTTACATCAGTTTTAACAAAAAAGACCTAAAAAAAGTGATGTTCTCGATATGCTCCCTTGTTATATTGGACAAAAAGATCAGATGATTTAGGCTTTTTGTAATGATCTGGCTAGACCTGATCATAAGATAAGTTGCCCCTTCATAAGAAAGAATAAACAGAATTAGTCCTGACCGATGGATATTCACTAATCAGTGCTGATACTGACTAAAAAATCTGTTTTTATAAGACCTATTACAGAAGATGGCGAAACGCATAAATGTACCCGTGATACACCAATGAAGATGATGGAAAGTGACCATACTGTAGGTTGATCATCCCTAGTAATTCCCACAAATTAAATACATGTAGATTAAAATTTATGTTGGTAATTTAACAACGTACCTCTCAATCTGTTGTTACACGCAACTGTCTAAGATTATAATTTTTAAAATAGCTGTAACTTCAAATCATAGCTAGTGTTACATGAAGCAGGATGACAAGTAACAAACGCGTTTAACACAGATTTCATGACCAAATATCTGTTGAACTTGACCTTTTTATCTTCAATGTCAATATTGCAATTTTATTTTTTACTAGACGTTTCACTAGAAATTAGGTGATAAATTTAATACCGAACAGATTTAATCTTACAATTAAATTCAACACAATTTGAAAAATAAAATTCCTTATACAATCCATTAATTTAATGGCTTTTTGCCTAAAATTTGTTGCTTTAATTGATTTTGTTCATTATTGAATTAAATAAGGAAATGTGAGACAACAACAACAACAAATCAGATGAAGATTTAGCAATAATCTTATGCGTTGTTAATTTTCAGTAATCTTGAGTGCAAAATGGTTTAGCCCAAGACCATTTTTGACAAAAGGTCCTTTCAATGACTGTTACGTATTCTCTCAAGTTCATTTTCATTGGGGAAAGAATGAACAAGAAGGAAGCGAGCACAAAATCAACGGTGCATCGTGAGTGTCGAACTCAATCACCCCTAATTAATAAATGCTCGATCAAATGAGTTTTAACAAGATTTATCCCAAATATCAGATTGCCTATGGAAATTCATGTGATGTTCTTTAAAAGCATGTACTTGTCGCAGGAAGAAGCCATGAAAAAATTAGATGGTGTCACGGTTTTAGCGTATCTTGTTAAAGTGAGTATTTTTTTTATTTTTTGAAAAATATAATTGTCTAAATCATTGGTCCATTTACAGATTCATAATGAAGATAATGCACATTTAAAGCCGATAATCGATGCGTTAGATAAAATTAAAGGCCCTTTTACCTCACAGCACATTGATCTGTTATCTCTACAAGAAATAGTGCCGTTGTTCACTGATGATTATTTGATGTATTGGGGAAACGTGGTTAATAGCCATAAAATATTGTGGCTTATTTGCCGGCAGCCTTTAACAATCAGCCCAGAACAGGTACAATTTAATGTTTACTAGAATAAAATGATTTCATGTAGTAATAATATGAATATAAAATTGTTACTGACATTTTTTTTTTTTTTTACAGCTAAGCAAGTTTCGCTTACTTATGGGAAAAGACAAGAAGCTAATGCAACAGAATTTTAGAGATGTTAAACCTGTGAACCATCGGATGATATTTCATGTTAACATTGGTTATGACAAGCATAATGTCCTGTATTTGCTACCCCATGAAAAAGTAGTAACAGGTACCACAGATGCAAGTAGTGTTTCTGGTAGTTCGAGGAAATCTGCTAAGAAAAAGAGCATCAAGAAAATGAGCATTAAAAAGCAGAGCATTAAGAAACAGAGTATTAAAAGGAAATCTTCGGTTAAAAATAAAAAGAGTGCAAATACAGCTGAAATGGACATGAGAGATGATCCGTCAACCGCGTTGCAGAGATGGAAAGAAATAGCATGTGACACTTGCAACACAATAGATGTACAAATTCAAAGAGAGATAGAAAAAAAGGATTACTACAATACGTACACGACCAAACTGAAACTTCTTGAAGACATTTTAACACAAAAACTGCTTGAAAGCAACATAGATTTTGAAGATCCAAATTTTATGACTGGCGTCAGACAATTTGCAAGGGATGAGGAGAATTTGAAGGACGATGACTTCCTGATGATTAACAAAGTCGAAAATCTGATTAAAAGCCTCAAGACTACGCTGAGTTTGCATAGGGAGAAAAATCCAAAAATAACTTCTAAACCTCTTAGAAGCTCAATCTCATCCCCCGCGCTTAAAATTGTTATTCCAATGAACAATTCAGTGCCTATTTTAAAAGAAGCAGAAATAATCGAATCGACTGGAATAAATGTAAATACTAAAAATGAAAGGACTATTACAACACAAAAAGAAAGTGAACATGTAGACGAGATTTCAAAAGACGTGAAAAAACAAGTACGACCAGTAACCGTTGAACCTGAAGTCAACTTAAAATCACCAAATGATCCTGCATGGAACAAAAGAAACCAGTCAAGCCAAGTGACGAACAAACCAAAAAGAACAATGGTGAAAGAAGTGTTTGAAATTAACAAACAATCTAAACCAAATGAACAACAGAATAAACTATCTTCTTTTAAAGGGAAACAAATAGACAAAAAACCTTTATGGAAATATTAAAATTTTATTGTAATCTTCACACTAATAGTATGAAACATCATTTTATTAAATTACACATTTTATTTACAGAAAAGTTTAGCTTCTCAACGGCAAAAGACCATTTAAAATTTTATGACATTTATTTAACTAGAACTACCTTTTTATACAAAACAGATTTTTTTCTTTCTTTATTAAAAACCCCAACAAAATTAGTAGTTTAACAAACTCAATGTAAAATATTAACATTTTGATACAAATTGACAAGTAAATCAGCACTTTTAAATCGCACTGGCACCGATGGCTACTTGCGTCGCAAGGTCAGTTTGTTCATTTTTAAGCCTATCACGGATCAACTCGGCGATGGCTTTTTGTGTCCTTTTTTCCAATTTGTCCAGCTTTTTGGCGACGTCTCTCTTCAAATCCCAATCAGGCTTTCGTGGTGCTAGATTCGCCAAGTCCTGAAATTATTATCAAATAAAAATAAATAAATAAAATAAATAAAAAATAAAGTCAACTCACAAGTTCTTCGATAACGACTCGCGTCTTAGCAGACTCGAGCTGATCTTTGATTTCCGATTTGACATCTCCTGGCTTTGCTGGAGGCAATGTGGTTTCTTTCAGCTTTTCATCTTTGGGTAAGTAACTCCTAAATACTGGCCTGAAAAATTATTTATGCTAGTAGTCAGTGACAATTGAAAGATCATTAGAACGCAGATTTACTCTAAAAAGGCAAAAAAAATTAAAGTAAATATATTTAGCATTTAAAACTAAACTAGTCATAGAACAAATAACAGGCATAACAAACAGCAAAATAGTGTTTAAACAAGTCTTTACATTTGTCAGCATTAAAAAAAAATTATATTGCTTTGCTTTAAACGCACAGCAATAGTACACTCACACATTATATAATAAATACATAAGTACACATCACATAATGAATAAATAAAAATAAGGAACACAGAACAATGAAATGAATAGTTTTACACATAAGTAAATAATTACCGTAACACACATGTACAATACTACAGTCTATTAAATTTACTAGTTTTCATGGTCCGCTTGACCAATTAACTAATAAACTATAATAAACTAAAAAATTATAAAAAACTATAAAACTACTAACTACGAAACTATTAAAAAAAATTAAATAAACTAAAGTCAAAGTTCAAAAATGCATATATCAGTTTATACATGTACAGTTGAAAGCAAGTTTTCCCAGCGTAACGGTCGCTCAAAATTTCTCAGCTTATTTTTTTCGTATTAAATTTCTCAATACCTCGCCCCGTCGAAAAATTTCTGTATGGCATCTTTAAATTCCAGGCAAGTCAAAATTATAAGCTTTATGTTTTCCAGTTTGTGGCACATCTCACAGATTGGAATAGCTCTATGGCTACTTTCATGGATATATGCACTACAAATGCAGTGGTTTGAGCGAATCCGGGATATTGATTGCAAAAATTCTTTTGTGCCATTAATTCCAGAGAAAAGAGAGAACCGTGGTTTTGATCCTATTTCCAGGAATATGGACTTATATAGCAAACCTGCAGTTCCCTGGGTGTACCACGTGCTCCATTCTTGCATCAAATGTTTGGTGAAGAGGTGTTTTACATCCATCTTTGGCAGCATGATGTTTTGATATTCAACGTGCTTTGTCGCTTATTTAGCCAATCGGTCCACTACCTTGGATGCAACAATGTCCCTGACTCCAGCAAAATACTACCTTATCCTGTGTTTGTCATCATTTTTAATTGAAATAATGTAATACCGGTAATGACCATGTAATCCAGATCTGACCTGCCAACTATAGCGATGGAAGACTTGAGCTATATTATGGGTCACAGGCACAGGCTTAGAAGAGCCATAATTGTCTGATGGCCATGCATTTTAATGCCTACCGTAAAAAAAAAAAAAAATTAATGGTAGGTTTTGGTCTGCAAGTTGGTGAATTCATGCTGAACCGGTACAGGGTCATTACTGGGTGTCTCCACTCACCGTTTTTTTTAGTTATTCAAACTCGTTTTCAGAAGACTGAAGAGGGCATAATGGTGAAATGTTTTTAAATAACTTTAAAAAAACTGCGACTGGAAAAAGACTCATTAAGTTATCATCTCTCATAAAATGTGGGTAACAAGGCCTTTTTTTTTTTTTTAACAATGGATACCAGGGACTGGGAGTTCCCTCCTGAGCACTGCAGCTGAGCTGTACAGCTTATTGTACTTTATTCCTGGCTCCATATTTTTAGGGGGGGGGGCTCGCAACACAAATGTGAACTTGAGCCCCCGTTGTGCCGGTGTTCTTCCATCGAAGAAACTCATTTTTGAAGGGGTTGGGTCCAAATTCAGGGTCGCTGAGATCCGATCCCGCCCCTTCTATTGATGAGTGCCGTGTCAATGTCTTTCAATTGTGGCCACTGGTCCCCTTAGGCATCAGAAAAAGTCCAGAGGCGACGGTGACCGCGGGATCTACTAGCCGAGAGTCTGACGCCTAAACCACTCAGATACCGCGGTCCCCGGGTAAATGCCATAGTCAGCAACCCCCTAAGATAACAAGGTGAACTTAGCTAAAGAAGTGATATGCAATGGAGTCCCATGAAGTGATATTACCATATATAGCACATATAATGGTGATACCTCATCACGGCACTCTGATCATTGGGAGTGTGGACTTTTCCATGGTGCCTTGCATGCTATAATATATGCAATTTTTTATCCACACCCCTGGACAGTGATCGTCATGAAAGGATGAAGTGTCGGCCAAATATCCCTCCTAAATCATAGTTACCGAGAATGAATAGCCCTAGAAAATTGTTCTTCCTATGGACAAGACTCTGACTGAACCATAATAGACTCCCTAATTACCTATACAAAATAGGCGTCACTGACTCCCTGTTGTGTGAATGTGACTGATTCACCACAGTCGACATCAATCATGTTTTCGCTTGCCATAATAGAAAAGATCAGATGCTGATCCCACAGCGTTAGAAGTAGTATAATTTTGGGTAAAGTGGAAAATGCTGAAATAGTGCAAGCCTTGTATAGGTTTGTATCGGACGTCTACATGCCTCCGGGCACTCTGATCACTGGGGGTGTGGACTTTTCCATGCACGCTATAGAATATATGCAATTTTTTATCCACACCCCTGGACAGTAATCGTTAAAATGATGGAATTGTGTGCCTGGCTGCCCGCCCTAGGATCGTTCACTTTAGTGGTCATGCTCGTCTCGCTCTTCAATGGGATTTACTGTGACTAAAAGTAGCAACAAAGCAAAAAAAATCAAGGTGACAATCGAATCAAGATCTTTGGAAAGCAGGTTTACTCTAAAGAAAAAAAAATCAATATAAATCTATTTAGCACTTATCATTACAAATTAAAATACTAGTTACAGAACAAATAACAAAACAAACAGCGTTTAAACAAATTTTGATTCATTTCATTGAAAATATTTATTTGTTGATGTACTTATGAATCGAATTTGTCAAAAATACCATTTAAAGTTGTTTCAATTATTTACTTACTTTGGAATAGCGTTTGCATTGTTGTTTTTAGCTTTTTTTGATTGAGCATCGTTCTCGTCCTGCTTCCTTTTTAGGGCTTTGAGACGTTCTTTTCTCTTGAGCCCTTCTTCTTCAAGAGTTCCCACCTTTTCTTCTATCATCATAAGAATCAAATTCAAAAACTTCAAAACTGCATTGAACACTGTGTGGTTTACTGGTTACTGTTTTGATGAAGGTTATAGAACACTGCAGAGGCAATCACATTGTTTTTTCTCTTAAAATAATTATTTATTTATTTTTTAAAGAAGAAAATAATTATTTATATATATATCTTTTACAAAGAATATAAATTACGAGCCTATAAACAATTTAAGCGGAAGATAAATAAAATTGATAAAATAACAAGAAAAAACAACAACAAACATTAATAATAATAAACAATAAACTATATTTTATTTGTTTTTATTTTTTAACTATTTTATATAGTAGAAAAATTATATTTTACGTAATACTTTATTTATTTCATGACAATCTGTACAATTATTGCTTTTAGTTTATGCTTAAATGCATTGAAATTTTGATGAAAAATCAATATTCAGACATATCTTATTTCCTTCTCTCATTACTCTATTTATTGGTGAATAAAATATGTAATTTGTTTTACAAAATGCTACACTAAACATAGATGAATGTCTGGTAGCATGTATTGGGACACTGAAAGTGATACATTTATTTATATATACATACAGATCAAAGATGCTTATACAAAGAATATAAATCACGAGGTTACAAACAATTTAAGTACTGTATGAATAACATTTATAATATAGCAAGAACAAAACAACAAGCATTAATAATAATAGACAGTAAATTATACATATATACATAAAATGAAATCAGCACAATTTAGATGGCCATTGATTGTATTGTAAAGAAACAATAGAAGATTCTAGAGAGAAAAAGACAGTTCTGAAGATGAAAGGAGAGGAAATTAAAAATTACTGATTCTAATAAATTTATTTGGTACTTTATCTAAAAATTCAGAACAAGAAGTGTGAATTCCACACAACTGAAGAAAATTCGAGAATAGAACGAATGAGAATTTTGTACAATATCAGTGATGAATCGCGATTATGAAAATAACGAGTGTTTCTTATAATAAAACCAAGAATTTTAAGAGTTTTTTTATTAACACTGAAAATATGCTCCTTAAATTCCAACAACATCAAACAAGAGACCCGAGTCTTTGACACAGATACTCCCTTTGGTGTTGTATATAATGGTAAAATATCCCTTAAAATTATTCAAAATAGTTTGCTGGTATATTACACTTATTATTACTTGTAAAATAAAAAATTTTTAAATAGTTAAAAATTGAGAAATAATTTTTTTGCTTTATTAAACCAAAATCCTTTAATCCACAATTATGAATTACATATTAACCAACAACTAATTTCAAGAATGAAAAATAAATAAATAAAAAACACTAGATAGATATAGAAAAGTCTTACAATGTTAAATAGTGAATTTTTTATTAATATAATCACAACTCAAAAGATTTGGCAAATTTATGACAGCAGAAAACTCACCAACGATTTTCACAATAAATTAAAGCAAATTCTTCTAAAAGAAATGACATAAAAAGAACAAAAATTGATTTAAGGCTCTGTAAAATTTTTAAATTAAGGAATTTTCCATAAATTCTAAGGTTTTTTGTAGTTCAACTGCGACCCATTGTCAATTTGAGTGATTACTGCTCAACATGAACTTATTTATGCTTTTAAAAAATTAGAGAAAAGGCGAATTTAAAAGAAAAATGAACTTAGTTCTTAAAACTTTCAAGGAATATATTTATATTGTATGTTGTAGTTATACACCTAAATTTGTACCCCAACTTATTTTAAGTAGATATTTATATTTGTCAACATTGTGAATTATATTCCAAGAGTGATGATTGACCAGTTTTTGATGCAATTGTTTTGGGATGGCCAAAGCTAGGCAGTAGTGCAAAACTATGACTTTTATCACATCCAAAAATAATTGCGCTGTGGGTCCCATCAACGGTGTAGCGTCTACACTCACTGGTTTCGATTTTAGTAAAATGCATTTCGACTTTGTGCAGGAGTGCAACTGGAGTTTCTCACTGAAGATGGCACAAAGCCAAAACTTGTTTAAATATCAAAATGTTTTCACCGACTTGCAAACCAATGCAATTTAAAAGAGTTGTAACTTGACCATGAACTCTATAATTAATTTTACAAGCATATATTAAAGGAATCGTATTTTTGAATTTTTTCCTTTAGACTTTAATCCATANTTTTCAGAGCAATAATCTTATAAAATTTGTCAATGAGGAATTAAAATCAGGCGGAAATGTATCCAAGTTTGAAGGTTTAACAAAACGTTACTACAGCACTCTCTCAAAAATTGAGAAATAATTTTTTTTGCTTTATTAAACCAAAATCCTTTAATCCACAATTATGAATGATGTATTAACCAACAACCAATTACAAGAAGAAAAAATAAAAAAATAAAAAATAAATAAAAAACACTAGATAGACATAGAAGATAAAGAAAAGTTAAAAGGTCTTACAATGTTAAATAGTATATTTTTTTATTAATGTAATCACAACTCAAAAGATTTGGCAAATTTATGACAGCAGAAAACTCACCAACGATTTTTACAAGAAATTAAAGCAAGTTCTTCTAAAAGAAATGTCTAAATATACATAAAAAGAACAAAAATTGAATTAAGGCTCTGTAAAATTTTTAAATTAAGGAATTTTCCATAAATTCTAAGGTTTTTTGTTGTTCAACTGCGACCCATTGTCAATTTGGGTGATTACTGCTCAACATGAACTTGTTTATGGTTTTAAAAAATTAGAGAAAAGGTGAATTTGAAAGAAAGTAAACTCAGTTCATCAAACTTTCAAGGAATGTAGGAATATATTTATATTGTATATTGTAGTTATACCCCTATATTTTGTACCCCGACTTATTTAATTTAAGTAGATATTTATATTTGTTAACGTTGTGAATTATATTCCAAAAGTGATGATTGACCAGCTTTTGATGCAATTATTTTGGGATGCCCAAAGCTAGGCAGTAGTGCAAAACACTATGACTTTTATCACACCCCTGATCCAAAAATAATAGCATTGTGAATTATTAATAATAGTTTCAAAGTCCTGATGAAAGTGATATATTTCTCCAACTTGAAGAAGGAACTAAGTCTTTTTCTTCCCTAAAATTTGCTTTATCTCTAATATTTTGTGCACAGTTATAAAATTAAAACTGAAATCAATAACTTCAAGATAATTTCAAGATAAACCACATGTACGCTGAATAAAACTTTCAAAAGACTATAAATTAGTGTATTTTAAGTAATTTAAGAACAATAATTGCAAAGGTTAATTGCAACGGTAAGCACGCAAATATATTTAAAAAATTTGAAAATCGACAATAAAATATGTTAACAAATCTTAAATTAGGGAGTTTTTATGAAGTATTAACTTCTTTTAAAGATTTTTGACCCATGATTTCTCAAAAATGCATATGCTAACAAATTGGACTAATTCCACAATAAATAAATGTAAAATAAATTGCCAAACATATTTTTTACTTTTAAGGTATTTTTACAGATTTTAAGAATGACTTTAAATGTGGCAATGAAGCTAAATATAAAGGTAAAAAGCTAAATATGAAGCATGATCAAGCTAAAAAAGTTAAAATATTTGGGGTTTTAAGGGTTGTGAAAGTGCTGATGATTTTTTAATCAAAATTAGAATTATTTAAAAGCCATGTTGTACTGGCACTGGGTATATCTTATGACACACTATGTTGTGTTACTGACAAACCAAACAAAATTGAGACTTAATTCTTGTGGATCTTTCCCCATCCGAAGAATAGTCGCAAAGGAATTAAAATAAAGACTTTGATTATAATTGTATAAAAAAGAGGACTTTAATTAAAACATAAAAAATAAGAACAACAACAAAAGAATGGTGGCTCTGCCATGCTTCAGCACATTATTTTTAAACAAGAAATAAATAACCAAACGGATTCATTAAGAAAAACAACAAAAAAGGCTTACTGGCGTTGAAAAAAAAGTATGATGCGAAGTCGACAAAAACTATAGATTGAGAAAGCGATGAATCCGAGTTAATAGCTCAAGCCCGCAAATTTCTTTCGATCAAGAACAACCTCAGGAAACATCTAAGAGAGACTGCCATGATTCTATCAATTCCCAATGTGTTCAGCACTTCAACCAATCAGCGAAATATGGTCGTTGTGGATGCTTTGGCATTATAGTCTAGATGTAGATGTATTAGTCGGGGTGAAATATACTGTGCCCTTTAAAAGCTATTTTATCCCCTGTTCTCTGCCTAAAGCACACTGGTGAGTCCTATTTAATCAAGGAACTAAATTGGAGGCCCAGTTTCAGTGGTTGAAGCTCTTTTATGGTCACATTTTACATCCCAAAGCACTTCCTCCTGTGAGCAACAACCACAGTTTGTTAGTGGGTGTGTTGGTGTCTCATCTGCCTCTTTGCAGAATCTGCATGTGCCGTCTTGGATTGTTCCAATCTTCTTAAAGTGTACATTTAGCTTGCAGTTCCTGTTAGGATTCGCAGTTTGTTCCTGCTTCCTTCGACACATTCTGTAATTTCTTTTCTTCCAAAATTAGTTTGGAGATTCTTGGATTGCCTGTGTCCAATGAGTGAATTCCATTCTTCCTTCATTTTCTTTTTGTCCTTCTGTCAAAGGTCCTCACTGATAGTGTGAGTTCCTATGCCACAAAAGGGTTCGGGTTCCATCAACGGTGTAGCGTCTACACTCACTGGTTTCGATTTTAGTAAAATGCATTTTGACTTTGTGCAGGAGTGCAACTGGAGTTCCTCACTGAAGATGGCACAAAGCCAAAACTTGTTTGAATATCAAAATGTTTTCACTGACTTGCAAACCAACGTAATTTAAAAGAGTTTAATTTGGCTATGAACTCTACAAATAATTTTAACAAGCATATATTAAAGGAATCGTATTTTTGAATTTTTTCCTTTAGACTTTTATCCATAGTTATGCTTTGGTTACAGTACTTTTTCTTTTATTAATAGACTCTCGCCATAGCCAAAATTGAGCCCCGCCCAACCCTCAGAGGATGAGGCAATAACCATGCTCAAAGACAGACACCTCCTCGCCAGCTACACTCCTGTGGTTCACTCAAACATTTAATGGATTTTTATGCCCAAAACCTGGAAATTTTGCAAAAGAAACCTTTAAATATTCTGGAAATTAAAGGTAGGAAGTCAACTGTTTATCTCCTATAATTATTTACTGAAAAATGATTAATTTAAAAAAACATGAATAAAAATTAATAAAATGTTTCAAGAATAACCAAAATTAAGACTTTTAGAAAAAAAAATGTTTAAAAACTGTTAAACAATTTAGTGAAGAATTGAAATGTAATTTTAATAATTGGGAAATTATCACCATCCAACTATGAACCAAAATATGATCATTTTGTCAGATGTATTTTTTTGTTTTGCATTTCACTAAAATATTAAATGATTATTCAGAAATCATGAGATGCGGTCTAGTGTGACGTAATTTTCTTTATCGTGCCAACGTTTCGATCTTTATCGAGTTCATCTTCAGGGATCAGAGTGTTTGTTTTCTGTGAAGATGTGTCATTCTTGCGTGTCATGTTGAGAGTGCCACTAATCATCAAACATAAAATATTAAATTTTCCAGTAAAAATCACGGTGTCTTTCTTTAAAGATTGAAATGCCAGCCGATGTGGTATTCCAAAGAATACATGTTATAGGTTCGTAGTGACACGTTTTATCATTGTGTCTTTATCTACAAAATTGCTAACAAGTATTTAAAAAAAAGAAAAATTACAGATATGACAGTAGACTTATTAAATTCATTTTAATAGCTAGATCGCAACAAAACATTATTGTATTAAACAGTAGTATAAAACTTAATTTATTTAGACACATGAGCTGTAAATGTCAAATGCTCTAATAAAACAATGCATATAACAAAAATAATGGGTTAAACACATTTGATTTTATCAAAATTTTATTTTTTACACAAATGTCCTAAAATTGTTCAATACATAAAATGCAAATTAATTGCAATTAAAATGCACTGGATACATCATTGCGGTTGGACACTGATGTAATCGAAATTGTTTTGGCGATTGCCCTTCAGCAGTGACTTGCACACCAATCGAAACCGGCAAGGATTAATAATTACTTATTGCATCAAACAAACAATTTTTAGTGCACCTATTTATTGTGCAAAAACTATCATTTTATGTTTGTTTTTTCAAAGACACGTGGATGTTTACTGTAGGATTTAACTTAAATTATTGTTTATATTTTAAACCCATTGCATTTGTTAAAATTATTTTTAGATGCAGGAGCACTTTTAACAAATATTTGCACTTATCGACTTTTCAAACCAAAATACAGGTTTAATAATTATAATTTGCAAAATTTGAAATTCAACTTTACATTTTTTTATTCAATTAACCAAGGCCATTACAAAATTTAGTCAAACATATGAAACAAAAACTTTCAGCCATATTTATTTATCTTCATTTTGAATAAGAAAATACTTTTGAAAAAGGTAAAAGGTTTATTCCTTACGAAGGAAGACCAGGGTTGAGTGCGGTCATCAGTGCCACAGGGTGAAAGACATTGCATTCTCCCTTGAGTGGAAGTAACGTTTCTTTGGTGCATTCCTAGACCTGAAGTGCCCGATCTCACTCTGGATGTCAAATAGGTACTGTCAAGTACAAATTGGAACATCCTTCTCCCCGTCTACTATGTTATAGCAGTTGCTCTGCAAGGCAGCATCCTTGGTCCCATTCTCTGTTCATTACACTCTGAAAACAGTGCTGTCAATACTGATACAGAACTCTACATATATTGTTGATCCAGCAAACCCAGATCAAATAGTGCATTCAGAAACTTCCAGGACTGTCCCTCCAGTTCAAAAAATGAAAGATCATACTCACAAAACCAAAACCTAGCAAATATCTTCATCCATCGCCATATCACCTCTCCTCCAATGTACTACAACTCTGTTCCCCTTGCAGCAGCCGATCTCATCCACCATTTGTGGACTTTACATCGACAAAAGATTTACTTGGAACCCCTACACTTGATTAATTAGACTAAAACTGAACAGACGATATAAAATACTGAACAAGCTACTGGATTTTAGCTTTTAAAATTTTTGAAAGAATAGACAGCAAAATATGAAGAATAAAACACTTGAAAAACATATTTTATTAATATATACTGCATTATATCTCCGAAAGTCATTTGTTGAAGTTAACATTTTCGTATAATCATCTCTTTTGGCAAATAAAATCTGATAGTTCAATTCAGTACATTTTTTTATTAAAAATCATTGAATTTATAAATGACTATATCATCTCCAAACAATAAATTACATTTCTATGATATAAATTGAGTATACAATTTTTAAAAACAGTGTTTGGTCGGACAAGCACAATTCTGCATTTTGTCAATTTCAGTTTGAACTGAAGCAACAAATGAAGATGGTAAAATGCTGAAATGCATCACATTAATATTTTGTTAAGGAGATCAAAACTACATTGAATTGTGTTTAATCTATGTGATAAATTATAATCATATAATCAAATATTTTATAATGTAATGTATATTTGTATGTCTAAAATGTAATTCTTTTAATAGGTAATGACTCACATCTTTGGCCCTACAATAAAAAGAATTTGTACCAGATATAGGAAATTTTTCATCTCGAGGCACAATTCCACATATTGTGTTTCTGTTGTAAGTGTTTATAAAATTGTGGCGTTCATTGGCCTGTTGAAAAGTTAACATATTAAATCATCAATATGTGCTTTCCAGAGTAGTTATGCAAAGAATTTTAAATCGGCTCATATAAGAAGAAATTTTGCAACAAAACTATTGGAAAGTAATCGAGCATTAATAAAAGCAGACTGCCTCTTCAAAAATGAACATCCAGGTTGTAGAGACAATAGGTTTGCCATTGTCAGACAATATTCTGAAGGTGAATTTGATGTGCCAGAACTTAAGGGGAAGGCATTTTTTAAGTACCTACAAGAAAGGAAACATTTATTCGCCTTTTTCTACGATCCATGTGAGAAAATGGATGTCGATTGTCATCGTTTCTGTATTTAAAAGAATTTATATTTCAGTTTGCCCACACTGTAGGAAGGCGAAACCGGAATTTTTAAAAGTGGCACAACAGATTGATGTGCCATGTGCAAAAGTTGATTGCACTGAAAATGAATGGTTGTGCAAGACTTTAAAAATTGAATCTTTACCGACGTTTAGATATTTTACAACCGATAATACGAAAGTATCCTGGGCAACATTTTCTGGGGATCGAGTGGTATTGAGACTTTTTTTATGTACTTTTATAATTTTTCTGGTTTCAATATTGATGCGTTTTCAGAGCAATAATCTTATAAACTTTGTCAATGAGGAATTAAAATCAGGCGGAAATGTATCCAAGTTTGAAGGTTTAACAAAACGTTACTACAGCACTGTCTCTAGTTATGCAAATGAGAATCTGTTAAACATCACATCAGAGAATTTAAACCAACAATTGGAAGGCAGAAATGTGCTAGTTTTGTTTTACAATTCTTGTAAGTATTAGTATATACTGAAGTATTTTTAAAAGTATAATTACTACAATCTAGAATTATCAAAATATTCTTGCTAAGAAAGATTCAATCTTGCTTCTAGCTTGTAAAGATTGTCATAATATAATAAATTTATTGACACAAGCTTCAAAAGTGGTTGATAGAAACACTGGGTATTTTGCAATTTGTAATGCCGAAAAGAATCCTGCCATAACAGAGAAACTTACAATATACAAATTCCCCTTACTCAAGTATTTTAAAAATGGGCATTATGTCATGGATTTTCAAGAAGAAATTAAACTGGAAAACCTGATTGCATTCATGAACACAATGAAACCCAAGATTTTTTCAGCAAAGCTGACACATTCTGAGAAGAAATCCCTTTGGCGCGGAATAGACGGAGCCGATCATATTGTACATATCACTAATGAAACTTTGGTACAAAGTCTTCAGAAATATCCATCACTATTGATCTTCTTTTATGCGTGCTGTAAGTAAGCATTTTTACAATTATACTTTTTGACGGAAACGCTTAAATCGTGTTTATTTTAGGGAGTAGATCGTGTATAAACTTAAAACACGTTTACGCCAATGCTGCAAAAAAATTAGACCCAAAATACGGACGGTTAGCCGCTTGTGATGCTGAAGACAACATCGATGTTGCTGACCAACTTCTTGTATCGCATTTCCCTACATTTAAATATTTCCGAAATGGTCATTATTTGACTGACTATAAAGGGGAAAGATCCGAAGAAAGCTTGTTGAAATTTATGCAGGAGCCGGGCAAACTCGGCTATGTGAAAGTGGAAAACAAAATCAAGCCTAGTTACTCTGTGTTATCTTTAACCGGGAACATTCCACCATACTGGATTGATGTCCTTGGAGCCGAATCATTAATATTTTTAACAGATTACAATTTTAAATCTGTCTTGCAGTCCTATAGAACAGTGTTGGTCATGTTTTATGTCCCATGTAAGGCATTTGAGGGTAAAAAATACAATTCAAGAAGTAAAAACATTAATTATTTCTAGGGTGTAAAGCTTGCTCTTTAATGAAGAAAGAATATGGTAAAGCAGCTTTTTCACTTCCAGCAGAGTGGAATGTTGCAATCGCAGCTTGTGACGCCGAAGAGAACAACTATGTCGCAGATAAATTTTTGGTCACTAAACTTCCGACAATGAAAATTTTTAAAAACGGAGAGTATGTCGAAGATTATTTAGGAAGGCGTAAGGAGCAAGATATGCTAAGATTTGTCAAAGAAGTATCAATGAGAAACTCCAACATTAAACCTACGTATAATGTTACAAACTATACTGCTGTAGTACCTAATATGGGAACAATGCTTGTTTTTTGGAATGACGTCGAAGGTGGAACTGATGTGGTGCTTATGAATGAAAATAATTTCAATATGTTTCTCGATCAAGAGAAACCTTTATTAATTATGTTTTACAATCCTGGTGAGCTTATAATTTTAATTAATTCTGACTCGCTCAAATGGCAACAATTTAAATTTTTTTGTCCAGATGGTGATCATATGGATTCTGTGAGAAGAGAATTTGGACTGGCGGCTAAAAATCTTCCTAAAGAAATAGGTCTTTTAGGTGCATACGAATACAAAGAAAGTGATCCAATTTGTAATTTTTACGACGTGTACTACCAGGATCTTCCCACTTTCAAACACTTTCATCGAGGGAAATTTGTATCTAATTACACGGGGATAAGGTCAGCCGATTCATTTTTGAAGTTCATGGGCACCGCTGGTGTTGCTGTTTCTAATATCCAAACAAAATAAATTGTTCAACGATGATAAATTTATTTTATTTATTAGAAAAGGTAATAAAATTAAACACAAATCAAAATGTACATTAAAATATTTTATTTATTTACATACTTAAAATAATTTTCTCTACACTTGTTTGTTTATTTAAGAATAATTTATGGAAAGAATGAACAGTTACAATTTGCGATAGAAAAGGATAAAAAGACATTCAGTGCCTTCGATCATAAATAAATGTAAAAACATGTAGTTTCTAGCACAATTGTCATGATATCCCTGACTTAAAAATAAAAATTCAGATAAAATTTGATATTTATACACAGTTTACTAGATCTACCTTACATCTATTAAGTCTTTCAAATTATGTAAGCAGCATTGTGAATAAAAAATCTTTACTGTAACAATATAATAAATACATTTTTTGTACTCCATGACACTTAACAGAAGTTACAACTTGGTATGATTAAATTACTCCTAATAAGTATATACATTATTCATTCAATTTGATAATAAGGCACATCAATTGAGCTTGAGTTTTGCAGATTCTTTGATTCTAACTAATTTTCTGAAAGGAGGATTAAGTTTGCTTTCATCTTTGGTTAATTGATTAAGGTACGCTAATGTTGAATGGGTGGAATTTGCGCAGTGTCATTATTTAACAGATTAATGAATTGTTAATGTGACTGCTTCATTAATGGGAGTCTTTAATCATCGAAAACTGTAAGACTTAAAATTTAGGAGGTTCGACTATCCTAGATGGTTCTGAAATTCTTTCCCCCGGCAGGCGGTTGAAAGATAGAAGTTTCGAAACTATATTCAAATCATCTTTTGCATCAGAGGGAAGAAATTGAGAAACGCCCGACTGGGCTAAAATGCTGTTAATGGGTTGTCTTGTAGGCTGAGGAAAGAGTCCAAAGTTGCCGACAAAATGTGCAGGCTCATGCCTGTTCACTCGGTTATGTTCGATGCCGGAATGGAAATGCGGCGCAGGTGCTGACAACGCAGGTGAAAGCCTGTTCCCACCGACGAAAGACTGGTGGTTAGTCACTCCGACATTGGGCAGTCTAAAGTCAATACTCTTTTGAAATTCAATCTCTTGAAACGGTTTTCTCTGATGGCTGAATTGGAATCTGTGATTCGGTACAAAATTTCTCTGTTCGTTTATATTTAGAAGGGCAGGACTAATAGGACCGGGAAATTGTGAAAATCCTTGGTTTCCTGGTGCGACTGAAGGTACTGGGGAAAATTGCTGCCTTTGATTTTGCTGGTGTATGCTTTGAAACCTGAGGGCTTCTTGGCGTTGAAAATCCTGCTGTCTCTGTCTTTGAATCTCCTGTTGTTGGATTTCTTGCTGTCTGTTATATTCAAAGTTATTCACAACGGATCCAAAACCTCGTTGAGAATTGTGCACGTTGAATCTTTGAGCGTCTTGCTGCCTTTGGAGCTCTTGTTGACTTAGGAATTCTTGGTGCCTTTGGATATCTTGTTGTCTTTGTAGTTCTTGTTGTCTTAGCAATTCTTGCTGCCTAGCTAGTTCTTCCTGTCTTTGGACGTCTTGAAACGGACTGTCAGTTTGTACTTGATTAACGAGTGGTGCAGCAGTTGATGATGGTGAAAGAGGAGAAATAGACGGGGAAATCGTCTTTGACTGCAAAGCTCCTTGAACTCTAAACTTTTCTTCTTGTAGTATGCGCAGCTGCTGTTGAAGAAGATATTCCTTTTCTTCTAGCTCTCTCTGTCTTTTTTCAACAAGAGCTGGATGATCGCGATCGAAATTATGTGGAATTACTTTCTTTGGATTTCCTTTATCGTCTTGTTGCAGTGTAAACGCTGCAATTAGTGAAGAAGGAAGAAATTCAACTTCGTGTTTTAAAGGTTTCTCGGGTTTTGTTTCATTGCCCTCTTTGATATCTTGTAGGATGCTTGATTTAATTTCAACATCTGTATCATTTGTGTCTTTTTTTGTCCGTTCTTCGTTTATGTTGAATTCTGGCGATAAAGGAATAGTAATAGTTGAAGCCTCTTCAGTTTTCTCTTTTTCAGTTTGATCTTCTGGCTTTTGTTCTTCGACTTGGTCAGGAATATCGATGGGAGTGGGAAGCTGAAAAAATATAGCGTCAGTCTCCGGTGTGGGCTTTGTAGGTTGATTATCAGTCAACGATTGTTCCGGTTGTTCGACTACTTGCGTCGGTAGGTACGCAAATGCCGAACTCGACGGTTCTTCGTTCTCTTCATTATTGGCCGGGGTTGTAAACGGCTCAAAAGAATCTGTAGGCTTTTCTTCAGGATCGGTGGGAATGTAGTTGAAATCTTGGTTCGAAAAAGGCCTATCTGGGACTTTGTCTTGTTCTTCTTCGACCTCTTCTCGGTCTTCGTTCGATTCCTTGCTCTCCAAACTTCCCAAGTCCTCGGAGTTTGCCGGCTGTCCGAATATTTTTAAAAATTCTTCGTCAGTCAGTTCCGTGTCGGTTGTCAGAGGAATGGTCGCCTTATCCTCCATTTCAAGCCTGTTCAATACTCTTAGCAGAGCCCGCCGCAGTTTAGGATCGAGGGATATCCCCGGTTTTTCTTTTAGACTGTTGATCGAAGAAACCTCTGAAGGGGTCGATCCAGGTTGTCGACAGTTTACACCAATAAAGCCAACAACCAACAACCAAACCTGTAAAATATAAATTCTAGTAAATAAGTTTGTAACAAAAACAAATAAATCTAAAATTGAAATTCAATTATTTAGCAATTTTATTATTTGAAAAATGGCAAAAAGGAGGGAAAATTCAAAATGTGGGGTTGGGAAATTAGTGTCCGAGTAGATCGAGGTCACGATAGCTCTAGAGCCTCGAGTAGTAGAGCAGCGGCGTATCTAGCCGAAGATTGTGGGTTCGAATCCCGCTCGTGACACTGACTTTTTTTATCTCAACTAAAACCCTTAATTAATTTTTAAGATATTAATTGATCAAGCGGACGACGAAAACTAGTGAATTTATTTATCAACGATGATTGATTTTCTAATGCAGGGTTGAGTAAATGATAAAGTTCAAACAATTTATAAACAACCAGCTAAGTATCAGTTTAAGAAGAGACAAAAACAGATTGAAACGTCATTTCAATTTTTACTAGGTTTAATTTCGAAACAAGGAAGGAGTCTTTTTCGTTTTGCCATTTTTAAAACTCTAGCTCTACGTGCTCGAAATAAATAGTTTAGTCATATAAGCGAAGAAGGAAAGTAGGAGAACAGTATCACGTTCAGACAGGGAACAATACACGGCTGTTTGCATATGAAATTGGTCATTTCAGCTAAAAGTACTTTTCACCTAATTTAAAAATCAAAATCAATATATTTAGACGCCAAGCCTCTTTCTAGAGATTCATTTGCAAAAAAATGTCGATGGTTATGCGATAGTCGCGTTGACTTATGACATTGCCAATTACTTATGAGTCCTTGATTGAATCCGTGCTATCGGTTGACGAAATGTTCAAATTGCTAAATGTAAGCAGGTTTAGACAATTCGCCTTATTGAGCTTTCACCCAATGATAAAATGACCAAATGCCAGATTTTTCGGCGAACGGAAAAGTTTCTGAAAATAAGGCCAGCCCTGATAAGGAATGGTGCTGTGATGCAATCCGTACACGTAACTCTGCCCGTATTACAGACAATTCAGCTGTGAGAAGTTAAGATTCCATCAACAGCTCAAAACAAAAAGAAGTATCTGCCTCGACCATTTTTTCTGCCAAAGCCTGATTTGACAATGACATAAGTCAACTTCTTCCAAGTTCGATGGTCACATTCAACCTGACAATCATACGAGTCGGAATAAAATTTATTCTGTTCGAAAATTCAAAAATCAAAAAATCAATACTTGTAAGAAACCAAGTACAATATCCTTTCAAGGCTTTACTATACAATATTAGTAAACATTGAACGATTTTTACATCCTCAGAGAAGAGAGAGAGACAGAGAAAGAGAGAGAGAGAGATAGAGAGAGTGTGAGAGAAAAAAAGAGAAAGAAAATGAAAGAGAGACAGAGAATGAGAGAGAGAGAGAGAGAGAGAGAGAGAGAGAGAGAGAGGGAGAGAGAGAGAAAGAGAGAGTGAGAGAGAGAGAAAGATAATGAAAGAAAGAGAAAGGGAGAAGAAAATGAGAGCAAGCAAGAGAGATGAGTGAGTAACCAATGTCGATTCTTTTTTGTTGGTGATTTTAGCTATAATCAGCCTTGATTCATTTTGTCATTGCTGTTTTGTATATTTTATTATGGGCTTTATTATTATTGTTGCTGTTATTATGATTTTACTATCTTTATAAAACAAAATTTATTTCTAATATATGTACATGTAAGTAGGGGTTAAAGCCCTATTTGTATCTTTAAAATAAATACATAAATAACAGTGATGTTATGGTATTTTATCGACTAAAGATCGTTTAAAGGAAATAAGGATGGTTGGATAGTAAAAATGTGCTATTATAAGCGTAACTGGAAAAGAAAATTGCTTCTAGGATGTGTCAGTAAAAACCGCGAGATTGTTATGACAGTAAAGCCGCAATGTTGTCCTAAGTGAATGAGAGGTGCCTTTATTTATTCACCGTTTTTGTTTTTAATTCGAATTGTGAAAGAGGAAAAATCCGCCGAAAATAGAAAGCTCATTAAAATATGCCTAAGGGGAATCAGAATAAAGCGTTTCATTGTCAAACAAGTACACATTTTCACACCAACGCGTTTTGTGCCGCGGGGGAGCACCGAGCGAGGCCCCACGCACTCAGCCGGACTTAAAGGCACACTCGGCGTTCTCTGGATGGAAGTGAAAGTACAACTTAACACCTATACACACACATGTGTGCGCCCGCACAGGTCGGCCAACAATAGGTTTTTCCAGTATATCCAACTTGGGATTTATATGACTTTCTCGTGAGTGACGACCCGGACTTTCTTCGGAACTAATGGAAGATACGCGACTTCTTACGTAGGACTTTCGACTTTAGCGGTTTTGCCTTCTTCTGATTTCCTGATTTCTGTGCATGCAAATAAATGCAAAACGCAATATCTTCTTTTTTTATAAATAAAACAGCTAGAGAAACGTTTCATGTACGACCTCTTATGAATTCTTCGCCTTAACCGGTTATTTTTACGTCTTCTTCATAAGATTATCACCATTACAAAAAAATGTACTTTCTCCATTACAGCGCTTTAAGACAGTGAATATCACGTCAATACTATTTTAACTTGTCGGAAAAGTTTATGTTATCCATAACGGGCAACCGAAAACATTGGTTTGATGTAATGACTGTAAACGGATTCTCAACGAAGACTTTCCTAAGCCGGTATTTAATTAAATTTCATCAGATAAAACACGAAGAAATTAGCCAGACGCCGAGAAATGAGATTTTTGAAAGAAAAACCATCGAAAGTTTAATTAACAGTGCGAAAGAATCCATCAGAGGAACACGAAATCCATTACTTTTGCGCTTGCCAATAACCAACGCCACCAAATAATTTCAGGGTTAATAAATCTAAACTCGCTTTAGCTTTTGGTCATTTTGAAAGAGATAATAAAGAAAATATATTTTGATTAGTACTGTAAATAATCAATAATACAAATAGTTGATATATTTACTTTATGTAAATTCGTTCAAGAAACTTCAACAAACTCTTCAGGACTTCAGACAATTAACATATTTTTATATAAAGACTCAATTAATTATACATACTTTTTTCAAAATGAAAAATTTGTCTCACAGGTGGGATTCGAACCCACGACTTTCGGCTAAATACGCAGCTACTCGGCCACTTGAGCTCCCATGCCACAAACTTCTATTTCGACTCCCCGTTTTAATTCCAATTGTAAGCAAGTCGCAGCTTCAAAGTTTGTTCGGCTGATTATGTAGAAATAGCAAACAAATGATGAAAAGAAGAAGTAATGTCGGTAAACAATGTGAAATCGAAGAATAATTGCCTAATCAACCTCACAGGATGGAAGAGCATCCTGGCTTAACCTGCTTATATCCCTGGAGTTGCGGTACCTCCTTCAAAATACAATTGTGACTGATTTTGGTAATGATACAATACAATTGATGAAAACTGCATGTACAATGGGTAGCCAATGGGAAATCGAAGGCTATGTGATTCAACGTAAGCAACTGCGGAGAAATGGAGAAACTACTTGGCTTTCCCTACTTATAACCCTAACGTCCGGTCATCTTGTAATAGTCGTTTCTTATGTAAAGCACATTTTGTAAGATAAATCACTTGATAAACATGGGGATTTGAAGCTGATTTAATATTGCAAGAATCTAATGATAAATGAACAGAAATATCATAAAATTTATGAATCGTTTAACTTTTATATAAGCATTTCAATGAGGTAAACTATTTAAATTATAATATCATCGATTTACATTAAACAATATAAGATATTAAAGGCATAAAATTTTAAATTAGCAGTTTTTTGTTAAAGGTTAGATTGTTTTTTTTTTAAATTGATCAATAAAGTGGAATATTCCAAACCGTCACAGCTTGAGAAATTACTTAATATTTTTTTAAGTACGCAAACTGAACGAATTCGTCATTGTCAGTGTGATTTTCACTGTTGCCAAATTCGTTGTTTACCGTCAGGAGAGATTTATGCTCTTGAGATCGTTTTCCTCCCGCTGACGGCTCCCCCCCCGGTGTTGCTGATGGTACCACGACCTTTGGTTTGCCACCTAGTGAAAATTACAGGTGCCTCTTATGCAATGCCGTTGAAAAGCTACAGTTCTCATTACCTGATCCCTTATCAGTTGGTAGTCGTGTGGGAACTGACTTCCCACTTCCCCAGTCGCCGATAGTTTTCCTCTTCTCCATGGACAAAGCGGGAACTATGTTAGCAATGCAAAGCAAGGTTGGAGAAGTCGTAAAGGAACTTTTTCGATTAGTATGAACTGCACGCCCGCGACGGATTACTTAGTTCCATTTTAGGCTACAGATTGCTTAACGACTTTATGTAACAGAGCATCTTCACCTATAAGACGAGCTTCTGTACCAAAACATTAAAATATGGACATTTAACATCTAGACATGACATAACTGAATACTTGTAGGCTGTTACTGATCTTCCTTTCTGATCGTCTACTTAATAGAAAGAGAGAGCGACGAGAGAAGTAAGGGATGTGAAGAAATAAAGTGAGTTAGTGTTTGAGAAAAGTGTTCTAAGGGAGTGAGATATATAGATAGAAAGATAGATAGATTAGATAGATAGCTAGAGAGAGAGAGAGAGTGAAAGAGCGAAAGAAAGCAATGATTGAAAGAATATCTTTTATTTAAAAGATCTCGCAAATTTATATCGCGTACGACTTATTTTACATTAACAAGAGAGAAAGATTGGTAGAAAGAGAAAGAGAAAAAGAAAGAGAAAGAGAGAGAGGGTGAGAGGAAGTAGATGAATGAGAGGGAGAGAGGGAAGGTGAGAGAGAAAACAGAGGGGGATAGCTAGAGAACAAAGTAAGGGCGAAAGAGGGAAACAAATTTAGTGTTTCTGGGTGTGAGAGAGAGTGAGAGAGAGAGAGAGAGAGAGATTGGAAGAAAAAGAGACAGAGAGAGAGAGATAGAGAGAAAGAGAGAGAGTGAGTGAGTAACCAATGCCGATTCTTTTTTGTTGGTTCTTTAGTTGATAATGAGAGAGTGAGAGAA